CCCTCCACTCACCCCCCCCCCCCAGTACACATACTTTATGACCAGAAAGACGAGTAATATCGCTTCAAGAAGCGAACTTGGAAAATATCCATTAATTATCAATGTATTCAAAAGAATCTTCAAGTACGTCACTCATCTTAGCTCACTTCCTGAAACAACTATTTCAAAACAAGCTTACCTCATATCAAAAGATTTATTTATTAAAAAGAGCAATTCTTTCTATGGAAAAGCAATGGATATAGTGGAAACCTTAAATTGTAATAGAGCAATCCCAGACCCAGACCTAGATTCACTCACAACCAATCTAGTTGAATCATGCGTAAAGATACTAAAGAAAACTACCAGAGATTCTGGAGACATAAACTTGAAAACTCATCCAAACTTACCTTCTACACAAGCATAAAGGAAGACTATGAGCTTGAAAATTATTTGACTACCATAACTAATTCAAACCAAAGAAAACGTTTAACAGACTAAGTAACCATAACCGTAACTAATGATTGAACTCGGTAGATACGAAAACATTCCGCGAGAAGACCGAATATGCAAGGTCTGCCAGGCAGGAGAAATTGAAACGGAACATCACTTCCTAACATCCTGTGAAGCCTATAGTAGTCTTCGAGAAAACTTTTTAAATGACTTGGAAAGTGATCCCACCAATGAAACAGATTTAAACGAACACAGTTTATCAGTTGAGATAATGAAATCAACTGATAAAGAAACCGTGACAAAATTATCAAAATTTATCTCTTTATGTTTTGAGAAGGGATCTAAATGCCTTGAAGCTCAGAATGCTGGCGTCAATAGGCTATCGAACTAACTCCCAAACTTCTTCAATTACATATATACTGTAAATAGAGTATTCATTTGTAAACTAGGTCTTTCTTTATATCAATAACTTCATTTTTATTTCTTGTATTACTCACAGTGTCATATATTACCACAAAACATTTTGCATTTGTAAATATTTATAATTAACTAATAAGCTTTAGCAATACTTGTATGTAAAGTCATGCTAATAAAGCCATTTGTTACTGTTATGACCGGTCCCTAAACGAAAATGTTATTGAGTTCTTGAGATATTTCACTTTGTTTGTAACCAAGTGACGTCATTTACCAATTACATATATAATTATTTACTCAATTACATATATAATGAGATATCAGTAATTGTTGTGTATCTTTGCTATTTTTGATTGATTTGTTTAAAAAAACAGTATGCTTAATGATGTAGATTAAATTAATAAACGCGCCGCATCTTTGGATAAAAAATAGCAAAGATACACACCGATTACTGATATCTCATTATATATGTAATTGAGTAAAAGACGTCACATGGTTACAAACAAAATGAAATATCTTAAGAAGTAAGCATGGGAACAAAAATCTTCAAAACAGGTCACTATACAGTTTTAAGAGCATTTTCGTTTAAAAAAATAAAAATTTTGATGCGAGTGCCACTTATGTTAATAATAACTTCAATAATTCTTGGACAGTATCTGACAACCCAGGCTCCCAGCCGATTCTAATTCCACCGATGATTTCAAGATATTTCACAGGGTGTTAGCCAGAAGAAAAATTCTGCCATTAAATGGCATCCCCGTGGTCAAAAACAAGGCGCTAATTGGATGAATGAAACCTGTGAAGTGCAAGTCAACTGACATTAGACAGATTTAGATTGAGGACGCGGACGTCAAAGACGACGTGAAAATGGCGTGTTGTGCCCATGTATGGATATGCGACACCATTTTGACGCCATTTTAACGTCGTCTTTGACGTCCGCGTCCTCGATCTAAATCTGTCTACTGTTTTGCGTGCTAACTCCCAGACATCAAGTAGATTTTAGGCAAGATGGCGTCCTCGCAACACTGATTTGGTTCCCATTTCTTCTTGAACAAAATTTTTAGAGACAGAGTGACGTATAGAAACTAAGTCGTGTGAATACTGTAAAACAACTCGAATATTTTGAGAACATGAGTAACAGGATATGAAAAACCTGTAACCATACGATGTATAATACTAAAAACATTTAGAATAACGTGATTTTCTCATGTAATTATTTAATAGCAAAGATTTTTACCATCTTTCCGCAGGTTTTGGTGGTGCAGGAGCTATTGTGGAAGGTCCAGTGATTGGTGTGATAGTGGATTATTATGGTTGGTCTGGAGCATTTTATTTCATGGTTCTTCTCTCCATTCTCGCTTCTCTTTCCTTATTTAGAGCATCGCGAGTTAATTCCCCGTCATGATTTTTATTCAATGAGTAAAATATTCTAAAATTTAAAAATATTTATCCCTCAATTAAATTTGAACAATCAAATATAGCCTAATAGAGGGTGTCTCGAAACAACATGCAATAGCTGTGTCCTGATTTTTACACATGCAGCTAATTATTTCTACAAGGCATCGAAAGTTTAAACTGGTCCAGTAAATGAACCAAAATGTTATGGGTTTAAAATAAAGTCTCGTTCACCCAACGGACCATTAATTAAAATCATGCATCATTTGTATTTTTAATAGGTATATCAATAGGTTTGATGATTCCTTACTTTAAAAAGCTATAATATTGGTTCTACTTCTACTAGACCAGTTTTAGTACTCAGTAGGGCCAAAATTCATCTCTTAGATTGAATTTGCAATGCATGCATACTATTAAATAATTAGCTGCGTAAAAATCCATTCTATATTTATTCACCTACAGTATTGCATTTTTTTGGAACATCCTATATACTATTTATAAAGTAACATTATAATCTGTAAAATTTGTTAGTTATTAGTTGAAGTTTATTGGACGTTTCGACTATAGGTTTTAGTCATTATCAATGAAATCTAAAATCGATCTTCAGAGATGGTGATGACCGGACTAAAATCTAGTGGGAACGTCCAATATTGGCAATAATGTTTACCGTTGACATCAGTTTAGTTAATGTGTCAAAATGTCAAATTACTGATTTGCTGAATTATGACATTAGGGCCATTTATACGTGACAAAATAAGTCGCGACTTACATAAGACGCGACTTAAATAAGTGGAGTTATCGCATAAATGGTTCTCTACGGCTTTGGTCTTATTTATTTGCTATAGCTATAATGTTGTTTTGGTTGTTTTTGTTTTAATATGCAAGGCATTAAATTTTACGTTGTTTCAAGTTTCTGGCATGTGTAGTTAGACTTTTTGTCCAAAATTTCTTATTTAAGACGCGACTTAAATAAGAACAGCTAAAAGACCTGTTCTTATGTAAGACGCGTCTTATCCAAGACGCGTCTTACATAAGAATTTTGTACCTTTTATACGACAAACTCGCGTCTTACTTAAGTCGCGTCTTATGTAAGTCGCGTCTTATTTTGTTCCGTATAAATGGCCCTAATGTCTCCCTCCTCCGCAGAGCTAGAGCCCAGAGGCTCTAAAGGATTAATTTCGCGTGTGGTGTGAAGACGAAAACGCACTGACGTATGTGAACCAGGCTCAACCATGCACAGCAATTATTTGGACCATAAACCCTCAATCATGCATCTATCACATTCTTAGTCTCAGAGTTGCATATGCTATGTTATCCGATTATGTTTGAAAATCTTGAATATAATTCTTGAATTATGTTATATTGAAAATTGTGGCAGCACATGATCTGGAAAAACATTTAAAAAGATTTAAAACGATTAATTTTAAATCGTCACTCAACAAATATAATGCTACATGCAATATTTTTGTAAGTGCTAAACTGTCGTGAAAACAAACTTAATTAAACCGCAGTGAAAACATAAAGTTTAAAAAAACAGAATACAGAATAGAAGTTTCGCCATCAACAGAAGATGACCAAGGTATGTAGCATTACAGCTGATGAGAAATTCTGTGGTGAAACCTTTATCGGAAACGCTCAAAGGACGCAATATTATATATCTCAACTGAATTCTACTGTAACCTCTTTACTTTAACTAGGTATAATAATAATAGTCTTAAGTTTTAACAGACATTAATTAAGACTGTACTGTGCATATCGATTTTACACTTGCGTTTTTGTTTATTTGACGGATGTGAACGAGTGGATGAATTATGAATGTTGAGATGAGGGCCATGTATACTTAGAACATTTATAACTCATTTACTCCTTCACGTGCAAAAATCATAACAAAATTAAGACCTAATTATTATGTTTTGAGAAAACTCATGACCAATTACACAAAAGGCAAAGTTACTGAGTCTCGTGAGTCGTGACTAAGCATACAGTATCTTTCACACGTTACCCAGGTCGGGTGTGAAATGATTCTATGCGCAGGCTTGGGGAGCTGCTTTTATACTTGTGTTAATGAAACTAGGGATGAGAACCAGCTCGCCAATCAAACCACGAGGTGATTGTATACTATAAAATCAGATACAGGGTTTTATACAGAGCTGGTGAGGTGAGAAATATTTGTTATTTATAAAGCCATAGGATGTCTGAAAAGGTCAAATTTTAAACATTCTATAACGCTTTATCTACCCAAATTAGTTTAGACAGTTTAGCCAAATTGAAAACATTGCCCAATGGCAATGCATGAAAACAAATTAAATTTCCAATTTATTTGTTTGAGCAATAAATGATAAATTATCATGTTAAAATGTGATAGACAATGTCTATATAGTCAAGCAATTGAAGCCTTGCCTTGCATATATAATAGTGGTCTGCTTATACTCTGCTTTCAACAAGTGAGATTATAGAATATAGTTTTAAAAATACTCTGAAAAATGATTTGCCAATTTTATCACTCTACGATATATATTCTATAAATATATACACATCTATATCTTCAGTCAGATCATTATCGTTCAACAAGACGATATTCAATTCAGTCTTTGACCACCGGCACTGGTATAGACCCATTGCACTGACGTCACAAATCTTTACAGTGTCCTCCAGATGCTCCCTAACAATATCTGTTCTTTTACAACAACCACATACATCGTAAAAATTAACCATTTTAATAGAAAATGATCATAAAGTTTTACAAAATTTCCTTTGGTTACAAAAGTTATATTATGCATAGATTGCTAATTTGTCCTCCTGATGCATCGTCACCGGCTATGTGACGTTATGTGCAATGGGTCTATAGCTCGGCTTTAGCTCGGCTTACTCAGCAATCAAGTGGAAGAATATGAAAAATCCCAGAATTCAACTTAAGAGGATTTTATCCTTTTTATTTATCTTTTGCTATTACAGAATCATTCATTTTTCACAGAAACAAAAGGGCAATGAGAGGCAAAATTCCAAATGATCCATTTGATAATTCTATTTTCGTGGTAAGAAAGCGTGGGCGAAAAGTGCGTTAAATGTTCTTTGAACATGATTGACAAGTCAGTTGGGGATATAATGCAGGCTAGGAATTATCACAAATTATTGAGTGACCTCGAAAGACCTCGGTGACTCGGGTGGATTTGGGACAGTGCTTACAGTCTTACTTTACCAAACACCGTAGGCTTTAGTGCTTCTGTCAGTAACAGTGTAAACCAATTGAAGATGACCCTGAACTGGACCTGTACTTTAGAGAGAACAAATTAGAACAAGTAGATCCTTGGTCGGACCTCAACTCACAGTCTCTACCAAGAAAGTGCTACCTTTACAATAACATCATTTATTAAATTAATAAATCGGTAAATGGCTAGATTTTCGTGTCCTTTCTCGGATAAGGAAGTTACATTGTAGGTACTTCGGATCCCTTATCAATTGGGCAAATGGCCTGTTGGGAAATCCGCTCACCAATGAGTGAGAAACTCGATAACCTCGACCTCAAAACGTCGACCACATTCACCTTTCCAATTGAGAATGGATTTAAGTATTAATAGCATAATAAATCAAAATGGGTGCACATTCTTGCATGATGATGGGGATTATATAACTAAGCAACTATTTGCCGATAGAAGCTGTTGGCATTAGAAACGCAAACATTTTGGCAATAAGCTCATAACTGTTGACGCTAAACTACAGTGAGACTGACATCAATGTGAGGAACCACACAATTTTATAGAGTACCATGAGGAACTGTACGTGTTACACTTGAGCAAAACCTGGGGGATAGATTTGTCTGAGACCCAAATAGACATGTCGTAATAACCAAAATAGAGTTTATCTGACTTTTCTTTATTCAAATGAAAACTGACTTATTCAAATGCATGACTAACCCTTCAGGTGACATGTATCATTGACACCGCACAAAAATGAACTGTAGTGCCAAAGAATTAATTTCCGGCTTTTACAAGGTCGTGCAAAATCTCCTGACTATTCACTGTGCTATTCAATAACGTCACTTGTTAGTTGCTATACCAAAAATGTTTAAAACTTCAACATCAATTAATTAATAAGGTTTATAGCAGGTCAAACCAAACAAAAGACTTAGTTGACTGAGCTATTTCGGTTGCTGTGATTCCCTGCTGCGCTCCTCCCACTTATAATTACATTATCCATGCATGCGTGACGTCACAAAACATGTCTGCTGTGGGGGTTGCATGAAAATGAAAGAAATTGGCCGTTGAAATAGCAAGAAATGGCAACTGTTTGAGATATTTTGCTTCTTTAAGGTCAATCTGTTCAATGTATTTGGTCACTTACACCTTTGTAAACGATGTAGTCGATTTATGCAAGCTGGAATGCTAAATATATGGATGTTTGTGTCTGGACAAAGCAGGGAAGCCGCGAGAGGTCATGTTTGAATATCACATACTGTGAATCAGTTGGCTATCAGCAGATATAAACTAGTACATTTGAAATAAATTGTATCTATCGTAGATACATTTTAATCGACATGCTTGGCAAACAGTACGTGTAATTGACGTTTGATCACATAGTTACTTGTCATGAAGTTTTATTTGACGCTGTGGTCAGGGAAACGGAGAAGCGGGTCATGGAAAAATGCAACGCTTGGATTTTACGTAATGTTGTATATGTTTGATGCCATCTCAGCAAGCATTACATGGCGCGTTTTAGAAGAAAGTAAAACTGGTACATTGGTTGGAAATTTAGGGCAATTTACGCCGAATTTTAGAAATTATGACTTGGTTACTTCAAGTAAGAATTTTGTGTATGATAAAGCTACAGGAAATGTAAACACAGCGCAAGCTATTGATAGAGATGTGTTATCTGGCCAGTGTGTAAATGGGTCTGAACTTGAAATATTTCAGTTTACTTCAACAATGAGTGGAGATAATGATGTTCGTGTCAAAGTGTTTATAGATGATATTAATGATAACTCTCCACAGTTTGCTTCAGAATTATTTACAAGAGTCATTCCTGAAGAAGCCAACAAAGGATTCAAAGTGAGAATCCCAATTGCGCAGGATAAAGATTGTGGAAATAATGGGACATTACAATATAAAATATTGAATGCAAATGATTTCATAATAAAATTATCTACTAATCAAGACTTCCTAGACATAGTTACGACAGAAGAACTTGATCGCGAAGTGAAAGAATTTCACATTCTAACCATCCAGGCATGTGATTGTGGTATTCCATCAAGATGCAACTCTACAATCTTGAATATCACAGTAACTGACTATAATGACAATAAACCAATATTTCATGATTTGAAATCAGAAGTTGAAGTTGAAGAGAATTGTAATGCTGGGTCAAAGTTTATCATGGCATTAAGTGTTTCAGATAAAGATAGTGGGAAAAATGGGCAGTTTACCTTATCTGTGTCCGATGGGTTTGAATATCGTGGATTATTTGATATTACTGCTAACAATGATCTTGTATCAACAAAATGTTTGACATATGATAAGAATAGACCATATATTGACATTGTTATCAATGCAGTTGATCACGGTGATCCTGTGCAACGTAATGCTGTGGCTATTCGGATTGTTGTTGTTGATATAAATGACCATTCTCCTGTACTTTCAGTGGCTGACACAAAACCCGTTTCTGAAAATACACATGTTGAACATTATGTGCGTATAATAGTAGCCACTGATCGTGATGATGATGCAAATGCAAATGTTAGTTTGAAAATCATTAATGGCAATCCAAAAGATAAATTCTATTTGTCAAAATTGTCTGCTCCAGGTTATTTGTTCTATTTGAAATTCAAAGGAACATTAGATCGTGAAGACATTTCTGTGTATAATATCACAATTGAAGGATCAGATCATGGCACTCCACCTCGGACATCCTATATTAACATAATTATAGAAGTTGTTGATCAAAATGATAACCATCCAAATTGTTCATTTCCAAAGGAAACCATATCCCTTTCAGAGTCTTTGCCTATTGGATCATTTGTAACTATTGTGCAAGGCATAGACAAAGATGAAGGACGAAACAGTGAAATTAAATATAGTCTGGCTAGTGGGCATAACTCTGGGATGTTTAAAATCATTGAAAGTTCTGGATTAATAACCACAACTGCTCTTCTGGATTATGAAATACGAACATTAATTACATTACGAGTTAATGTTGAAGATAATGGCAATCCAAAATTATCATCATTTTGTTTATTGACAATCAATATTACAGATATTAATGACAACAAACCATTATTTACAAATACAACATTTAACTTTAATGTACGTGAGGATGTTGCTGTCAACTCAGTTGTTGCTAATTTGTCTGCTTTTGATGCTGATGCAGGGATGAATTCCAAGTTAACTTTTCTTATATTGTTTCCATCAGCTGTTGTTGAAAAAACATTTTACTTAAACAATGATACTGGAGCAATACAGATTCTTATGGCATTGGATAGAGAGCATCATGATTTTTATCAGTTTCAGGTATTGGTCCACAACAATGGCAATCCAAGGTTATCGTCAACAGCAACTGTTGAATTTACCATTTTGGACATTAATGATAACCATCCAGTGTTTTATCCAAGCCAATACTATGTTAATGTTTATACTAATCAATCTGTTGGGTTTATTGCTAGTGTTACAGCAGTGGATCTTGATAAGAATGATGTCATTTCTTATGAAATTGTTAAAAAGGATCCAATGAATGCCTTAGTCAATGTGAATCAGAGCACAGGAACAGTGGCTTACACTGGGATATCTCAACTGGATGCAAATGATGTGTTTGCTGTGAACCTTATTGCTAAAGATAGTAAAGGACATGTTTCAAATATTTCACTGTTGTATCTCACTGTTATAGCACCTGAAGATGATTTACCTCAGTTCACAATGGACTTGTACTACTTTGATATTAAGGAAAATGTCCAACATGGAACTTACATTGGGAAAGTCAAAGCAACAAGTAAAACAAAAGTTGATATTTTGTATTATATTTACAGTGGTGATCCAGATGGTATATTTTTCATCAATGAACATGGCGAAATCAGGACATCTAGTAATGTGGATCACGAGAAACAACATTTGTTTGATTTACAAGTTAATGCGAGGACATCAGGAAGGAGAGTTCTGATTGGCATGGCATCAGTTGTTATTGTTGTTGAGGATGTGAATGATAATCGGCCAGAATTCCAGTATCCACATAAATTGATTACAGTGAAGAACAGTGCTCCTGTTGGTTCAATTGTGTTTAAAGTAAGAGCATTAGATCCTGATTCAGGCAATGGAGGTATTGTAAAGTATGAAATGTTGCATGGTAGTCATCAAGAGTTCTCCATTCTTTCCAGTGGAGATGTTGTTGTTGCCAATGATTTATCTGATGTATCAAATTACTCTCCCATGATAAGTATTGTTGCGTCAGATTTTGGACTTCCACAACTTTCCTCTGTCCTAGATCTTACTATAAGTATCATTAAGGAAAATAGTCACCCGCCATTTATTCATAAAAACTTTGGTGTGATTCCACTGTTAAGAAATGTTCCTGTCAATCAACTATTTTTCAACGTAACAGCGTCGGATCCAGATAGTGAGGATGGTGGTGAAATATGTTTTCATTTGTCTGGTGCTGATAATGCAACAGATTTCTTTGGGATATTTCCTGAAGGAAACTTGTATGTTAAACAATCATTATTCCTTACTAATCAATCAGATTTTTCATTGCAACTTATTGTTACAGACAGAGGAAACCCCAGACTAAACGCCACATCTCTCGTACACATATCTGTATTAAGCATGGAACACCATCAGCAGCTTTTTCAAAAAGACAGTTTTAGATTTAACATTTATGAAAATGAACACTCTGATACAGTTGTTGGGAAGCTGGACTTTGTGGCCACATTTCAAAATTTGGACGTGGATTTGGTTGAAGTATATTCATATTTTACCTTTGATCATGTGACAAATGAAATCAAGATTAAACAGGTTATTGACCGTGAGCAATTTAAACTTACAACTGGCAGTAATAACTATGTACTTTATGCTAAAGCTTCGTACAAGAATGATTTTGGATTACATACTGTTGACCTTGCAACAATTGTGGTTGAGGTGAAAGATAGAAATGATAATGTGCCTATGTTCAGTCAATCAAATTACATCGTTGATATTGAAGAAAGTGAACAAGTTGGAACAGTTATCTCAAAATTGATAACGTATGATAAAGATGAAGATAAAAATGCTGTGGTGAATTTCTCTATTGTTAGTTCATCTCTTCCAGATGCAGTCATTGTAGATGAGGACGGTAAGATTGTTCTGAATAAACCATTGGAAAATAAACATTTTTTCTATTTTAATTTCTCAGTACAAGTTATGAATATTGCCCCACCACATTATAATTCAACTTGCTTCATTGAAGTAAACATCCACGATGTAAATAACAACAAACCACACTTTGCAAGGTTTTTAATCTTGAAGAGTATTGAGGAGAACTTTGCCATTGGTCAGACAATGTATCATGCAAATGCTAGTGATAGTGACTATGGTAGAAATAGCCGTTTGACATACACAATAATATCAGGAAATCAAGAAAGCAATTTTGAAATTGATCGTGAATCTGGAGAGGTAATTTTGGTTAGAGAACTTAACTTTGAGAAAATTCAAAGTTATGTTTTAACCATTTCTGCAAAAGACAGTGGTATTTGGCCTTTGTCTGCCACACAAATTTTGATTGTGAATGTCACAGATGTGAACGATAATGCCCCACATTTTATAAACTGCACGTCAGCTCTTAAGCTCCAGGAAAATGCTCCAGTTGGCACTGTAATTATGCAATGTTTAGCTGTTGATAGCGATGTTGGGGATAACGGTATTGTTCGTTACAGTATTTCACGGGATAAACCAACAGGTAACTACTTCAGAATTAGTAACAATGGAACTTTATATGTCAATAAACCATTAGACCGAGAACAGTTTCCAATTTACAAGATAGAGATTAAAGCTGAAGATAGTGCTATACCAGAGACCTATCGACTGATGAGAACAAAAACAATCACTATTGAACTAGAAGATGTCAACGACAACTCTCCGAGGTTTATATCCGCTCCAGCAATGAGTTTTGACGAATCAGCTTCAAATGGCGACTATGTTACTACATTGAAAGCATGGGATCCGGACTTCGGAGCTAATGGCATATTCACATTTAGCAAAGGATCAGGTGATGATGCTGCTTTCTTCCAAGTTGACGACAATGGTCGAGTCACCTTCACAAAGTCACCTTCTGGAAAAATTGTGTATAAGTTAAATGTAATTGTCACCGATTCCGGGACAATGCAAAGAACATCGGAACAAGAGTTGTCAGTGTTTATGTATAAAGAAGGTGGCTTGTCATTCTTACAGAATAGATACTCAGCCGCCATTGTAGAAAACGAGCCAGCAGGGACATTTGTGATTAATGTAACTGCAGTTGCAACGATACATACTGATGATACAAAGGTACGTTATTTCATGACAAACGATAGTAGTGAAGGTTTATTTTCTGTTGATTCTACTACTGGTGTAATCACTATAAAAGATAGAATAGACAGAGAAGGCAAATATGGACATCAAGTAAACCTCGTGATTTATGCAGTAGACGTAAACAGCAAAACTCCCAAGTCAATGTCAGTCCGTGTCTATCTTACGATACTTGACTTAAATGACAACATTCCAACATTCACAAAGTACAGCTACGCAGAAGATGTTTTTGAAAATACCAAGATTGGCAGCAATATACTAACATTACAAGTTCGTGATGACGACGAAAGCCAAAATGGTTCAATAGTGTACGAAATTGTTAGTGGAAATAGTAAAAGAGGTTTTCATATCAATAACACAACCGGACAAATTTCTGTAGCTAGTAATCTTGACCGCGAAGTACATTCTGTGTATGTTCTCAATGTAACAGTATCTGATAATGGCGAACCAAGACTCAGCTCATGGACAGTTGTATCAATCAATATATTGGATATTAATGATAATATGCCAACATTTCAGAGACTAAATTACTCATTTACTGTGGTAGAAAATTATCCTCTTGGGACTGTTATTGGACGTACAGTTGCACACGATCCGGATTCCGGGGTGAATGGCCAGGTTACGTACAGTTTATCTGGGGATGACGCAAGTTTGTTTAGTGTGAATGCAAGAATTGGGACATTAAGAACTGCCTTCTCGTTTGATAGAGAAAAGATTGATTTTTATCTGTTTAAAGTAGTTGCTAGTGACAAAGGAAGCCCAACAGCGCTTTCAACAGTAGCCTGGGTTTATGTTAGTATTTTAGATGAGAATGATAACAAACCGAAATTCAACTCGAATCAACCCTATATAGCCACAGTGTTGGAGAACTCTATGGTTGGAACACCCGTGCTAATTGTGAACGCTAGTGATGAAGACGTTGGCCTTAATTCAACACTTGTCTATGCCGTAAGTGGAGGAGATGACGATAAAGCATTCCGCATTTCTAACCGTGGAACGTTGTTTACTGCGTCTGTTATAGACAGGGAGAACGTTGCCCAATATAATCTTGAAATTACTGTATCTGATTCTGCCAGAATCCACTCACAAAGGCGTACGTCTACAACAATGGTCACTGTTAATGTTGCAGACGTCAACGACCATACACCGTATTTTGTATCAGAAGATGTTATTCATGTGAGAGAAGATCAGGATTTGGCGAAACCTTTTGCTGCTATTTTAGCAAAAGATAAAGACACGGGTTTAAATGGTAAAGTACTATATGAACTACAGGGATATGTCGCTAAAGCGTCCTTTCAAATTGATCAGAATTCTGGTGAATTAAGCTTGAGACAGACACTAGATCGAGAGAAACTGGAAACAGTACATATTAACATCACTGTGGAAGCAAAAGATCGCGGACAACCTCCCAAACGAAATCAACAACATATTCAGATTATTGTAGACGATGTTAACGATAACATGCCAACTTTCCAACCTCATTTGGCGCTTTTGAATGTCTACGAAAATATCTCAATTGGTAGTGAACTCTTACGTGTAGTTGCTGTTGATGAAGACCAAGGTCTTAATGGAAAAGTTGAGTATGCCATTACTGCGGGGAATGTGAATGGTACATTTTCCATCCACCCTACTGACGGAATAATCACTCTAATAAAATTTCTTGACCGTGAAAACTTGCAAAATTACCAAATTGACGTAACAGCGTTTGATTTTGGATCTCCTACACAAGAAAACATCACTACAGTTCGTGTTCACGTACTAGACGTTAATGACAATGAACCTCGTTTTAAAATTTCTCCGTCGTCAAAATTTATAAAAGAGAACATTCAGTATGTTGAGAACTTAGCTCAGTTTGTCGCTGTTGACGACGATGAAGGCGAAAATAGCGAAGTTGTGTACAGTATACTAAATCCAGTACGGAGTCCATTCCTTTCCATCGATAATGTGACAGGCGTTGTTTCCTTAGTTGTTCCACTTGACAGGGAAGTTCAGTCAAGTTATTCAGTTATAATAGAAGCTAGAGATAAGGGAACTCCTTCTCTGTATACACAAACTAAATTTAGCATTTTTGTTAAAGATGAAAATGACAACAGTCCTGTGTTTGTTGATGCAGACCTTAAACCAAGTATCCTGGAGGGTTCTGCTGTGGGTTCCCAGCTCTGTGTGATGAATGCTACTGATGCTGACTACGGAGTCAATGCGGATATCTTTTATGAGTTAGTGAACGACTTTGGCCGGTTCAGAATTGACCCAAATACTGGTGAAATCTTCACAATTGCTGTATTAGACCGTGAAGTACATGGAACAGAATTTGAGCTAACTGTTAAAGCGACAGATAAAGGAAATCCATCTCGTGCAACGTCTGCTACTGTCATTGCACGTATTGAAGATACTGACGACAATAAAGCAATATTTGAAAAAAATATGTATTCAGCTTACATTCCTGTGGGAGCTCCTATTGGGACGTTTGTGACTGTAGTATCAGCCTTAGATGAAGACGAAGGGTTAAATGGAAAGGTGATTTACAAAATTGAACGTAGTTCAAACGAATTTCTAGTTCAGCCGGATACTGGTCATGTTTTGACGACAAGAATACCATCGTCTACCACATATACTATAAAGATTCAGGCAATAAATGCAAATTCCAATATACTTCAAGACACAACTACAGTAGATATTACCACGACTACGAAACATTTTCCTTTATTCGATATTCCGGTTACAGTATATAACATTTCTGAAGATGCTAAGCCTGGATATTTTATTCTTAATGTAAAAGCGACTGATAATCCGTCGCTTCAAATAGCAAGTGGAGACCCTGATCAGCATTTGTCACTTGACATTGTCTCAAAAAATCTGACCGTGAATAAGAATTTAGATTACGAGGAAAAGCGGCGCTACAATTTGTGGCTAAGGGCTAGCTTGAACACAATCTACTCAACCTATATCAACATTGAAGTATTTGTTGTTGACTCTAACGATAATATTCCACTGTTTGAGCAATCGTACTACGAGGTATCGTTGATAGAAAACGATAACACGAACGTCTCAGTGTCTTGTATCATTGCAGCAGACCGGGACTCTGGTGCATTTGGTTTTGTTGAGTACAGGATCCTTGATGCAACAGCTTTAAACTGGTTTCGGATGGATAGATATACTGGTTGTATTTATACAACTCGTGGTATTGATAGAGAGCAGAATATTAGCTTTCATTTCACTGTACAAGCCCGAGATCATGGATTACCTCCCAATGCAAATAATGCTTCAGTACATGTCAATATTCTTGATAGAAATGACAACCCTCCAATTTTGGACAAACTTTTAACAGTTTACCTATCCGAAGATAAACTACCACCTTTACTTGTTGAAACTGTTTTTGCCAACGATAAGGATGAAACGTCGAACCTTTTGTATTCACTTGAACCGGATGACACTTTTAATATTGATTCAATAACAGGGAAAGTATCTCTTATACAGAAGTTGGACAGAGAAATGGTGGGACGCTATCCGTTAACCGTCTCCGTCTCCGATGGGAAGTTTTCAGACAATACTCCGTTGACTGTTATTATTAAAGATGTGGATGATAATCCTCCAAGATTTCAAAAATCCTTTTACCATGTAAAATCTATGGAGTTGCAGCCAGTGGGGAGTGTGGTAATAAAATTGAACATATCAGATAAAGATATTGGTCAAAATTCAGACGTCGTGTATTCCTTCAAGCGAACACCAACCAGTGAAATATTTCGCATTGATTCAAGTGGAATAATTACAATTGCTACTCAGCTTCGATTTATTAAGCCAAGAAAAGATAATGGTATAACGAACCTTTATAATCTGACTGTTTATGGCCAAAATTCTAACCACCCATCCGCTAAACCAACTGCAGCCATCACTGTTGAAGTTACTGATACTAACGACCACTACCCTGTATTCGAAAGAAATGAATACTACACTTACATCCCTAGTGTGTCGAAAATAGGTACTAGAATTATTACAGTTCATGCTGTTGACAATTACGATGTTGGACTCAATAGTGAAGTGTCATACGTGGATGTAGGTGGAAATGGAACAAGGATGTTTTCAGTTGAGTCTTCGACAGGACACGTCACAGTTAAATCTGACATTAGCTCTGAGAATGATAAATTGTTTTTACTTGAAATACAAGCAACAGATCATGGCACACCAGTTCAATTCTCACCAACAAATGCCAATGTTTTTATCATGGTAACCATAGAAAATCAACACTCTCCAAAGTTTGCCAAAAAGAGTTACAGCGAACAATTGAAGGAAAATTATGATGTTGGAAAAGAATTTCTTCGTGTGGTCGCAACTGACAGTGATAGCGGTATCAATGGGAAAATCACATACAGCATTCTGCCTGGTAAGCAGGGGGAATACTTCAATGTTGACAGAAACACCGGCTCCATTACAATCGCAAATGTAAAACTGGATTATGAATACCTAAGACAGTACTCATTCGATGTTCAAGCAGAAGACGGTGCTCAAAACCCACGAACTGACCAAGCAAGCGTTACAGTAACTGTTACCGATTATAATGATAATCTACCGGAATTTCAGAAATCATTCTATGATGTAGATGTAGTAGAAAACAATGAAATTGGTTCTGAGGTCGTTATTGTATCAGCAACTGATCGAGATACAGTTGGTAATACTATTACCTACATGTTAGCAGGAAAAGATAAGAACTTCTTTACAATCGATCAAAGTTCTGGAAAGATAACAACAAACGTGATATTTGATTATGAATCACGAACTATGTTCAATATGACTGTCCTTGCAAAGGACAGCGCCGATCCACAGAAAACCTCGGACTGTACAGTTCATGTTAAAATCCAGGGGATAAACGAGTTTACGCCAGAATTTAAGAAGAAGGCATATTTATTCTCAGTTCTTGAAGAGGCACATGTTGGAACTATTGTTGGTCAAGTTTCAGCTACTGACCATGATGACGGGCCAGATGGTGTTGTTCAGTTCATCTTAGTTGACCCAAGTGGTCGGCATAATAATTTTGACGTTGATGAGTTTACTGGAAATATTTATGTATGTGGTCGACTCGACTTTGAAGCTGTAGACATGGTTCAACTGACTGTTCTTGTGAAAAACCCTGCGCAAAGGATTCTGAATGCAGATAATACGGATAAAGCAAGTGTAACGATACAAATTCAGAATAGCAACGATCCACCCAGATTTTTAAAAGATTTTATGAAAGTTTCAGTTTATGAAAATGTTGCAGTTGGTAGCGTGCTTGGAAACTTTACTGCTGTAGATGAAGACACCAATAAGGATTTCATGTCACATTTTAAGTATGCGATCTCAAGTGGTAACATAAACAACGCATTTATACTAGAAACTGTTGGCATATCAGTTGTTATTAAAACAAACAAACGTCTCGATCGTGAAGTTACAGCGTTATTTAATTTGACCCTTGCTGCTACAGATATCAATGATCCACGTTTGCGTGGTTTTGCGCGTCTTATTGTCGAAGTTAAAGATGTAAACGACAATCCGCCGTTCCTGAAACCTGGTATTTGTCCTGGACATATCAAAGAAAACCTGCCAAAGGGAGCCGTGGTTTTACGCTTTGATGCAAGTGATAAAGATATTGATCCAAACAAAGATCCATACACGTTTGAGATTACAAACAGGGGACATGTGCCATTCGTTATTAATAAGTTCACTTCGGAACTTCAAACGTCTGAAATGTTGGACAGGGAGAATGTGCCTTTGTATGTTTTACAAATCAAGATATTAGACAGCGGGTACCCTAAGCAGTTTTCTATTACTTCATGTAATGTGATTGTTGATGACGTCAATGACAATAGACCTTCTGGAGATACTCTTAATGTGAAGATTAATGTTCCTGTGACAGGATATCTTGGTGGAGTCATTAGCGATGTCAGTCCACTTGATCTTGACGAGATTAAGACGTATACTTGTGAAATTGAAATAAACCATAAAGATATCTTTGAATTTCAACCTAATTCTTGCATATTAAAGATGAAAAAACCAAGCTTGAAAAATTATATTCTCAACGTAGTTGCCCACGATCCTCTTTACCACATCCCGTATTCACTAAACATCTCTTTCAACACAATTTCTGAAACAACCAGTGAAAAAAGTGTGATATTAAGACTTTCTGGTATATCTCCTGAACAGTTCTTGTCTGTAATGAAGCATCTGCCTTGTGTACCTGGATACGAGAAACAAATCTACAGTGTTCAGAAAGTTAGCTCTACTGTAACGGATGTCTTGATGGCTCACTTGCAAAACGGGGTTTATATTTCGCGAGATAAACTATCTCAAATACTTACGAACTGCATGAGTAGCTTGGAACGTAAACTTGGCGCGAAGGTTGTGGATACAAACTATAATTTATGTTCGACCCCAAATCGTTGCGTTCATGGCAAGTGTGAACGTTATGTCGTGTTGTTATCAGAAAACCGCACTAGTTTGTACTCTGGAACAGAAATATTTATATCTGCTTATCATAAAGCAACATTCCGTTGTATTTGCAACCCTGGTTATTCTGGCGAGTATTGTCAGCACTCCAACGAGGTATGCGAAGGAGTACAGTGTAGAAATACTGGCCATTGTGTTCCAACTGACCAAGGTTTTAAATGTCACTGTCCTCCTAATTTCACTGGGAAATTTTGTGGTATTGCAATGGATTTATGTGATCCTAACCCGTGTAGCAATACGTCTCGATGTGTAAGCACACATGAAGGACCGAAATGTCATTGCGATTTCGGCGGTAGAGGGGAAAGATGCGAGTTGTCAAGTATTGGCTTTAAACCATTGTCCTACATGGCATTTGCGAGCTTGTCAAGTACCAATGAAAAAACAAAGGATAACATATCATTTCAGATTGCTACAGTTGAGAGGAATGCTTTAATCGTATATAGCGCAGATAGCAATACTGATGAAAATTCTCATTTTATCGCTCTTGAGATTATTAATGGGTTCTTGAGATATTCATTAAATCTTGGCAATGGTGTTGTACGTATTACTTCTGATGTAATTGTTTCTGATGGTATTTGGCACACTGTGGCTGCTGTGAGAGATAAACAGGTGAGAAAATATAACATAGAATATGTTACATCTGATATCAAGAAAAAACATCATATTGTCAACGCAAGATGCTTTCGATATTTCAATCAAAACACGGCACGTTTTCTCCAAAACCTCAATTAGGCATAACACGTAACTTTAAAGTGGAGAAAAGTCAAACATATCATAGCTACACGTGCGTAACGCGTGTTTATCCAGAATCTAAATGGTTAACATTAGTTTGTGGTCGTTTATCTTTGAACATGCAACCGCCTCTGCAGTATATTTTTATTTCTGTCCGGAAAAAGTAAAGTAAATTACATTTATTCATAGTCTGTTACATTTTGTACTTAGATTGGACATTTGTACGTGGATACTAAGGTTTTTTCTTCCAGTGGCAAAGCTGGCAATACGTAAGTATGATGTAGTCGTAGTGCTTTAATAGTTGTGTTAAGTATATTATTTAAAACACGAGCAGGAGTGCTTTATTAGATATAAAGCACGAGAGCGCAGCTCGAGTGTTTTATATCTGATAATGTACGGACTGCGACTCTGCGAGTGTTTTAAATGGCTTAAAAACGACCCATCTGGTGAGTTCATTGGTTTAATATGTAAATGCATGAACATGATTTTTTATCACAAATGAAACCACCGACACGGCAGTGATAATTATTGAATCGAATGAGATGCCGACAAAATCTCGATATTTACCCATAACCCTATGAACTTGTCGTTAGATCTCGACAACCGTCCTTTGTAGCTCAGTTGGTTAGAGCGCTGCATCGGAATCGCAGGGCCGCATTTTCGATTCCTGCCAGGGATCTATATGCTGTAATTGTTAGGTCTAATAAATGTATATAAATTTCCACTTGATAATTTCCATCTACAAGACCCTTCAACTAATCCCAACCTTGTACCCAGGGCAACTAACCCTTGATAATCCTGCCGATACAGTAAAAGACCGAAATATAACTGAAATGTTGTTCGGTACCCACTAGATAGAATAAGGTTCAGATTTGACTTAGTGAAAGTCAAATATGAACCTTATATAATAGAAGCTCAACCAGTATAGCTGTCAATTCGCAAAAATTGGGGTGGGGGGATTTAAATTGCTACCATTTTGTTGCTTTATTTAAACTTTTTGCCTTGAATTTCTTGCAAATATGCGTCATTTGTAGCCCACCAATGCTTTCATTGGTGTATAATTATTCTAACAGCTTTGTTAGACAGTTATTAGCTACCATCCAAAGGCTTTAAGAAATTATTTGGGGAGGGGTGCAGTCGCTTCTCCCCTCGCCATCCAGATATCCGCCATTGAACAAATATTGCGTTATGTGGTGCATATTGTTAACACGTTTTCGTAAGCAGTTCGCAATAAAAAGGAATTTGGTACAGTGCAAATTGTTGGTTCAAATACTTAAGTTTTCTAGCAGTATCTTAACGGTGTTTCTCTTTCGTCAAATCTTTAGAAAACTTGACCTGGGCAGTTCACCACTGTATATTGGCGGCGTTTCGTCCTTGGACGTAATATTTGCTAATTCTGATCATGTATCTTCGTACGATTTTGTTGGCTGCATGCGAGATATTTACCTGAATAACATTGAACTTGATGTAAATATGGCAGTATCAAGATATGGAATCACCAACAGTTGTCCTCGAGTTCCTGAATGTGACCAGAACTTGTGTCATGGCGGCAGCACATGTATTGATAAATGGTTCAACACACTTTGTCAGTGCACAAATGATGCATATGGTGGATCGAAATGCAACAAAAGTAAGTAGCTAACTAGTAAGTAGCTAAAATATCCTTGCTGTGTCGAATTGTAGTTTCTTAATTCGGAACTTCCTGGCATGGTATCCATTAAACAATAAATCCAGATTTGTCCATGCGTAAAATTGCTTGCATGTTCAAGAGTCAACGTTATTTCACAAAGGTCCATTTTTCTTGCAGCACCTTATGATAAAGAAATATTGTACATAGAAGCCGTATTATTTACATAGAGAATAATACATGGGTGCGCGGGAATACCAGATTTATTTCGAGTGTTGAACATGATATCATGTTCAACACTCGAAATAAATCTGGTATTTCCAAGCACCCTTGTATTTTTCTGTTTATTATATAAACAAAATTCAGTGAAAAACAATAAAACGTCCGTGGCAATGCGTTTTACAACAAATGATATTTTCACACGTAAAAATATCGTATTTTTTACAAAAACTCTATATAACACTTATGTTTATATAATAAAAAACTATACTTTATGTCAACACTGCCTTGAATTTTACACCCTTTCAAAAAGTACTCAGCCTATAGGCTATAAAGCCTCGTTTTCGTGATTGAGATCTTGGGCTTAGCGCCCTTTATCTTGTGACAGGTGACGCCACACTTAGGAGATCATACAATTATATTTATAACATAAAAGAGTTTTATATATAATTAGGTCGTAGCCTATCTCCCAATCCCGAAAACGAGGCTCTATAGCCAAGTATTTTCCGGAACGTTTCTCAGTTGGCTCAATATCTTGCATGTGTCTAGGTTGATTCTATATCATTATATCATTACTTTCGTGTCTCAAACGAATTTACGCCTTCTTTAATATTATCTTGTCTGCTTTTCAGAAGTGAAACCTCTAACATTATCAGATGGATCGGTACTGCGGTTTCAGTTCGAAGCTAGCTATCAGCGCAAAACTGAGTTCTTAGAAAGACGCGATCAGAGTCGTCGACGAAGAAATGTGGAAAATGTAGAGAGTTTCTCAATGAACGTTAGAGTTAGAAATGACGATGGATTCCTTTGGCGAGCACAAGATAACATGGGAAATTATACTCAGTTACAGGTACGTTTTCGCTACGTCTGACACGCGTTATCAATGGAAATGATTTTCCTAAATAATTTTTAATTTTTCTTCTCGGTTCAAGCGATGGTGCTTCTTTGTATAGCATACAAACTATGAAACCTTATGTGCCATATGATTTACACACATAATGTCGTAAAATTGTTCAATGAATAAATGTAATAATTTACACTGTACCGCCAACGGAAATTGCTTGCCTTAACAAGTTACACGCGTCTGTTAATCAGAATATATACAGTTAAAGTATAATTTGATTTTGCAGTAATCCATCTTCTGAGTGGCAAGTCTACATCACAACTTTCTTAGTTGCATTAATTAATATGTAAATACAATTGAAATTATCTTCATTTGCTTGATCGCTAGTTTGTATGGGTTCATGCACATCACGTGGTTCGTATATAGTAATCCAAGAAGCCCTTGGTCACCACGGCTAAAACAAACGTCAGTAGCTTTATACTCTATTTTTGTACAAAATATGCAAGATGGCACCTGATGATCTGACGTTTACAAACGATTAATTGCTTCTTTTTGTGTGTGTTGGTGTATATGTACTCAGGTGAATATGATGTTTGTGATGTTACTCTGAGTGTGCATCCACACTGGGCAAGCTGAAACGTTTTGCCTGACCACGGTGGGAATCGAACCCGCGACCTTTGGGGTACTAGTCCAATGCTCTACCAATCGAGCTACGAGGTCAAGTCGGTCCGAAATATCACCACTCGAACCGACTTGACTTCGTAGCTCTGCTGGGAGAACATTGGACTAATATCCCAAAGGTCGCGGGTTCGATTCTCACCGTGGTCAGGCAAAACTTTTCAGCTTGCCCGGTGTGGATGCACGTGCACTCAGAGTAACATCACGAACATGATTAATTGCTTTTTACTATCAACAGTATCTGGATGTAGTACAGTGAAAGTACTTCTGTTATCATGAATGCTGGGTTTGGTGGATAATGAACATATACATGCAGTGTGTTAGCCAGAAGATTAAAAAATTCTGTAATTTAATGAAAATGGGAATTTCAGTTAGCCTGCGACATTTAGGGGAATATCGTGCTTCTTAAGTGACGTTTGCGTGCCCTAGGCCCCTAGCGCCACCTGAGCTAAATTGAAACTTTTGAAGTGCAAATCATCTGACATTGTTTTTCTTACTAAAACAGACAAATATATATTTTAGGCTACTGCCAATCCTCGCAACACTTACCTGGTACCCAATTTTTCTTGACCAAAGTTTTGAAGTTTAACAATCTTTTATATATATACTAGTTTATTATAGTTACGTTTTTGGCTGATCTAAATTCATGTGAAAATTGCTGGCTAAACGTAATATATATACAAGTTCAACCAAGTATGAAGTGCGAAAACATCTTTCAAGTTCACCATATCACAACCCGCACACCCGAAAATCTATAAAAAACATGAACTTGCGGTTACAGCTCGACAACAGGCCTCTGTAGCTCAGTTGGTTAGAGCGCTGCACCGGAGGGCCGCAGATTCAATTCCTGTCATGCAGAACCGCGTTCCTGGTTAGGCCTTAAAAATTATATATATATATATATATATATATATATATATATATATATATATATATATATATATATATATATATATATATATATATATATATATATGTATATATATATATATGTATATATATGTATATATATATGCTCACGTGGATTATCCACCAAACTCAGCATTCAAGTTCAACCAAGTGCCCGTGGAGTGCAAAAAACGTCTTAGAGAAATCAACTGTAACTAATATTTAATTTCTATTTCTAGTTCAAGTCAGGACTTGTACATTTATCATTGGGGAGCAATGTCAATGAAAAGCAACAACTGGTAATATCAAACAAGTATGTAAATAATGGTTATTGGTTTAACGTTTCTCTGACACGAGATCTCTCAAGCAACGTTCTCACGTTGAACGTCAACGGCAGTCGGAATGGAACACAATCTAAAGAACCCTACGTGTTCCTCAGTGGAACATGGACGTTTGGCAATCTAAAGACGTCAGATGATTCTGTTAGCAGTTTCCAGGGATGTTTATCAAAGATCAAAATTAATGGAGAAATAATATCATTAAATGTCACTAATCAGTACGGTGTATTGACTCTTGAAGCAGGAAACTTGGTCAGTGGTTGTGAATCACCAGATTATTGTGCGTCTAGTCCATGTGCTGGCAACACCTGTGTAAATAACTGGCAATCCTATTCATGTATAGCATATCTTGACAGTAATGATACGTTAAGCGTCGGAGCTATTGCTGGCATCGTTTTCTTCTGTATTTTGGTCATTGCTATTATTGTGGCCGTGATTGCAGTAAAGAAGAGAAGGACTAGAAACGAGTTTGCCGCGAGAATATCTGGCAAAACAAACGCAGCAATCGAACGAGATAACTCAGGAAGTTCAAGTTCGGCGTCATTGCCTTCTCGTAAGACACCTTCACGACATAGCCTTAGTGATAGTGGAGTAGATATACGAAACAGAAGCAGTTCTTTATCACATGAAAACTTGAACAAAACCAGTTCATCCAGTACTAATGTGATTCCACTTGGGTCCCCTGATGAATACACAATTGTGACGTCACAACATGATAGTGTATCTGATGATGGAGATAAAGGATTTACCGACTCAGAAAGTGAATATGGAAATAATGCAGCTAATCTTACTATCTCATCTCTCCCATCTCGTCTGAATAATACTCAGCTCAATCAACAACAGCCACCTTCAAAAGAAGCACCAATGAATTATTACAATAAAGTTCCGTTTCTAATCAACCGAGGATTTCGAAAAGATCAGTATCCATCTTCAAGATCAACATCACCATCTGATGAACCAGAGAGCATTGAAATGCAGAATTATTCCAATGATATTGAGAATGCAGAACAATATAGTATTGGCAATGCAAGTTTTGCTACTTATAGTGACTTGAATGACCCAAGTTATAATCCATCGCGGTATTCAGATGATCGTATGCGTTATAAACCTTCTTTAGAACGATTTTCAGAGTCAGATGATTCAAATGATGAGAGACAGTTAGATAACATGACCAATTCATTCGAACCTACAGCACATCTTGATAGTTCGGGAGAAAGTTCAGACGGTGGATTCACTGCGAGTGAGTATGAGTATGAAGAGCGGCCAAGTTATGAAGATGAAGAAATGAGAGGACCGAAAGGCACGAGGAGGAATAGAGCAGAGTCGCACGGAAATGGAAGTGAAGACAAGAATGAAATGAACGTTGATGACCCAGTAGATATAGATTCCATTAACTTGGATGATATTTTAAGACGGAGAACAAACACAAGCAGAGATACATATCAAACTATTTCTCGATTAACAGATGATGATGTGGAAATAGTCTAATTAGTTTTTAAAATTGAAATAATATAATTTTGTATGTATGTATGCATGTATGTATGTATCTGACGCAATGCAAGACATTTTTTGTAAAGAAAAATTATCCTTATATACATTTTGTAAAAGTAGTTTCAGAAGAAATTGAATTAAACCTTTGATATTTACCGTAAAAAACCCCTGAATTATCCGAAAACAACACTTGCCTAGCAGCTCAAGTAGCTCTAATATAGCAAGGTATTGCATGGTTAGGTCATATTATTCTGCAAACATGAAGATTTAATTTAAGGCAATGTTAAATGAAAATCCGCCCTTGATTACCTCGTGTATTTAAAAGGAGGGGTAGAGAAATTTCTGGTGGGGTGCAAGCGACACCACTCAGTGAGCTTCTTCGACCTACGGGTAAGGTCTAATAAATGTGTAAAATTCACAGTCGAAATTTCCACCTACAAAACCCTTCCACACTGTTAAAGACTTTCAAAGACATGACTACGCTCTAGAACAATATAAACGCCAAGTCGAGGTTTAGTGCTAACTTGCTATTGAAACATTGCAATTTGATTTAATGATTTAATGATTTAATGAGATTCGGCTAATATAACGCCAGGGAGTTCGCCACAGGTTTCCCCAATTACGGCGACCCCATAATTAACTTTACGTTTACAATAATTTTAACAGTCGAAACGAACTAATTTAAGACAAAATACAATCGGTGCAAGAGACAACTAACAACAACTTAAAACATCATCAAGGGACCTAGCCCTTTTACATTTAACGCACACAGATTTCCAAGTTCGCGGATCGTCATAGTTATAAATATTAGATAGCGCGTATTTGTAGTACGTCTTTAGTCCAGATTTGAAAGCTTGCAGGCCAATATCTCTATTACGGAGGTCACTATTTAAAACGTTCACGTTTTACACGCTCTAATAAGATATGAAGACTGGTATGTTACAGTTTTAGCAAAGGGTATTACAAATCTAATCACGTTTTCGTTGGTTTCACGTCTGGTTATTCCTGATTCAGCTATTATTGGTAGAGCACTCTCATCAATATAGGTATAGTTGTTAATTAACTTATAGAGTAAAACCATGTCCAAATATTCATGCCAATAAGTTATTGGTAGTAACTCCAGTTGATGTAATCTGGTTATGTACGAAATTTTATAGCACGAAGTCTCGTTTTCTGGCTATTGTCTGTGAGCATTGCCATGTACGACAAATTTCAGAGCAATGGAGCGATCTCTTTTGAAAATTGACATTTGGTCGTAGATTTGGTATTTTGCGTGTTTCTGTGTGGTGTCTGTTTATTTCAAAGAGAACAACAACCTCGCCCCCACCAGTGGCGTAGCCAGGGTTTACAAAGTGAGGGCAGGGTTTATTTTAACGTGCAGTTCTACACAAAATGTGCAGTTCTAAACCCATTTGTGCAGTTCTTAAAACATAAATGTGCAGTCACCAAACTAACAAAAATAGCCTTAATTAAAACTGTCTTCTCATTCACTCATTACCCGTGTGGATGCTCCAGAAAATTCCAGAAACATTGTCATTAATTGAGCATCAAAAATATAAACGCTTTCTGGGGGAGGACTCCAGACCCTCCTATTTTCCTTACAAATCACTTACGTGCTCGGGTAATGGAAAAGAAGGTAAATTTGGGGCGAGCGAAGCCCCCCAAAAGAGATTAGAGTGGGATAACCTAATATACTTTGCTTCCTCAAATGCGAATTTAAGGTTGTTATATATTGATTATCCATGATTTTCAGTTACATGTTTTGAAACAGTTTTTGAACTTAGGGAAAGTACATTTATTATGCCGAGGGGGGGGATGAAGATGTTAAGGGGGGGCTCCGAAATATTTTCTGGCATTAAAGGGGGGGCTCTGAAAGTTCTTGATATACTGAAGGGGGGCTCTAAACTTTTCAAAGGTTTGACCCCAGCAAATTAAAGTTAAAATTTTTACATTTTCAGGTAAAATTTGCGTAATAAAGTAATTATTTTTGTGAAATGATAACCATTTTTGTAAAATACAGTCAATTTACATGCAATTTGATTGCGAAATTTGCTTTAGAAAACGACAGAAGATACGTTGGGTGGGGGCGACATACTGTAAGGTTCCAGCACATTACCCTGATCCAGGAAATCCTGGCCACTACATGAACGTGTTCAAGACTCCGAATACGCTGAATGATGGACAACAACAACCTGTTGACAATTTCACCCCTAGAGCCAATTTAAAATGTTTTAAAGACGGTGCCATTTCATCTGGTGCTAGTGAGGTGAAAGAAGCAGCAGATCGGTAGTTTTGTTGAGGAGAAGCACATGCTTGAGTATATCAGACATGTTGAGGAACTGCAAATTGTATCTATGATAAGAGAGAATTCCGGATTGTACTCCTTCGATTCTGAATTCTAGAGGGGAGGCATTGAAAATTTTAAAAACTTGGAAGGGGGGCATCGAAATTTACCGATAACCTCAACAGGGGCCCTGTAAAAATATGAGCTTTTTTCAAGACATCTTCATCCCCCTCCCTCGGTGTAATAAATGTACTTTCCCTTACAGTGTAAGAGCCTCTAGATTCAAATTGTTTTGGGGAACACCCTCTTGCTCCCGCACCCAAAATCGAGTTTGTCTGGCCTTTCTCCCACCCAACCACACCATTATTCTGTCACCTATATCCTTCGCCCCCTCCCTATATGTGCAGTTCTAAATTTTTCACAACATCCCTATATGTGCAGTTCTATATGTGCAGTTCTATATGTGCATCCCTATATGTGCAGTTTTAATAACATCCCTATATGTGCAGTTCTAAATTTTTCTTAAAATAAACCCTGAGTGAGGGGGACAAGTTGAGCGCCAAAGGCGCGAACACTGTAGGGGGGGGGGGGGGGGTCCGGGGTCCCCTGGAAAATTTTGAAATTCAGAGCCTCTGAAACGCCATTTCGTACATTTTGGGGTGAAATTTTACAAAATTCAGAAGATTATATTAACATGATCATAATTCGGTCAAGAATGCCTGCGTCTTCAGTTATTAGATTGCGAATAATAAGCTGGACATAAAATCGGATCAGTGTTTACCCCCGCCCCCCTCCCAGTTTCTCAACGGATTTAAACATCACTGGCCCCACCACTGGTCCCTACAGTGAACACGCCGGAAAGTACGTCGTGTTGGCCATAAAGCCTCGTTTTCGTGAGTTACAAGTTAGTCAAGTTATGCTTTAACTAATGTCGTGAGTATGAAAATGAGGCTCTATAGCCAAAGTGACGTGCTTTCGAATTCTGGAAGGGTGTATTTTCACTGAGCTTTACCATCTTCGCGATGTTGCCTGAACCCTGGCTTTTACTCAATGCACTGTAGCTCTAGTCCTATTATCTATTCTGTGCTCTTATGAGCTCAGTGGCAATTTTCGTAGTTTTACAGGTGCGTCAAAAAATTCCGGACAATTTTTTCGTGAGTGATCTGTTATCAAAATGGCGACAGAAGAAGAAGGTGCAGAGAAAGATTCTGACTGGAGTTTAACTGGATTTCTCTTTGGAAATATTAACGAGAAAGGCGAACTAGAAGATGAATCAATATTAGATGAGGTAGCTCGAGATTTGTAATTGAACAGTTTTTGCAAAGTTTATATAAAAGTATTTTTATTATTATTATTATTTACACTATACAGTATAAAATTATAAATACACTAGTGAGTTTGTAAGTATACTATAAAACAAGCCACCCAGAAAACTTTAGTTTACTTAACTTCCAGTCACCTTCCAGTCACAAATATTAGTCCTTACTTCTACTAAATAAACTATTATCTGGCTTTTCAAGGGTTATATTCAATCAAAATTGTAAAATATGATAGAGGTGAAAAATAAAATGTTGTTGTTAGGGGCCACGTCCATATACATGTTGCTACAAATAATGTTGAATCAACATTATTTCTTCACTCACCCACCCACTCCCGATAACGTCGATCGATATTCAGTTGTATAGTTGTAGCTATAACCCCCACCAAACAAAATGTCCACCCCTCAAAAAATTTTTTCAACCCCCCCCAATATTCGGCATAATAAAAAATAATTAAATAGTCCACTCCAATGTGCAGAGTGTTGATGATACAAAATAAACGTAGGAGTACACTCAAATAGAAAAAGACAATGCAATACTCTGAAACTAATCGCTTCTCGCTTGCATTCACTGATTTATTGGAGCAATTGTAAAGTTTTGAAACTCAATTATCTCCCCTGAATAGAGTTTTCAGTGCCTTGTCATGCAAATAGCTTGCTTGCAAGGAACGTTTGGAATTTTTACGAACATTATTTTTAGTTTTTAATTCTTTTAGGAAATAGACTTGCCTAGATTTAATCTTTACGCCCCAAATATTATTTACATTGGAGTTGCATCATAAATTGTACTTGGATTCAAACGATACAATGTCAATGACTTTATAAAAGTAAAAGCATATTGTGTATTGGCCTATTGGGTACTTTACACTTTTACAGGTTCATTTAACTTTAACTCCCTCAAGTCTCAATAGACAATCGGATATGCCAAATCCATTGATATGACAACTTCAAAAAACTTTTTTTCCAGGGATACTTTGTTTTCTGCCCTCTAGACTCCCCCTCGCTGCTCTAGTGCTCCACCCCTAGAATATAGACCTTACTGGGGTTTGGTGACACTTTGTGTTGCTTCAGTCACCTGCTCACGGCTCACCCCCCTAAAATTTCTGGCACCACCCCAGTAAAAAATATGAAAATCCATCTATGGTTGTATTTTATATGATACAAAATCTGGATTGTGATGGTTACTTTGTCAAATATTAGGGAGATTTAGATCAAGGACGCGGACATCAAAGACGACGTGAAAATGGCGTCAAAATGGCGTTGCATATCCATACATGGGCACAACACGCCATTTTCACGTCGTCTTTGACGTCCGCGTCCTCGATCTAAATCTGCTTAATATTGTCAAATTGCCACAAGATAACATCAATAAGTTCACATAAAAAGCCACCCACCCACTCATAAGGTCGATTCAACGTTATTTGTGGCAACATGAATATGGACGTGGCTCCTAACAAGTTCTGTTTTTATACTGAAAGGAATCTCGCCGACATTTATCTCGTTTGGAAAGTCTTGGTGGATTAGGAAGCTTGGTTAAAGATATTTCCAGTCTAGAAGAAAGATCTGAGAGAGTAAATTTATTGGATAAAGTGGGAGGTTTGTTATTGTCTTTTTACAGCAGTCAGCAAAGGTTACTTGACACTGGCATGTATAAATTATTATCGCAATTCGCAAGTATATATATATATATATATATATATATATATATATATATATATATATATATATATATATATATATATATATATATATATATATATATATATATTATATATATATATATATATATCATTATTACATCAAGTGTAGCCTGCAAACCCAGATGTCATTTCCCACGCTCATTCTTGGCTTGGAAAGTAACGTCTGTGAACCCGAGTAGGAATTTGATCTCTGTGATGTATGTCTATTGTCTTATGTGAAAATAAGACAAAAACTGTCAAGGGGGCAGGGTGGGGAATTTAGTGGGCAAGTTGTAAAAAGTGAATCTGGTATAGCATAACTGGGACCTTAATCACCTCTGCCAAGATGTTATGTTTTCATCTGTGTTTGTATGTGTCTGTCTGTTTGTCTGTCAGCATGGTAACTTTTAGAAATGTTATAATATGAAAATAAATATGTGGGGCTAATTGGACATTGCCCAAGGGCAAATTAGCCTTTCTCACAAAGGCCAAATTTGCCATTTTTGGGATACTTTTTTGAAAACGACATGAAAAATCTAGTAAGCAATATGAAAACATTTTTTTTAATATTTAACTGTAAAAGTGTAAATTAACTTATAATGATTATACTCACAATTATAATACAAATATATAGGGTTAACCTCTCAACTTTCCATTAGGTCTATGTGCATGCATGGCCTAAGAATAAATTTATGTTAAATTTATAGTTATACAAATCCCGTATTCACTGCGTTCAATCTCAGATTTGGAAAAGGCAGTATCCAAAAAATGGCTGTGTGAGAAAGGCTAATTGATTAAACTACGCCAATTTGAAATTTATGTTTTACATTATGGCAATTTAAAAAAGTTAATGCCGACAGTGGACATAATGGACATTTGTATCTTGAAATCCTGGTTAATCATTGTTTTACTCTGTCTAATGCCAGACAATTTTACTTGTAAAGGGGAGAGTGTTGCCACTCAATGGGTAAAACAAGAAATTTTAACAATTCAAACATGACTATATATATTGAAATTGTCTTAAATGAGAGGTTCTACCAAGTGTTCTTATATGTGGTACGTGTATTACTTTCTCTGAAGACACAAATGACTCCTTCCTATGCACAATGTATTTTCTTTGAGCTAATTTGCTCTGCCTATTTGGCTATTTTATATCTGCTTGCATGTATATGTATCTTAATGTGACATAATTACAATATATTACTGGGTAATCTTATAGGAGTCAATTATCCTTTCTCACGAAGGTCTAAATCCGCCATTTTTGGGCACTATTTTATAAACAACGTGAAAAATCTAAGCGATGTGAAAATAATTTTTCAAATATTTAATTAACTGTAAGTCGATTTAAAATTATTATACTTACAACAGACTATAGTGTTATAGTCTATAGAAAGGTTCATTTTCACTGCTTCCTACCCCTGTTCTAAAAAGGTTGCCATCCAAAAATGGCGGCATGAGAAAGGCTAATTAGATATATTACTTTTTAGTTGACAATTGACCAGAGTTGTATTACAATGCATATATTTACAGGTTCTGTTGCCAAAGCATATAATGCTGCAGATTTTAGTGAAATAAATGAATTAGCTGATGATGAAGAGGCAAATTATAGAAGAGGGTTAAAATTTCTTTCACAAGAGAGTAAAGGTATATATATTATATGTGTCCTTGTAGCATATTGGACATTGTGGGTGACAAAGTAATAATTACCAACTAAATTCTTTTTAGTTTCATCAAGTTCCAGTAAAGATGAAAATTATGATGATGATTACGATGACAGTAAAACAGGTATTTAATTTGAGATTTTCATTGCAGAGTGCTACATTATGTCACTGACCTCTAGCTTAATACAGTAAAACATACATCCTTGCTGTAGAAAAGCTAAAAGGAAAATGCTCCACAGACCTCACAATATATTGAAGGTCAATCTTCAAAAATTGCAGCAATTGCATTAGTGTACTAAAGATACTGCAAAATTTAGACTTGATACATATACTTTTCGAAGAGGCGTTTTCTGATTTTCATGTATTATCTTTAGATATTCACAAGGATTCACTTACAAAAGCAGAGCAAGATAGATTGGCAATGCCTCCACCAATAATGGATAATGGTGGAATGATAAAACAAGATGGTAGGAAGATGAAAACATTTGTTTACATGGAACAATTTTCATTATAGTGTGCATTATATGTAGTTACAAAATACAAGTTCTTTAGAACTGAAATGATCTGAATCAACTCACCCAAGGACCATTTATAAAGCATGAACTTTCATCTGCGGAGCATTAAGCCATTTAAGACTGTATTTTTCATATTTGCGTATAGTGTTTTTGCATGGAAAAGTTTAATTCCAGAAAGCAACCCTACCTCCCCCATGGAGGAAATTGAAAGTTAACCCCCTACCCCCTCAGATATCCTAATACAAAACAATTTCTTCTCCTTCCCACCCAGACAGGAGAAATTTCCTCAAGCAACCTGCTTACAACTTGAGCTGTGCTGGGTGAAACTCGCGTACGTTGTTTACAAGTTTATAGATAGTACCAGACCATTGTTAGTACCAAGCATGCAGAAAATTTGATATTTTTAAACACGAAAATCCAATCATCTTGTATTTAAAATTTCAAATGTTCCATTGGTTCATAATGTTTGTGTAAAATAATTATTGAGAAAAAAATATTGCAAGGTGCAAAAGATTTCAAGCCCGATAGGGGACTCGAACCCCTGGCCCTCAGATTAAAAGTCTGATGCTCTACCAACTGAGCTAACCGGGCTCGCATATCTGATTGGATATATAATTCAATAATAATTGGTCATTAGAGAGTTTAAGCTTCGCGTTATACCTGTAACGGCAAACGCCAGGCAAAGAAAAATTTTACGGTATCAGGAAATAATGAGAAAATAAACTTGCTGTTTTAAAACTGAAATACATAATTATTCTTTCGACGCAAGAAAGAAAACATGAAACGAAAACGTTCAACGAAAATTTTGCCACGAAATTTCGATTCTGCCGTTTGCCGTTCCCGGAAACGTGAAGCCGTTAAACTCCCTATTACTGGACATTACTAACGTAACGGTGAAAAGCCCGTCATGACTCATGGCGTATATTAAGGAAACTGTGGGTATTTTTAATATTGAAGTATCAACCAAGCTATACTGCAAATAGTTTGCTGTCTATACTGGAAATAGTTTGTTGTGATAAACAAACAAAATCACGTTACAAGTTTATAGTATCAGACCATTGTTCGTACTGGACATACAGAAAATTTGAAAACAGTATCCATGGGACCAAGAACTTTTCGGTTGCATGGATCGTTGGGACTGGTTACGAATACTTAAGTAAAGTGATTGATCATACGGGAAATGTTCAGCATGAACCATGATCTATCAATGTAAATGTTGAAAAGCTGGCTGACCATTATTAGCGAAAGTCCACAGTTGCTCGGACATTTGTCAGATCCAAGCAAAATTGTTATACAGTAATCCACACTGAGAACTAGTGTAAAATATTTTTGCCCGTTTTTTGTACGCAAAGCAATGTCAGTTTACTTGCACTTCAAAAGTATCAGTTTAATGTGGGTCTCAATGTCACGGGCTAACTGAATTTTCCAATTTCATTAAATTGCCGAGATTTTTTCCTTCTGCGTACACAAAACGGAATGCTGTCCTTTTTAGTTGTTTCATAAGTATATTTCGCTGATAAAGGAAACAATCTCGTATATATCTGCTCTCGATAGCAAGAATGTTTTTGACTCGGCCTTTTGTTCTGCGAAAGTATTCCTGGACCAATGGATTTTTTTCGTGGATTTGAAGAACTGTGGAAGAGGCCAACGATGTATTGTGTATATAATGTAGAAGGTTTTTAGAACCACTGAGTATTTTAACAAAATACAAAACAAGTGTAACTGCAAAGTCGATAATATTTTTATTATTTATCAGCGTTTCAGTCATCATCGACTATATTTCGCCATCATCAGGATAAATCCTGATAAATTTCGAGTGGATTTTTAATACATTATAACAGGTTTTTTTTCAGGATTTTCTCTTGGGTCCGTTTTTGCAGAGAAGATTGAGTTTAGCTGAACAGTTGGGGTGGCTGCACCCCCCTTCAATAAATGTAGTTGAGACGCAATGTGTTAAAGCAGGGGCACTAAAGCCCGTTCTCCACTAGGCGAATTTATTCGCGCGAACAGATAAAAAGTAGGAAGCGATCCTACTTTTTCGCCGCGAATTTTTTCGCCGACCAATCACGTTGCCGGATTTCGGTTTTCGCTTCGCGTCGCGCGAACAAATTCGCGTAGTGGAGAACGGACTTAAGGGACACTATAAACTGGTTAAAGATGACGAATGCGTAGTTTTTCTTGTGTTGTGAGATGAATTCCAGCCATTTTTCCTTAATTTTCGGGTTTCCAACTGAAAACTAATTTCCACACGTCACGAATTTAACTCAAACAACTTTATTTTTACTGCACCGAAACTTTGGTGAGAAGATTGAGTTTCAAAACTCAATTCAAGATTGAGTTTTTGGGGCCTTTACGGCCCTAAAAAATCCCTGGAAAAACCCCTGATTTATTAGATCTAACCAGGAGCAGTTAATGTTACAGCTATGACCTCTCTCTGGCAGGAATCAATCTTGTGGCCCCTCGTTAGGTTTAATAAATGTATAAAATTTACACTCGAAATTTCCATCTACAAAACCTTCTACAATTTGTCATTTAGAGAGTAGATGCCCAAATTCCTGTATATAATATAGATATTTTTTCCAGGTGCATCCGATACTTCGTTTCTTCCTCAAACATCAAATGGTAAAACAGTTCTTGATCTGTTTCCTGAGTTCCGACCTGGCAAAGTATTGCGCTTTTCTCGTCTGTTTTGGCCAGCCAAGCCATCATCGTTACCTCAGTTATGGCGGAATGCTAAGAAAAGACGAAAGAAAAAGAAAAAGCAAGAAGATCCTACGACTCCAGTAACACCTTCGTTTAAGATTCATGATGAATATGAGTCTGATGATGAGGTAGAAAATCTCACGGCCCGTTTTATTGTCTGGGGACAGGATGCTATTGAGGGCTTCTTCCTGAGGATGGCTCTTTTATTAGGAAACGGAACAGGGTGGGAACGCTTTTTTTCTTGTGGGAAATGTGCCCTTAACCGGTTGTTCCCCTCAAACGTCAACTTGTTTCAATCTACACATGTGCACATCAATGTATAATTTAGTCAAAACTATCGTTGTAAATATCATTGATAGACTTTAAAGATAACGCAAAACAGGGTGTCGCGGGCTTATATTTCGTTATTTCAACCAAATTTGGCTGCAGTAACGATAGGATCGGGATGAAACTCATTTCGATGATGAAATTATTGATAATGTAAGCGTTGTTAACGCGTTCATGATAATGTAAGCGTTGTTAACGTTTGATGATAACGCAAAATGACGGCAGCTAATGAGCCAATACAGTGATGACTATCATTCTCCCTCACAGGACAGATTAATGAGACCGATAGAAAACGATGGCAAGTCAGATAGATCGTCACTGCAGTCACGTGATGGTTTAGATAAAGAAGAAGAGAAGATGTGTGCATGGCGGCATGGCCCAGCAGCATTGTGGTATGAGATGCTCGGGGTTAATGAAGATGGAACGAACTTGGATTATGGTTTTAAGTTGAAAGAACAGGTATACAGTCATTTTCGATCCTTATCACTATTTCATTACCACTACTTTTAATATCAACTATGTTCTTGGGTTTCATATAACGTCACGTGGGAGTCAAGAGTCTGTGTCAAGGGTACACACGTAAAAGTCTCACAACTTGTCAATAAGATGTGTTCGCAACAGGCTTGTAGCAAGCTTGTCAACAAATTGTTTATCAAGTTGCTACAAGGTTGTCACTCACAACTTGTCGACAAGTTGTGGAATTGCAGGACGATAACAAGTTGTTAGAACAACTTGTAACAAGTCTGTTGAGCTCAACAACCTTGTAGCAAGTTGTCAACAAGCTGTTGACAACTTGTCAACAAGCTGGGAACAAGCAGTGCGAACACATCCTGTTGACAAGTTGTTAGAACAGTATTGCTACAAGTCTGCTGCAGGTTTGTTACAACTTGTGCGTTTTTACGTGTGTAAAGGACGTCTTTTATATTGTTTTATATTGGCTTTTACAATATTCGGAGAACTAAATATTTACATAAGGTGGGTTGACAACCATTTCGTTTCTTGGTTGTTTTAGTTGACCTCAGTTCAATGATTACTCCCCACCTGAGTCAAATTATGCTAAAATATCACGTGATTTAACAGGGTTCGTAGCGGTCTTTGAAATCCTTGAAAGTCTTTAAATTTGAATTCAGGTCTTTAAGGTCTTTGAAAAGTCTTTGAATTGTGTGAAAAAGCGAAGAAAGTCTTTAAAAGTCTTTGAATTCTTTAGTGAGTATTTGCTTATACGATTTCCTAGCTGATAAAATAGATTGATTGAATCAAGATTTTCGCAAATATCGACGAAAAGGTGCATTTTAACATGTGATTTGACGGGACTAATTAAAATGTTGCTTACATTCGTAATTTTTCGACAGTTGATTGCTCTCAAAGATCTTTGAAAAGTCTTTGAAAATAGGCAGTACAAAGCTTTGAAAGTCTTAGAATTTTTTTGGTCTTGGAGACTACGAACCCTGTTTAAACCCATGAATGGAAGGTACTGTATGTCGACATACACTGTTTACTGCTTCGCGGAAGGTGTGAATATGCGTTGCTGGTGCCATACCCTCCCATTATTACAGTATGATGTAACCAAAGCATTACGATTTTTCCACGACTGAGAAACATGACTAGGAAACAAATTAACCATGTTTGCTATAGTTTGCCCAGGTTTAACATATCACTGTTTCAATTTAAGATTAATATTGAAGAAGAAAAGCCAAACACTGATGAGATTGAAGCAGAAAGAAAATTTCCATCAGATGATTGTTTTCATTTGGTCGCTATCAAGAGATGGGAAGATGATATCATTTGGTCACCTGAAGATGTTAAACTTAACCCGCTTTCTGAAGGCATTGCAGGATGGATACCTTCAGCTAATATTAGAACGACGTTAGCTTACGCCAACCAGCGTACAGCAGGTTTGTTATTTTAGACTATTGCAAGGCCAATTTTCCACCAGGTGAGTTTGTTCCCGCATAGCGAACAACAAATTTCTGCAACTTGGCCAGTCATCGAAAACCCCCGAAATGATTAGATTTACAATTTTGAGAACTGTTACGACTTATATTTTAATCGTTCAGTCTCTTAAACATGAAATGATGTATATATCTATAATCGTTTATGTCTAGGCTTATATACAGTAATTATATAGTAATTTACATATTCAAATTCTAACTAACAATATAACTCATGCATACTATCGCACAACAAGAACTAGCTTATGGTCCTTTTTACACGAAGGACAAATGAAGAGTGGATAAAAAACTAATGTTTACACCAGACCGGGTAGAAAGTTTCAGTTTAGTTATTTTAAAATTCACAATGAAGGCTGCTAATAGTGTTGGCAGTTGTGTATTTTCAGTATTATTACAAAATTCAGACCCATCCGAAAAAACTGTGTTCTCATTCATCCACTCCGATCAAATTCGTCCCAACTAGATTGTTGTCATTGTGGCTAAAGTGCGATTTCAGACCAGTCTGGATGATTTTTCAAACTGGCACTATTTAAACACAAACTTAGCTTAACTAAATAGTTACCATTCATTTATTTCAAAGCAGGCTCTAAGCTATGTGGATTGGAACAAAGTATCAGTAAAACAAAAGCAGCCATCAAAGCGAACCATGCTGCATTGGCAGAAAATGTAAAAGAAAATAAACCATGGTATTCTATATTTCCTGTTGATAACCAAGAATTAATTTATGGAAGATGGGAGGACAAAATTATATGGGATTCAGAGGTGAGGTGATTGCTTCAGTTTGTGTACTAAAGGTATCAGTTTCTTTCTAGGGAACCATGAAAGCATCGCTTGATATTTATATATACAGCTGCAAATGGCACATTGTCGACTTAACACTTCGACTAATATAGCAACCTGTTGACAAACACGTAAATGTCACAGTTCCATTAGCTCAACTGACTTGCAGAGCATCATCGGGCTTTATAAAGTTGACATAATGTCGACAGTCGTGTTCGTATACTGCACATTGTCTCTTTTTAGGCCATGCCAAACATTCCCGAGCCAGAAATCATGGAACTGGATCCCAATGATGAAAACTTGATTCTTGGAATTCCAGAAGATGTTGTTGTAAATGCTGGTAAAGAGCAAGAGCCAACACGAAGACGGGTAAGATAGCTGCCTCCTCCGCAGGCTCCTCTATATAGATCAAATTTAAATATCGGTAATATATAGATCAGCGCCTGCACTGCAAGCCCGATAAAGACGCACGCCTTTAGGCGCACGCCCGCAACTAAGGACGAGCGCGCAAAGGAAAATGGGAAGACGAAAAAAACTCCTCCCCTTCCCATCATTCCGCGCGTCCCCATTAATTTCGTCTTTTCCTAATTAATTATTTGATAGCAAGCGACTGGGGACGAGGCAGGTAAGATAGTGTTGTTTCCTGGGACGAGAGCTGGATAACTTACTTGTTGAATAAGTTAATAATGCATCCAACATAACTTAGTCTTCATAACTTAAGTGAGTAACCAAATATAATTACACCTCCTAATCCTATACATGCTTAGTCCATAAGACTTCAAGTACAGTGGTTAAAAAGATGTCTCAGACAGTTGTTTTATATACTGCACTTTTCAACCGGTGGAGCGGATTTCGTATACAGTATAGCCTGCGTAACGGCGCTAGGGAGGATGAGAGATAGAGATCAGTGGGAAAACGGGAAGGGCGAAAAATAAAAAAGCTCTGCCCTTTTCCCTTCGCTCTCGTTCTCTCGCCCTCCCTAGCGCCGCTACGGGCTACGTTCAGTACAACCGCAGTTCTCGTCATTCTGTCTCAGATGCTATTGATTGTATTGAATAACAGTGAACTCACATATGAATGGTTACCACATTGATGCAAGTATAGATCATACTCAAACTTGTTTATTTTATTGTAGTTATTTATGATTGCATATATTTATCTATTCAGGAACCCAAGAATAAGTCAAAATTATTGCTTGGAAAATCCAAAACGGAAGATGAAGACGAGGTATTGTTCGAAATAACTATCCATTTGACTCTGAACGTTTTTTTGGAAAGGACTTTCACTATATATGTAACGATATTGTACGGCGAAAATAGTTGAGAAGTAGCAACTATGATTTTCTTATTTCGCTTTTGCAAGATATTAAAGCTAAGTGAAAACTCTTTACTCGGGAGTTTTCCTGAGCTCGTAACGTCATTAATGAGACTAAATTTTACTAACATGATTTTTTAGGGGAGGAGATTTCATAATGAAACTCTTAAAGATCCATTCAATATATCGAATGATAAATATTATAATCCTAAACACAGTAAGTTTGGAGTTTTTTTCTTGTTATCTCTATCATGAATACGTTACCACTTGTACTGTTTTACAACTAACTCACCAAGCTGTACTAACTCGAAAGCTTATCAGATGAATAACGCAACCTAGCTCGGTCTCTTCTCGAGACGGACACTAAGTGGGGTGGGGCACGGAGGCAACTGCCCCCCCCCCCCCTATAATATTTGAGAACCTTTGAATGATAGAATTTTCAACAGACGCTTCTGTACTCATTTTATTATGTGTCTGGCAGGTGGCGCCCAAAACTAATGGTTATATGTATTTTTATTTGTTATCGATCGTCGTTCTCTATTTGTTTATTTTAGCCTCAGCTGAGAGTAGTCTGCAAGCTACAATGGGTACAAACCGTATACAGGTATGCACGTTATTGAAGTGTAAAACAGAAATTGATCCACTTGCTATTTATAATCCTCTCAAAAGTTTATGACCAAGTAAGTTTATAATTAATATACTTCGAATTCTCAGCATTCTACGCCGGCCATGGAGTTACAACGTCCATTCTTCCCTACATTTAACTCGAAAGAAAGCTTAAGACATTTCCACCGTCCTTTACTAAAGCGAGTCACCCATGGAAAGTTGTCAGTTCCAGGTCCACATCCGGTATCTGGTCTGTTGAAACATATCAAGAAGAAAGCGAAGGTAAAACACATTATAGTTTATAGTAATGCACTGCAATACTGCATGATGTATATATAGATGCAAGAATGGGAACAATAATTTTTTTGTTTAAAATTATAATACATAAAACTGTTTTTACATAAAACTGATTACAGCATCAATACCCCCACGATCCCACGCGCAGAAACCCAGGAAGGAGTTGAGAAGATAGTCAAAGGTGTTTGGGCGTGAATTACCCTTATAGAGGGAAGGAGAAAAAGCGCTTCAAACGATAATATTTCTTACTCAGTCTTAAATTATAACCGTTCCGTGTAGACATCCTATAGGTTACACGTTCACCTTTCCAGAATAGGAGCAGGTGAAACAAATACTCTGCCACTATATAGACTCCAACCTCTCGTACTCAGGGCTTCTGTGCTTGTGTAAGAAGCCCTGGGTACGAGGTTGTATAAACTCTCAAGTAAACCGCCTGTAACCACCCACTTCACCTCCACCCACTTCACCTCCACCCTGACTCGTACCCAGTCGTCAATGAATATGGATCAGTGAACTAAGGAGTGTGATGCATTCCCACCATGCACCATAATTTTTTCAATCGTCCTTCAGGGACTGGGTCAGGTCTCCACTTCCAAGTTTTATGTACACCCATTTCTGTTATGGTTTATTATATAATAGAGAGTAAGATACTGAAAAATACACAGTGAGATATTTTCCATATCTTCACTAGTAAAGATAGCGATCACGTGACAATTTGCTTTCGAGTGCGAAATTTCACAATTTTTTGCTTGGGACTATATAATAAACAGAACATTACACGGTGGCTTGAAGATATCACTTGTATCTTCTCGTGTTAAAAACAATATTTTACTCACTCGCTGCGCTCGTTCGTAAAATATTGTTTTCCACACTCGAAGATAAAAGTCATATCTTCGCGCCGCCGTGTAATATCCTCTATATACTTCATTTTGTTGAATATATTTCAATGATTTTCAGGAGCGGCAAAAAGAACGTCTTGCCTCAGGTGGTGGAGAGGTGTTCTTTATGCGTGACGTCACAGATCTGACAGGCATGGATGGTGATTTAATATTAGCTGAATATTGTGAAGAGTATCCTCCATTGATCATGGCTGTTGGGATGAATACGAGAATTATTGACTATTATAAAAGGGTAGGCTTTCACGTTCATACTATTAATTAAATCTCTTGATCTGCACTTAGAGCGTGAAATTTTGAGCGTCATCATTCTTCTACATTAAATCTCTAGTCGACACGTTGTTTACAGAGTCACAGACATGTGTTTCTAATGATTACATGCGTCGTAATTCAATCGCATTAATTCACTACACCTATTTCTGGTGCCATATTCTTATGAAATTGAGAACCTTTTGAAACGCGTTTTAGAAACTTTTTACAAATTCAAATTTGATTCATGCACTTGAATATGTTTCGGCCGATATAGACATGTATAATTTTGCTGCAATGTTTCTTATTTCACGGCAACTAGGTATTATCCTTTTGCATCGACGCCATCTTGCTTCATTTTTAGAACACCCAAAAACTATAATATTCTTTATTACTGATTGTATATCAATGAACACGCAAATCGGAAGAAAGTCATAATAAGGGTAGCTGTTACAGGCCAAGAAAAAATAAAATAACTGAACAATTTCACTGCAACAGCCAAGATAGACTCTGAAATGAACCAAGATGGCGCCCATTGAGACTTAGTGACGTCCTGTACAAGCGAAAATAGTGTCAAACATGTTTCGCTTTCTCGTTGAAGTATATACATGATTGTAATCCCTGAAGAAATTGAATTGATAACTGAACTTTTCGACACTAGACTATATGTCATATTTTTAGAAACATGGGAAAGATGAAGGTGCACCTAATTTTGAATATGGTGAAACACTTTATATTCATCAAACATCACCGTTCTTGGGACAACTCAAGCCTGGAGAATCTTTACAGGTACAGTAGAAAGATGGAAATTTTCTATGCATTCTATAACTTGGTTATTAGATAGCTTAAGATCTACGAAGTCGACATCATCTAGGACGCCAGGGCAGAGCAAAGGACTGGACGTCGTCCTAATTAAATAAACATCCACTCAAGATTCACGACTTCGCCTTTTAAACTCTAAATATTTACATCCTTTTGAAAACGAATTTAAAAGAGACGTGCATGTGGATCCATTACCGTTTGTTATGCTCTTGTATCCAAGACGGCCAAACTTGTTGTGATCTACTTATTTAAGGTGGCTCGATATAGTTATCAAAAATTCAGGTGTTCAACACTTTGAAATGTTCAAACTATGCATTTTTAGAATATATTCAGCAGATATTGGGTTTTTTATATATTTCGATATCTCTACTTTCAAATTATATTAGTTTTAGTAACAGATAGTTCGTTGCTATGACGACATATGTGTACAAAATACACTCCAAAATGGCCTTTCGTCTCGTATAGTTGGAAAAGAAGCATGGTGACCCCCAATTTTTTTTCTTGCATTATTGTACTTGGACGAAAAGCTAACAATTAGCAAAATATAAAAAAATTCTGTAATGCCATTTTTTTGGAAAATGCGAAAATGTCATATTCTTCGGTAAAATTTTTTTGGCATTACAGAATTTTTTTATTTTTTGTATAATGAAAGTTTTTAGCGGTGAAATACAGCATGCAAAATTTGAACATAGGTCACCAGACAAAATAAAGAGATATAGCGCATTGTTTTTCTAAAATGGAAAATTCAAATGACGTCAGCAATTGACATAAAACGCTATATAGAACACGCGAAATGACGTGAGATGGCGCAAGCAGCTGCTTATGTCAGGTCATTTTGGAAGTTCTGTCATTTTGTTAATCAGTTTCCGCGACCTGCGCGTAAAAATGGTCACCCGGTTTTGAGTTCGCGATTCTTGAGCAGGGTTTTCGTGATAACTATATCGAGCCACCTTAAGCTTGGTTCACACGAGCGATTTTGTTGGTGATTTTATCTTTCTGACGGACGTGAATGAATTATATATTTCTATAAGTCTTTTTTTGCATTAGTTAAATCACATCCCCCAGGAGGAGAAAAATCGCCGACAGAGTTGCTAGTGTGAACCAGGCTTTAGGACGACGTCCTAGAGCCAGTCCCCTGCTCAGCCCTGACGTCCTAGCTGACGTCGACGTCGTAGATCTTAAGCTATCTAATATCAAACGTCAAGAAGATGTAGAATGGTAGAAATCTATACATGTGCTATAAAGGCACAGTTTGATAAATATTTTATAGGGCTTTCAAAACAAGCCGGCGTCCGCCGTAGCTCCATATTTTGGTTAAATATTCCTGCAATGAAGGCAGCCATATGTGTTCTATATTTTGTGTTACTAGCATTGTTATTTGTAACTTAAAATACAAAAATATTTCTCTCACAGGCATTGGAAAGCAATTTGTATCGTGCTCCTATTTATGAACATGCGATGCCCAGTTCAGATTTTGTGATCATAAAAACAAACAACAGGTAACATAACAACTGTATTTAGTCTGATTTCGGGGAGTGTGGAGACTTTCAGGGGTTGTGACATTTTGCTAAACCATCGTAACCTCAATTATAAGATTTATAAATTATGAAGATTTTGGTAATTGTACTGGTAGATAAATAACTTTTTTCTCTGGGTGCGTGAGATTTGAATCGTCCTCCAATGAACCAACCATTGGACCATTTGCATTATAGACTAAATTTTGATCTAGACAAAAATTTCATCACAGCTTGAAAGAGCATCACAAAATTAGTAATATTCCAAAGTTTCGTTGCAAAATGTTGTAAAATGCGGATAATGTAGCCATGCGAAGTTTGCCGTTTTTCAGTCATTTTGTATTACGCACTGGGAATTGACAGCCCAATCGGGTGTTGGGGCATCAATTTCCCGTTTGTAATACAAAATGATTGAAGGTTGCAAATTTCGCAAGGCTATATTATCCGCATTTTACAACATTTCGCAACGAAACTTTGGAATATTACTAATTTTGTGATGCTCTTTCAAGCTGTGATGAAATTTTTGTCTAGATCAAAATTTGGTCTATAATGCAAATGGTCCATTAAAAGACAATAACTAGTGTCTGGTATTATGTGTGTGTGGGAGCTGTAATTATCATGTTTTGATTTTCAGTTACTATATACGTGAAGTGAAAACAATATTTTGTGTTGGTCAAGAGTGTCCAAAGTTTGAAGTTCCAGGTCCGAACTCGAAGAAGGCAAACAACCATGCACGAGATTTTCTACAGGTCAGGAAGTTTCGCATATATTGAAACCACTGTACTCCATGTCTTTTTTCATGGCAAAGTAAAATAAATTGAGTTCACTGAGTTCAACCTATCGAAGAACAACATTCTGAGACATCCATTTCGCTCCTCTTGTGATAATGACGTGGGAGTAGCTATTTATCATAATTCCCAAATAGAAACCTCTTTGAGAGGCTAACTTGGAGCGAATCTATTTATCTTCCTGCGTGTACATGCAATGAATGTTACCACCTTTCCCATCTAACGTCGTAGTAATTTATCACCAGCATGTTTCTCCTTTCAGTTTCTTGTTTAAACCAACCTCGTTCCCAGGGCTTCACGGCTGTCTGCGAAGCCATGGATTGCGTTTAAATCAGATTGATATTTTTCGCGAAAATCCAATCATCTTGTATTTAAAATCCAAATGTTCCATTGTTTCATGATATTTGTGTAAAATAATTATTGAAAAAAAAATATTGCAAGGTGCAAAAGATTTCAAGCCCGATAGGGGACTCGAACCCCTGGCCCTCAGATTAAAAGTCTGATGCTCTACCAGCTGAGCTAACCGGGCTCGCATATCTAATGAGGGTTAATATATCTTGTAAATGGTTGTCGCTATTTCGCCTATTTGCTGGCAACTTTTATTGTTGGATGGCAGTTCTTAGAGAATACACAGATGACATCAAAACCATATTGAAATTCAAACGCCTGTTTACAGGAGATCATTATGGGTTAGGAATTCGCGCGGAACAGTGTAAGTGTGACTGAGTGCGAGTGTGGTCTAGTAAGGCCAGTTACACGTGGCTGGATTGAATAGATTTGGGAATTATTTGATTCGTATTTGATTTTCCCTCATCGTTTGAAACCTTCGCAAAAACATAATTGATTTTCCCGCATCGTTTGAAACGTTCGCAAAAACATAATTCAGTTATTTTTTAGTGGAAAAATTAGCGCTCTGACTGGAGAATTGGACAATGTGCAAATTTGATGCTGTTTAAATCGCCGCGGTAATAATTTCAAATTTCAAAAAAGCCCAGTTTATAAGGGATTCGAAACCCTTGCCCTCAGATTAAAAGTCTATTGTTCCACAAGCTGATCTAACCGGACTCGCATAACTCATGGCGTATATTAAGGAAACCGTGGGTGTTTTTAAATTGAAGTGTCAACTATAGCTATAGCTATGCTGGAAATGCGAGGGGCCTTCGCTTGTCGAAATTCTCCTTATGTATATTCAGGTAGTGCATCCCCACCAAGGAAAGCGTGTTAATATACTGCAAATACTAGATTAAACTGCCAAATCATGTCTTTAAACTGAGCTTTTATTTTCAGGTATTTATCTACAGATTATTTTGGAAAAGTCCTGATAATCCTAGACGTATCAAAATGGATGATATTAAGAGAGCATTTCCTCATCATTCTGAAAGCAGTATCAGAAAACGTCTCAAATTATGTGCTGATTTTAAAAGAACTGGTAATGTCTTTAATTGTGTTCACAGTAATTATAATCTTACAAATATGGGTGGTTCAGTAGAAATATGCCCAGAAGCTGCTATTAGATCAGAAAACTGATCAATGTGCGGAGTCTAATTAACTACGATTGCAAGAAATTGAATAATGAATTTCCATCCGGTTGGAACTTAGTCAACAAATTTTCCGAGAAAACATCAACCAAAAGTCTGTCGCGACGTTTTCCTCTGTCTTCTATAAAACGTTTATGGAATAAATGCAAATGGATACGAGGATAGGAAAAGATAGAGAGTAACCCAATGTCTTCTGTGTGTAGGTGTTGATTGTAATTGGTGGGTTCTTAAGAATGATTTTCGTCTACCATCTGAAGATGAAATGAGAGCTTTAGTCACTCCAGAACAGTGTTGTGGTTATCTCAGTATGCAAGCGGCGGAACAGAGATTGAAGGTGGGCAGGCTTCTTTTATATATATTTTTTTATTATTATTATCTTTGTTAGGGTCAGTTAAATTACATTTACAATCTGAATATGAAAATATTTAAACATAACAAAAACTTAAACAAAATAAGAACCCTAAATGGGCAAGGTAAAAACAAGACTCGAAGAACCATGTAAGTATGCCCAAACTAAATTCTATATTTTAACTATAGATTCATGTCTCGCTGTTTATGGGTTCCCTATCCGTTTACGGGTTCCCTATCCCTAAACAGCGAGACATGAATTTAAAACATTCTAGTACCTTTACGGACGTTTCCCTATGTCTGAGCAAGCGAGAGAGCTTCAAAGGGCGAACACACGGTCAGCGGGAGAAATGTGGGAAATTTTCCTTCAGCCCGGATGTTCGCCCCTTAATCCTCTCGCTCACTTGGAGAAGCTGTGGAGAAGGTTGGGCATTCCTTATTTTTTCATTTGTAGTGTAGGCTTGGTAACGCAGTTGCAAGCTAAATACAACTTTGATTAAAATTGGTGAGACATGAAAGTCTCAAAGTCAGTTAATTTTACAAATGACTTACTCAACCTTGACTCCAGGCTTAGAGGAGAAAGCCTGGGAACGAGGTTGTTGCTGACTTGGTATACGTCACGTTGTATGCAGTCTTCGTGTATTAGGCGTTCAATGTCAGTGGTGGGCTTCTAAATCGGTTGTGTCATTAATTAATTTACTATTTTCAGGATGCAGGTTATGGTGAGAAGAACATGTGTGCAAGTGACGATGATAATGAAGAAGAAAATCAAAAGATAGATGACGAGGTAAGTAAAAATCTGAACAGCATCTGAGGAATTTCAAAAGTATAGTCAAAACATTTGATGGCAATTCCATATATCTTGTATGAGTTATCTTTCGAGTACCATTTAAATATCTGCCCGATTACAAAAACCATCCTTTATCTCCTCAATAGTTTTGGCGAATGATTAAATTATTACTACCTGGAACTGATCTTACAAATACATATTTTATTATCCAGTTCGGTTACATTTATGCCCAATACGTATGTAATATGTCCATGCATTGCAGTGATGAAATGTCTAGTGGTGATATGTATGTCTTTCTGTGCATCGGACTACAGAAATGTCCAATATACACCTAATAGTGTGCCTGAGGTAATTTCATTTCGAGACCTCATATGGATATGGGATTCCTGAATATGGTCAGTAGAAAGTGTCCATTCGATGGACGTTCTGTTAGATCAAGTGATGCCATTTTCTCACACACTAATCCACATAGGGTAACTTTCTCACATAGACCATTGCTGTACGTTTTGACAAACATTTGTGTTGTAAATACATAGTTATATGGTTAAACACAGACTGAGATATTTTCAGTTCATTTATTATTACATAATTTATATTTAGGTTCGAACTGCACCATGGAATACAACACGTGCATTTATATCTGCAATGCGAGGCAAGTGTCAACTAGCGGTCAGCGGTCCTGCTGATCCAACCGGATGTGGTGAAGGATTTTCATACGTGAGAGTTCCAAATAAACCAATTGCATCAAAGGTAACCCTAGCTGGTAGACATAACTCACATTCCCTAATTCACATTTCATACCTTTTAGCCAAGCGATATACTGAACTTTAACTGTTCTAATTATACGTTCTCGGAATATGAGTCCGTGATGTGCGATATTTTACCAGGACAATAAAAACATGACGGTTTAGAATATATCCTTCCGGAAATGCATCATCTTGGCTATAGAGCCTCGTTTTCGTTATTGGCTGACAACCTAGCATATTACATGCAAAGACTCTAAAGTCAAGGTCTGAAACACGAAAGCGAGACTCTAAATTGATCATTTTCAGCATTAGTGTAATCCAAGCAATGAGAAAAGAAAAGTTTAACAAATCCTGAGTGTGTCGTGCGCTGGTGCAGGGCTTTCAGAGTCCGTAATTAAGAAACCATGAGTAGCTTCTTACGATTCCTGGTTATTGGATAAAGTGAAAAATGCAACACGAATTTAATAATGCATGCATATACAGACATTATATTTTAAAGAAAGAAACCGGTGATAAAGCTCGCGTGCCACTTGCCAGAGCTCCAGCGGCCAACGGCTATTTCTGAAAGTAACTCGAACGGTCTGTGCCAGCATAGGGCTCAAAACGTCCAAGTTTTACTTGAATTTTTCATGGAGTTGAATCATTCCGCAGCTTTTTGGTATTTGTGAAAGCTCTGTTGGTGAATCCAACATGTTTAAAGGCCCGTTTACATTTGTAATCTTTAACGCGTTTTCTAGTGCGATTTTCCTCTTCTGATGGATGTGAACGAGTAAATAAGTTGTGAATGTTCAGAGTATATGAACCCTCATTTAAACGTTCTCAACTTATCCACTCGTTCACATACATCAGGAGAAGAAAATCGCACCTAAAATTGCAGCAGAAATTGCAAGTATAAACGGGCCTTAAGAATCCGTTAGCAAGTGAAATGATCAGTTCCTGTTTCGTGTCAAGGATGAAAACAGTGCTCAGAGTGCGTCAGTAAGGAAACAAAAGACTGTGACAGGAACTGACGCAGATTTACGACGTTTGTCGTTGAAAGACGCCAGGAAAGTTCTCAGAAACTTTGGAATACCTGAAGAAGAGGTGGGCTTTAGTTTATTTTATTCTTGTAATCGTCATATTTGTCGGTTCATATAACAATTTTTTATGGTATATGGTTTATGGCAATTAAAATTAATGATTATAACATTTGCCAAAAGCGATAGTTTAGAAATCTCTTATGAGTAATGAGATTAGAAGAGTGTTATGATCAGAGCCGTGCCGAGCGCTATCTGGTTGGGGGGGGGGGGATTAAAAAATTTGGGGCCCTTCCTTTCGGGGGCACCCTTCAAAAAAACTTTTCTGGAAAGCAAAATTTTTCCGTAAAATGTTGGTGGAGGGGGGAGGTCGACGTTGTTTTCCGAAAACAAAACGTTCCAAATTTTTTTTCCAAATGGATAATGGGAGTTTAAAAATACTTTTTCAAACCTTTTTCGACCTCAATTTTTCAAAAAATTTATTATTTAACACGTTCGGCAATTCCAGCATTCCTCTGGGCAAGTTGGGCCCCCTTTCTATATGTATTATAGCGGATTGTGCATTATATTGGTTTACCATTTTTGTCACGTTTTTGCAGATAAAGAAGTTATCGAGATGGGAAGTTATTGATGTTGTAAGAACACGATCGACTCAAGCTGCAAAATCAGGAGAAGAACGTTAGTATTTTATTTTGATGAGGTTATTTGTATAGATAATAGTATGGTTTCGAGTGCAATTTGGAAAAAACGTGCACGAGTGAGTTTTTCGAATTTAGACTATCAAAATTGCACGAGTCCGAAGGACGAGTGCAATTTGAAGTCTTTGAAAAACTCACGAGCGTATGTTTTTTTCAAATTGCACAAGAAACCATACCTATTACTTATTAATAATATACATGAAAAAATTATACACTCACGTACGTAAGTCACATCTAGAAATTAAGAAAATTAAGAAATTTGAAAAATAACAAATTAAGAAAATTAAGAAATTTGCACTCTATTTCATTTTTTGGCAAATTGCATTGTTCTTAGCCAATCAGCATTGAGAGATTTTTCATGCATATTATTAGTTGTAGAAGTAATACTGCATGCATGGGAATATGGGATCTCTCTCCCCACTAAGGTTTCTCACGCCTTTATAAGTTAGAGTTATAAACCGAGTAGGAGGTTTATAACTGATATATTGCCCCCGAAGACGCGTAGCGTCCGAGGGCAATATATCAGTTATAAACCGACTTTCGAGGTTTATAACTAACTTATATCATATTTGTGGAGGTTTTCTAACATATTTTGTCATTTTCAAAAAATTTTAATGAAAAATTCTCGCGTTTTGTCTACAAGTTTAATCTAATCATTTATTCAAGGCCTATAAGCTAGTTATAAACCTCGGACGAACAAAGAAAACCGACACAAATGTGATATAAGAAGTAGTAATTACTTACTGGATGCGTTACTCGCATACTTACGTTCCCGAGGCATTCCTGTTATTATCATACTTACATTTTGTTGATACCATTTGTCCAGCCAACTTTCCAAAGTATTCAATACTGTAATTAAGTTGGTATATATGTATAACTCTGACATATCTTGGTATGATACGTGCATGATTAGACTAATGGGATCAAGGAATGTTGGAGTGAACGGCATGTGTTTGTGCTTGTTCTAACTCGTAGTTACTGAATGAATATACCTTTTAAAAAACCATGATTTACAGTATGTACTTTATGTTACACCTCAAGTCTTAAGTTTGTAGCAGTTCAAGTACGCAGCAATAATCATTGGAATACCGCAGTCGGGTCCAACTAAAAATGATTTATTAGAACCAGGAGCAGCTGTGAAAAATGCAACTATACGTCCTCTGGCAGGAATTGAACCTGCGGCCCTGCGATTCCGGTGCATCGCTCTAACCAACTGAGCTACACATGCCAGTTGTCGAACTTTAACCACAAGTTCATGTATAAGTATACTGGGATACTTCCATTTTAAGGTATGGGTAAATATCAACATTTTGTTGGCATTTCACTCGATTCAATAATAATAGTTGATTGGTTTTGTGGATGGAAATTATGGAGGGAGTGTAAATTTTAAATCCACAAATTTTATCTCCAGGAACAAAAACACTTCATTTTGTTTCTGTTAATTATCGTTGTTTACTTCACAAGGTATGAGCAAGTTTGCCAGAGGATCACGGTTTTCTATTGCTGAACATCAAGAAAGATATAAAGAAGAGTGTCAGAGGATATTTGAACTACAGAACGGGTAAACAAAATTTTGTGAATGAATATTAAGATTTTGAGCATCTCAGTCGATATAACTAATTGTTGAAGAGATTTGTATAGATGGAAATTTTCGAGTGGAATTTTGATACATTTATTAGCCCTGACCAGGAGCAGTTGTGGAAAATGCAACTATCAGTCCTCTGGCAGGAATCAAACCTGCTGCCCTCCGGTGCAGTGCTCTAACCAACTGAGCTACAGAGAGACATTTGTCGAGCTTTAACCACAAGTGTAAATACTAAGGTGATTTTAATGTACAATCACTGCGCCTGGCTTTTGCGAATGATACCGTCCGTGTGATATGATTCTTCTTTGACGGATGATTTGTCTCTAGTATAATATTGGGCCGTTCTTAGCAATGTGATGAAATTGCAGTATCAATTTATATTGTTCATTTAGGGTGTTATCCTCGACTGAAGTTTTGTCAACTGACGAAGAAAGCAGTAGTGATGAAGACAGTGATTATGATGAGTTAGGAAAGAATCTGGAGAGCATGTTATCTAATAAAAAATCATCTTCTCAGGTATTTCATGACTTTCCTCACCTATATGTTGCTGAGTACTGTTATTTTCTGCAAATTCTCGTGTTTGGCATTTTTGCTGAAAAGTTATACTGTAGAATCTGTTAAGAACAGGAAGTCACTACCGTGTTGGTGGTTTGATATGTGATAAAAATCATGTTCATTTACATAAACGTTTATATACTGTAGAGCTCTGATTTTCTTGGACAACCATAGACAACGTTGATTTTTAAAATTACTCCGCCAATGAACTCATAATATCTTATGTTTTCACTCGCAGTCCTTGCTTTATCAGATACAAGAGACTCGGCTGTCGCCTCGTGTTTTATAAAGCACCCTTGTTTTAAATAGTACATGAATTACAAGAAAAGAAAACAACATTTTCCCAAAATTAAAAAGAAGATAAAATATAGGGGGTGGATGTCAATTGGGGGATGTCAATAGACAACTTGCATGTTGGACTAATTTTTGATTTGGGCAAAAAAAGTAAATTCCCGTATTAAAAAGAACTTATTAAAATCAGTAAAATTGCAAAATTTGGTTACGAAATGTTGTAAAATACAGAAAATATAGCCTTGCGAAGTTTGCATATTTTCAGTATATATGTTTGTATCACGTGCGGAAATTGTTACCATTTTTGAGCCGAAAATGGTAACAATTTCTGCACGTAATACAAATATACTGAAAATATGCAAACTTCACAAGGCTATATTTTCTGCATTTTACAAAATTTCGCAACCAAATTTTGAAATTTTACTAATTTCATTATTTTCTTTTTAACTGTTGTGTTTTATTCCCTTCTCTTTACTTAGATTAAAATTTAGTCCATAAACATGCAAGTTGTCCATTGAGACTCACAGTTCTGTTTCTTTAAATAAATAATAAAATATTTATTTTTTATTCTAGTTAACTCACGAACAAGAAGAAGTTGAAAGACTGGAACTTCAACGACTGTTTGCAAATGAAGACAGTAAAGATAATGTTAGTTTCTTTACATTGTCTAAATTTATAGATTCGCAATTAAATCTAAATGAGAATTATATTAGTTCTTCCTGTGATATTTTTGCTAAGTGTAGTTTATTTTCCACGATTTGTACTATTAGTAATTGTTTTCTCATTTTATAGAGTGATTCAAAAGGATCTTCAGGTACGTTTTTTCTTTTGTGTCATTTAAAACCAAGGTGAATAAAGCCGGCAAAAGAGTATATCCCTATAATATCATAGTCTATCAAGAGGTATACCTCCCGACATTTTGGTCTGCCTGCTTTTAATCCATAGACGTATTTTCAGATTTTGCTCTGGACGTGTCGAAAATCCAGGGGAAAGCGAGCGAGGGGACACGTAACGCCGCCGATCAGGGTCTGGGGCACAATCTCTAGTGCATGGGGACAGGGTTGCGGGTTGGGGGGGGGGGGGGGGGGAAGCCCCCAGAAAAAATGAAATTTTGAGATTTTTGGTTTCATTTAGTTCAAAATCCCTGTTTTTAGTTCTATTCAGTTCAAAATCCTTAATTTAATCATACTACTGCCATTTAATTCAACGAGCATTTAAATTTCTGAGGGGGTGCAGATTTCTCTAGGTGGGGTGGGAAAACGTTCTGGGGAGGGGGTTGCAAAATGATTTTTTTGCGGTGGAAGTGCACCCCCAGAAAATCCTTTAATCTGTCTGTCTCTTTGCATGTCCGCAGCACGCAGGATAGTCCTCAAGGGACAAGTGAAAATGCCTTCTGTGTGTCTAGCATGACAGTTTAATGAACGTTCTTGGCGTGTCCACGCTAAAACGGAATATTTAAAAAAGAGTATAGGTTACCGAGGTGCCAACAATTTACCAGTTGAAATTAGAAACTCTGAGAGCTTGGCAAGTTTCATTCTACGTGTAACCAGCTAAATAGAATTTCAATTCTAATACACTTTCTAGTTCTGTAATTTCAATTTATATGCAATCAATTTACATTGATCGTTTAACTAAATAACGTAGTTTTGCTGTGCACCGAGACTTATTTCAATCAATACATCAAAATAATCCCGCCTCGCATTTCGTCCCGGCAAAATGGGATCATGTAACCAGCCCGGATAAGAAACACTTTCAAACCTAAAATCCTATAGCTAAGATCGTGCGTGACTCCCAATGGTTGCTCGCACCCCCGTGGGCGAAGCGTATTTTGGAAAGCGTCCACTATAAGATCTATATGGCGTAATCGCACGTTTTTGGAGAATGATATTAGAGACCTTATGATTTTAGGACGGCAACGCGACGGCAACGGCTACCAATACAATAGATCATTGAAAATAATTGAGCAATTACAATATATGAATAATTTAGACATTGTCCTCGATCTGTTTACAACGCTAAATCACAGATTTTCACGTCTTGATACAACGGCTGCATTCTAAGCCGCAACAAGTGCAATTTCAAACTGGGTTTAGCAGAGCTCTTCCCAACCATAAAACCCATGTCTTCAACTTCTAAAACTGTATTAAATTCATACGATTGATAATATACCACGAACTATCTTTACTACCAGTTATTTGAAGCAGTTTGTTTTGGCCGTCGCGGTCGCGTTGCCGTCCTAAAATCGTAAGGTTTCTAATCATCTTTCAATACGTATACCGATAACAATCTTTGGCTGTAGTGTTCTAGAGTTCAGGAGAGTTCGTTTGTTCAACAGAAGATTGCAACTGACTGAGCTGGGGAAATTTTCGAGGATCTGTTTCAGGGTAGCGGCACTTAAACAAAATTTGCTGTATTTGCAATTTCGCATACTCTCTATTGCGTTCATCTTTAATGCTGGTTAAGCTGTGTCCAACCAATTCTCCAAACAACATTTCGGGATTCTTTCCTTTACAATACTCCATACTTTTCATAATAACCTCATTTTCATGTGTTGGTTTCCATAGTCGTTTTGATTTCGTTACTGGTCCCTGATTGTTCACATTGCAAGTATATTCAAACTCGGATTGCTCGCCATCAGCATCGGGTGTTTCCTCCATATTGAGTTTTCGTTTAGGCAAAGTAGCCATAGTCTCTCTGGGTTGAAAATGATTGTTCAAAAACATCAGTTGATCATAATACTGCCAGGAAGGTGTGTTTTCTTCAATAGCTCCGAGGTCATTTCTTTTCTTCCAAAGTGTTCTATGGTATGTCCTCAGACCATTCATTTTCTTCTTTAAATCTCCAACTGTATAGAAAATGTACAAGTTACTAATTGCTCCTTCAAAACAATACACGCAACGCAAGCTATGACGATTGATCAGATCGCGTGCTGGGCACAGAGAATATTTCCCGCCTAAGCAACTCAAAAGAACACTTCATTGTCAGCATAAGTAAGTTTACAAGTCCCCAAGAATATATTGTACGAATTATCATAAATTACTAAAAGTGCTTTTCTCATGCAGTTATATTTTGAGATATAATATTTTCTGTTCTCGAGAATTCGTCATGTTTCTATATATTGCATGTCAGTGATGAATTGAGTCACAGTGCCAGTGCCTGGAGGGCCTGGAGACATTGAGTATTCCTTGACCCTATAGTTTTTTAATGCATTTCAGTCTTTTCTCGTGTTGAATCCTAACTGGGAAACCCTGTGAAACTTCTGAAACCAAAAGTATTCTCGTATATAGAATTGCATGGAAAAATTATTTGCTTTTTTGCTGCTACCTTTTCATGGCTTGAGATATTATCTTCTAATGTATAGGTTTGTTCGAATCATGGCTGATGTTTACAATATCAAGAAAATTGCCTGACCTTGTGTTGCTGAACTCGGCATATATAGTGTTATCGTGATAACGTCACGGTATATAATTACATGTATACTACAAAACCATCCGAAGTCAAAAGAAAATATTGACAATTGTAATGAAATTTTGCCTGACAGCATATGCTTTAGAAACGTAAGTCGTAAGTGGCAGATCATGAAGGGGAACTACTTTGTTTTACACACAAAAGGTTGTATACTTTGTCGCCAAATTGATGACGCAATCAGTGCTTTTGATGAATTTTTAGGATTCTAAAAGGAGTATAGTCAGAAAAATGTTTGTTTAATAAATACCAAACTAAGAGAAGAACTCAACAGGCAATCTTTGAAATGAATTTTTCCTTTTACAAGACCACATTGAAAGTGTTGGTTTGGTTTTGAACTCTTAAAAAAGGCTATAATGTACGTATATTCTTCGTTGAAGGATCGAACTAATAAAAAATATCAAAAGATCTCTGACGTTTCGAGTGAAGACTCTAGAAATGTTCAGACACTGATTTAGATCTTCAACCATGCTCGTGAGTATTGTTCATTTCTACACTGAAACCCTACACTCATGCATTATAGTCCCCTGCCTGCACTATAAAGCCCGCTGTGATTCAGGCTAACTTTTCTACCACTTCTTTAGACTCTCGGACGTAATAATATATCCATATACGCGAGAGTTGATCCTATTCTATGTATTACGAACCACCCGAAATCAATGTAGCTTTATACATGTGTGATGTGGTTGTTATAGAGGCAATTATATAGGAATTGGGCATTACTAGTAAGTCTTGGAGGTTGGGTGTATACGTATAGCCTAATGTCATCATGAGATTACTCCAGGCCTATATATACATAATACACATTATGAAAGTATTAAGATTTAAGACTTATATACTAATATAAAATTATATGCAGATCAGTAGATGAGCAGATCCAAGTCACTGAGCCAGTTCTGTGGTGAATTGTGGTGAATATAATTGCGTACTTGAGTCACAATTAATGCGCATTAAAAGATGTTTTAGTAATTTAGAAAGGATTCGAACCTTTGGAATACCAGTCAGGTGCTTTACCGCTCTACGCTTCTTTCTGCCAACCCAGCGAGATTTTCAGTAGCCATATAGACAACATAGCCATAGCAAGTAAATTATTTCCATGATAATTTGTATACTAGCCAAAACGTTACTATACAGAGTGTATTACAGACTATTCAGTAATTAAACACCTCTACTCTCTATAGGAGTGTATTAGGGCCTATTATATCTTACCAGTTATTAGACGTTCTTCAGGACTGGTGACATTCTCATTGAGTGCAGCCACAATTCTTTTTTCAACATTGAGTCTTTTGTCAAACTTTGAGTATTCTTCATGAGACGTATCATATAGACAAGGCTCTCTTGCCCATTCTGATATAAGTAATTCCACTTGTCTGTCGCTCCATTTATACTTACTCTCATTACACGTTGTTTTTATTTTAACATCTTCGAAGACAGCCGTCGGTTCAATCGCTTTATCACCTGACATTTTGATTTCTAAAGCTTAAACTCGAATCAAAGTTCCTTTGATCAAAGTATACTTTGCAGTGTGTTTACACTATCACACACAATAAACAAATACTGCGGCTTCTTTGAACTTTCTTGATCAGTTTAAAATATGCACTTATTTGGTCAAAGAAACTTTGATACTGAAAGGCTCGTGAAAGAAATCTTTGAGATTTTTACGTTGATATAAGTAATATATTCTTCGGCTTCTGAGTAGCTCGTATATTAAATATCATGCATAAGACAACGAAAGGTTTCTCTTATATATGAATACTGTTATGATAGATATAAGCTATAAGCGTTAAGCTAAGTAAGCTATATAAGCGTATTCTAAAAATTAATGCCCATTCCCCGCCTATAGTTCATCACTTGAAAGTATATTGCCTGGTCACTAAGCAAGTAAAATTTGTGTATTAAACTACTTTGTAAAACTGCTGATAAAACGTGTTCATGCTCCATTTGTACTTATCCGGCACAATGTTCAGTTGGCAAACTCGCTATTGTAGTTGTAGTCTTACGGCTGATTTCCACTGTTGCGTTTTTTTGCACGCACGTATACGCACGTAAAACTTTGAATTCTTCTATTTTTTAAATATTTTACAAATAAGTTAACAAATGCATCCTAAAACTTGCGGAACACTAAATTCTGTTACTTTATTTATTTGGTTATTTCATAAGTAACATTTAAACGGATTTAAAGTTTTACGTGCGTATACGTACGTATGAAAAACGCAACAGTAGAAATCAGCCTTTAGCAAAGATTCATTGAACAAAGAACCTCGCAAAGTCCAGTTCAATTTATGAATGCAAATTGTTTAACAGCTAGTGTATTGTAAAATTTGTGTATTGTTAAACTACTTTGTAAAACTGCTGATAAAACGTGTTCAGGCTCCATTTGTACAAATAAATGTATGAATGCAAATTGTTTAACAGTGTATTGTTTTCTTGTCAAAGTTTCATTATGAGAGGTGACGCCAAACTGTTCAAGGAAACTTTGATAATGTAAAGCAACGTTATTAGTAATAAGTTGCAGTGCCAACGAATGTGCGAGTTCATTTGCTTGCGCCGAGTTAACTTGATGAAGGCTCTTTTTCACTCGTCGCATGCTGCAAGAGTCAACTCGCAAGGTCGCTGCGAGTGCTTTCATCCAATCACAATGCTCAACAGTTTAGTTTAATTAGATGCAAGTGCTTATAGCGAGCTTGCGAGTTGATTTTTGCGATGAGTGGACTAAGAGATCGTCATAATCGGAAGAGACTATATCAAAGCCCTTTGTCAATGAATGTTTCATTACTAGAGACAAAGGATATCAAAGTTCTTTGAAAGGCACAATTTTTTTTATGTGATTACAGAAACCTTTAGTTTAAAATGTAAATTAGATAGACTATATTGGAGTAGATGGGTAATCCAATTGAAGCTAAATATACACTTTTTATATCGTCACTATACTTGGAGTATCCTCCATTATTCAGTTTCAGCCAAGTGAAGTGCAGGAAAAAACTTTCAAAGACTATAGCAATCGTCTAGCTTAGCTCATGCTCGATTTGATCAAAATGTTGGGTGAGAAGGGCACTCCCCCCCCACCCCGCAGGACGTCCCTGGTCACATGTCTGCATAAATGGCGTGTACTATATGTTAATTGTGACATTTGCATATTTTGTAGATAAAGTTGGGAAGGAAGGTAAAAATGGAGATGATGATGATACAACATCTGTGATGAGTTTTGAATCGTCTGTGGTAAGATGTTTAATACCATGTTACCGTGCTGTTAGGTTGCATTGTTTTATATTCGTACTTCGTATTATATACGTCAAGTGGCTAAAACAAGATTGTGTTTTTGAGCCGCTCTTGCGGGGTAATAACGAAACCAGTTATTTCCACGTAATACTGTTAATTAAAGTTACCAGACTGTGATTGCGTCAACTAGTTGTACCATGGATTATTAATAGACTATCATAATCCATGGTTGTACTTTTTAAAAAGCAGAAGAAGAAAACTTCACACCATGCATGTGCAATCGCGTGCAAAAAGTGAGAAAGGACTCCTTATTGATATTTGTAGTGGACGGATATTGGTAACAATAAAGAATAAAAACTTTAATAACAATAAAATTATCATAGGTGTACGGGAGGGAAAAATTAAGGGGGCAGAAAGGTAAAATATTGTTCTGTCTTTGCCTCACAGCCTCGTCTTCATGCGCTTTCTCACCAGCTCTTTATCTTATATTTTTTTAGGCAGGACGACGTCTGTTAATACAGCGAACATTTAAAGATGAAGAAGGAAGACAGTATACACGTACAGAAGTTGTTAAAAATCAGCCTGTCATTGATGCGTATCTCAAATATATTACCAAGGATAAAAACTACAGGTATAAATATAACCCAGTAAATGTAATACCTTGTGAAACGCATTAATAATTCATGAAGAAATCATGAGCGTGAAGGAGTTTGTATATATCTGATATAAATCATGCTGATTTACATAAACTTTTAAGTTTAATTGCTGATTTACATAAACTTTTAAGTTCAATTTTCTCACCAAATATCATTAATTTATTTTATATTGTTAAAGAATACGAATGTTCTCATGAAGACGTTATATCCGTGATAGACGCGTATATCCGATAGAACAAGGCCGCTCATATTGTAAATAGTACTTCAAATACTTATCTTCATGTATACATTTTCATTCAAGGGAAAACTTTGCGAGTCAAGACGAAGTTCACAAAGAAGAAATTCGACGAGAAAGACGAAGGTTTGTATTTAGTGTAACATTAGGTATAATAGGTTTAGGTCAAGACTGTATGTCCATGACCCAGACCATGCACTGAGTGTCTAACATCGCTGAAGTATAACAAGTGGTAGTGAATCGTGCATGTTTTTACAATTCACAATGAAGCAGATAAACATGGTATAAATTGGAGTCATAGAAAGAATAGAATATTAAGTGCTTCTTGATACGAATAGTATCTCCACTTTTTTCGTGCGTTCTTGCCAAGCTGCGAAACGAGTTGTGGACATTTTTGTGTTTCAGAATCCAAGAACAACTACGAAGAATCAAACGTAACCAGGAGAAAGAAAGAGAGAAGGCACTTCAACCAAAGAAAAAGAAAGAAAAAACTCCAAATAATGTACGAGCAACCACGATTTCGTATACTCAAACTATTCCTAATCTTTACTGGCGTAAAGCACCAAAGTTATTTTGATGTCGTTCGGGTCCAGAGAGAGGTTCACATTTGACTTCTATCACCACTATCTCTCTCAAGGTTAATACGCATAAATCGGGTACATTAATTGCATCTGATTGGTTGATGGTAGCGGTAGTTGAAGTCAAAATCTGAACCTCTGCATGTATTGATATAGTCTACACACGTAAAAACGCACAAGTTGTAACAAACCTGCAACAGATTTGTAGCAATGCTGTTCCAACAACTTGTCAACAGGGTGTGTTCACACTGCTTGTTGCCAGCTTGTTAACAAGTTGTCAACGGTTTGTTGACAACTTGCTACAAGGTTGATAAACTCAACAGACTTGTTACAAGTTGTTCCAACAACTTGTAATCGTCCTGGAATTCAACAAGTTGTGAGTGGCAACCTTGTAGCAACTTGATCACAACATTGTTACAACTTGTTGACAAGGTTCCTACAAGCATGTTGCGAACACATCTTGTTGACAAGTTGTCAACGGTTTGTTGACAGCTTGCCACAAGGTTGATGAACTCAACAGACTTGTTACAAGTTGTTCCAACAACTTGTAATCGTCCTGGAATTCAACAAGTTGTGAGTGGCAACCTTGTAGCAACTTGATCACAACATTGTTACAACTTGTTGACAAGGTTCCTACAAGCATGTTGCGAACACATCTTGTTGACAAGTTGTCAACGGTTTGTTGACAGCTTGCCACAAGGTTGATGAACTCAACAGACTTGTTACAAGTTGTCCCAACAACTTGTAATCGTCCTGGAATTCAACAAGTTGTGAGTGGCAACCTTGTAGCAACTTGATCACAACATTGTTACAACTTGTTGACAAGGTTCCTACAAGCATGTTGCGAACACATCTTGTTGACAAGTTGTGACATTTGTTACGTGTATTGATTGGCTTTACCAATATAAATGTATACCGTGTTGTTTTTCAACAGCTCAAATGTGGTGCATGTGGAGAAATTGGTCACATGAGAACAAATAAGAATTGTCCGCAGTACCAGGAAGTCCCGGGCACAACAGGCCCTATCCAAGTGGCAATGACGGATGAACAAGTTGCAGAACATGAAATGAACATGCCACAAGATGACTTGGTCAAAGTCGAGGGGACAAAAATTACCCTAGGAAAAGCTTTCCTTGATCAGTAAGTTGCATTGTTAGTGTGTCTTATAAAACAACAAGTACTGCAAAGTGACGGCAATGCCGATTAGAGGTTTATGACCTTTTGAGGGATAATTGTCAAAAACAATGAAGCATAATTGTCAAAATATTTGCATTGTCGTTCTGCTTGCGTATATACATATAAGGGGCGGACCATCCATTAGAAACGAGAATGGGGAAGGGGGGGCTGAAAACATCCATGCAAGGAAAAAACGTTCTGAAAATAATGCATACAGTCAGAATGTGGCAGAAAAAATTACAACACGAAAAAAAACATGCACATTATTAAGCGAACCGTAAAAATCCATGCATGGCAAATTGTAAGTCTCGTATTATACTTCATGGAGATCTCTCTCCTATAGAAGATCCGGCCACGCTGGCTAGCTTGCATATGAAATACTGCATATGCATGTATGTTTCTGGAATGAATACAAGTCAATCTCCTTAATTTACGAGCAATAACTGCTTTGGATCAATCATTGCCTTCATTATTGATGTTCCTCAACTTTAAAAAACTTATTTTCAGCTTCTTTTTTCAATGTTGCCGTCAGTTAATATCTTTCATTATTTTAGTGCCAACGACCTGAAACGTAGATCCATGGTACTGCGAATTCCTAAAGAGTTAGGTAAATGATGCAGAATTTTAGTTTTCTAATAATGAGAAAGGATATAGGTAAACTTTATATATAGTTAAACTTTATTTTTAGAGTTTTCTTTTTTCGAGATTATAAAGGTAGATAAGTTGCATGAGGTCATTAGCGGCCTATGACGTCTGCATAGATTCAGGTCAGTTACATTATATGATTATAAGGCTTGGTTCCAAATTATTTTTAAAATACATTTCGACTCATCTATTTTTGCCAACCCTCTAAATAAATGGTTTTGCTAAGGAGGGAAAGTGAGTTCTAAACTAAAACTACTAAGTTGACGTAATTTATCGTGTATACCAATGTATATCGATGAAAGTCCCCTTTGACGAGACTATGCCCCTTGCCCTAGCTTCCATCAGTGTCTCTACATGTGTTCACTATATCAGATCTGTGATCTATATCATATGTTTTTAGTCAAGAAACGCAGAAGATCTGGTTTAATGCATTGTGACTACTTAACGGTAGGAGAGTGGCAATGACTTTATATATTTTTATATATACACAGGTTCATGCATAGCGGTCTTTGAAATCCTTGAAATTTGAATGCAGGTCTTTAAGGTCTTTGAAAAGTCTTTGAATTGTGTCAAAAAGCGAAGAAAGTCTTTAAAAGTCCTTAAATTCTTTAGTGAGTGTTTGATTATACGATTTTCTAGCTAATAAAGTAGATTGATTGAAGCAAGATTTTCGCAAACATCGATGAAAAGGTGCATTTTAGGATGTGATTTGACGGGACTAATTACTGGGTAAAAATGGTGCTTACACTCGCAATTTTTCGACAGCTGATTGCTCTCAAAGGTCTTTGAAAAGTCTTTGAAAATAGGCAGAAAAAATCTTTGAAAGTCTTTGAATTTTTTTGGTCTTGGAGACTACGAACCCCGATACATATTCTATATATTTTCATCATTCCGTGATTTTAGAACTTTAAACCGACTATCATATTTTGGTCAATTTGTAGAAACGGCATAAACAAACTAACAGACGAAGGACCAACCCTGTGGTAAGTACCAGAATATGTTAGTATAGGTAAGCATGCGATGGCGAGTACAATTAGGGATTAATAGTACGAGTGATGTTTGGAAATTTTGCCAAAATTGGACGAGCCGCCGGGGCGAGTCCAATTTGGCAAATTTCCAAACATCACGAGTACTATTAATCCCTAATTGTACGAGCAACATTGCATGATTACTTGTTTATTATTAGCATGACAAAATTGGATACGTACTTCTCAATGTCAACATCATATTCTCTCGCTAAAGCCCAGTCCTGCCAGACTTTCAACCAAAATTTGGTGCTTTTGTTCATATTTTATTTAGTTCTTTTATTAAAGCAAAATTTGGTGCTTTTGTTCGTATTTTCATCTACTTCCTCTAGGGCAATTTCATTTCACATTTGTGTAAATTAACATACCTTTCCGCCGTTTTGTTTGTTTTGGGTAAATCATTAATTGTACTGCAGTACAATTAATGAAATAACTGTACTCCTCTCAACCAATCAGCATCCAGTAATTTTGTCATGCTAATAATAAATTGTTAACTACGGTAGTTTTCATTTTTGATACAAAACTTTCAAAAATTATACTATAATAATTGGAAATTTTGAGAATTGTGAAACCTGCCAGGTTTGGGCTCAGCAAATCTAAAAAAAATAAAGCACCATCACGCTTAAAGCCCTGTATTTTGCTGTCAGTATAAGCCCTTCTTTCGCATCAATCAACATTTCCTTTGTCGGGTTTTTTCTTGTGTTTACATGACATGACGGCTGTGCTGACAAAAAAAAGTCAAATCGCGCACGAAAAGTTAATTAATTAGTGAAAATATTTCGGAAAGTGCATTTCGGTTCTTTGATAAAAATCTCAACCTAACAGTTTTGCAAAATACAGGATACAGACCTCCTGCAGAACGTAACGTAGGTGGTGTTTGTTTCTAGGTAGTTTTGCAACTCATACTAGAAAATATTTCCACAAAATTGAAGGAAATCAAAGAGGTAAATATAATTACGTAAAGTATGACCCGCCCAGACAAAATGTGAATAAGTAAGCAATATACTCTATCCTCCGCAGAGGCGTTTTAAATAATTTGCCACGCGGGCTATATATGCCCGTAAAATATGAGGCATGTAGGTAATTGAGTAAGTATCTGAGCTGTATCTGTTTAACAAGGTGAGCCGTATTAAACCAGATACAAATCGGATGCATGTGAATGCGTTATATATTAATTTTTCTTTGTAATTTATTATTGAGTTTTTAATTATATTTTCCATTCATTTTAGAGCCGTCCTTTTCATACACCAGTCTCAATTCGTACAGTTCCAGATTATTACAAAATTGTTATGAATCCTATGGATTTGCAAACCATTAAGGAGGTCAGTTTATGAAGCACAGCAGTTTTTATGTTCATGATTTATAAATTAATAAAATTTACACAACTCTATAAGATGTTTTTTTCAAAGACCTTCTATTGTTCGTATATTTCGACAACTACAAATTGATGAACATGACATTGAAACTGATCAATAAAAGTGGATATCTCAATGTCATACTGTAGAGAGGTACCCCAAAAGAGAAGTAAATAGACCTTATGCATAATGACGTCACAAGGCTTCCCTGCAGCTGGCAGAGGTCTCTATTTGTGCTGGGAAGCGAAGGAGAAGAGACCTCTGCCTAGATCTGACTCGTTTTCTGTCGCGCATGTGCAAAAATTGCCATGACAACGAGTGATGTTCACCACGTGATATCAAACCGGTTTTTGCGGGAGCAACTTGGTAATTCAAAGACTTGCCGTAGTTTGAAGGCAAACTGGCAAACAAATGTATCTCGGCCCGATAAAACAGAAAAGATTGCTTTCTTTTGTTCTTCTGTCACTGCTTTCACAGTTTCGTCTTTGAAAATATCAATTACATAACATTGGGCACTTTCAAACAACATGAAAAACCTCGAAATGACAACGCTGTGCAAGCCGCCATTTTGACACTACGGGCTCAATGTCATTACAGCGTAATTCAGCTCTGAGAATGCGTACTATTTGTTTCTCTAAACCGGTTTCAGAACTTGTTTTACAAACTGGTTTAACTCGTCCATGATCATGGACTGAGGAAGTGTCAGATCTAGGCAGAGGTCTCTTCTCCTTCGCTTTCCAGCACAAATAGAGATCTCTGTCAACAGGGAATCACAAGGCTTGATGCCCGCGAAGAATTCTGGTCTTAGTAGTCATCGCCCGGGAAAATTTCGATAGTGCATGACCATTTTGAATTGTTTAATTTTCCCGCACGATGACTACTAAGACCAGCATTCCTCGCGGGCATCAAGCCTTGTGACGTCATTATGCATAAGGTCTATTGATGGAGTTTCAACTTAAAAAATCCCGTGACACGACCCCTTCTGTCCATCGTCTTTTAAATATTTTTTGTAATGATGTTTGAAGTGCTTTGACTTATTTCCCATATAGAATATACGCAAAGGTCTCTATCGCTCTCGTGAAGAATTCCTGCAAGATACAAATTTACTGTATTCAAATTGCGTTTTATATAATGGTAAGAGTTGCGCAATACCAGTTCTATTTACCCCCCCCTCCCTTCTAATTGAGTAGTGGCATGAAAATGTGAGGAAGACTTGTGACTGCACAACAGCGGTTTGCAAGTAAGCTCCAGCAGTGACGGAAACTTCGCGAAATATTTTGGGTGGTGGGTGCATTAGGTTGCCAACATATGACCCACTTTTTGTACCTGGAAGTCTTGGTTATTTAAATTTTGCCTTGAATTTCACGCAATGAATAACTTCATTTATGGCCTACAAATGTTTCCATGGTTAAACAATTATTATTGCAGCCTTGTTACACAGTTATTCAGTTATCACTCAGAAAAGGCTTTCAGAAATTACTGGGAGGCGGTTGCTCCGGCCTCTTATGCTCTTTTCTTGCGTTGATATATCTGTATTATTAAGGAGACAAACATTCCCTGACAGAAGTTGCGAAGAAAATCACCGACCTGGCGAAACAGATGATTGATGAGGTATTGAATGTGAATATATGAATAATACGTTGAAAATAAAACGTTGACCTGGGCTTGGCAAGTTGTAATGAAGTGTTAACTTATTTTTTCAGAAAGAGGAAGAAATTACACAAATTGAGAAAGATATCAATCCATTACTAAGTGACGATCCTCAGGTAATTTTGGTCTATTAAGAAAGTCAGCTCCGTGTCTTTTGTGCGTTCTTCCATTACATTGTGCATATTCACCCATTCCTGTTTGTCACTATCGTATAATTTGTGCACCTTAATGTTTTATTTGTTTTTGTATAGACGGGATTTTCTTGGATGCTAGAGAACGTCATAATGCATATCAAAGCTTCTGCTGATGTAAGATTCGAAACTCTTTACTATATAATAGACGTCGAGTATAATAAACGAGAAAGCGTTTATTACCGGCGTATAAAATACCGAAATACCGGTAATAAACAGTTTTCGAGTTTGCTTCTTCTCAAACAGACTTAAAGAGAAACTGAAGACTATAGTTGATATGAAGACAACGAGACGGTACTTGCACAGAGTAGGTACATATACAGAGGTCTCACTTCTGCGGGAAAACCGTAAGGTAGTTTTTACTGCGCATATCTGGCGGTCATGTTCTTAGCAAGTGCCTTAAAAATAGGCATTGACCCCCCCCCCCCCTGGAACATTAAATTTCAATATGTTCCCAGGGGTGACGACCTCTCTCTAGGGCACTTGCTATAAGAACATGGCGGACTGAAAAAATCCCTTACACTAAATTAACCTAAAGTGATACCTCTGTATGTACTTACTCTGTGGTGCTGGTTCTCTTGCGTTTTGCACATGAATTATTAATTCATTGAAAAGTAGTGCTAATGTAATACTGTAGGACGTGTGATCAAACACGAACAAAAAGAAATTAAGGCTAAAAAATAAGCTTTCGTTTTCATGACATTGAGTAAATGTGTTGATGATACGACAGCTTTACAAATGTAAATTTTCACGTTACAGTACATGCTCTTTTATTTTATGTACGGTAAAAAAGGCTTTTTGCACTGTATTACAAGTATATGTATGTTTAACCTCTCACAAATCAGCGAGAAGCGTCCCAGGCCGTAGTTGACCCAGATCACCTCACGGTTGGTATGATCGTGATTGCGACTGTTGTATTTGAATAGTTTATATTTATGTCCATCATCATATTTTTCTAGACTTGGCCGTTTCATCGAGCAGTCAGTGCTAAGAATGTTCCAGATTATTACGAGATTGTTAAACAAGCAATGGATTTAGAGAAACTGCGTAGTGTACGTATATATTTTGACACCCAGCTCCAAATAGACCATATTGAGAATGCACATTTTTCAGCCGAAGCATTGCCTTGCAACGCATGCGGTCATGCATACCATCATGAAATCCTGGTCGATCGTTTTATAACAAACATATTTGCAGGGAGGTGCGTCCAATCCCGGACTCACCGAACCTGCAAGTATGTTTGGTTTTTATCACATACCATTTCGGTAAAATACTAAAAAGTACTGAAGAATTTTATACGCATTTTAGTTTTTAGTATATAATTTCGTAATTGGATAACGAACATTTTAGCCGCCAACATACTACGCAAACGAACAAACTTAGGCTTAAATTAAGGCTAAAAAAATTCTCTACAATATTCCCTTATTCTTGAAAAGAGAAAATGAACACATTCTGCGAAAACAATGCCAGGATTCATATAAACCTGCCCGTGCCGAACAAATTTCGGCGGCCATCTTTCTTCTCTTCCACTTTGAATACAGAATATTCCATTTTCATCAAACAATAAAAGATATATAATAATTATAAAACAATTAAAAACAGTTAATTTATTTTTTATTTAAATCTTCGTCTGAAATTTGTTCAAATCGCTTCAAAATGGCCGCCGCCGAAACATCGATCTCGAACCTATATCTATGTCTCGAACCCACCTCCTAAACATACGTCAGCAGGTGGGTTCTATAACAAACGTACTTGCAGGGAGGTGAGTCCGGGATTGGACGCACCGAGGGTGGCTGGAAGTTTCCCGAACTTACCGAGCGAAGCGAGGTGAGTTCGGGAAACTTCCAGCCACCCGAGGTGCGTCCAATCCCGGCCTCACCGAACCTGCAAGTACGTTTGGTTTTTATCCCATACACCGAGCCATACACACATTTGTAGCTCTTCGCGATATATTCGTCGATGTTTTGTGAACATTTTCCCGGCCAAAAAAATCACTGGGCAAGAAAATACTTCTTTATCTACGTCTACATTACCTTTACTGCATTTTTTCTCTGGTTTTTCTTCAGTCTCAGTATGTTAGTCACCGAAAAAAGTTCTTTAAAGTTTAGGTTTATCGGCTAAATCTTGTCCGCCATATTTGTTATTGTTATTGCAACGTAAGCAGTTTAGCGGGTGAGTTCGGCAAAAAGCAGGTGAGCTCGACGATAAGCTCACCTGCTCTAAACCAATCAGAAAGCCGCTTTTAACACAGGTATGGGATAAGAAATTGAACGCACCTCCTCGTAGCCAATAGGAAAGCCGCTAATACGCTAGGTATGGGATAAGAAAGGAAATTGATCAATCGTAAAGCTTGTATATGAGGCATGTGCATGTTTCATATAGGTCAACCTTTGCTAGTTGAAGGGTCTTGAAATTATCGAGTGGAAATTTATATACATTTATTATAGACCTAACCAGGAACAGCTGCGTCCTTCCCGACCACAGCGAGGCCCTGGGGATGAGATTGTCGTTGTTATACAATTAAACATAATTTAAGCAGTCATATTATTTTACAAACAAACGTAATCAATCCATAGATACCTTATATCTATGAATCAATCTTAATCATTTGGGCAAGGTTGCTATTTTTTACCTTTCCTATGTTTTCTGCTTTCAGAGGGTATTGGATCATTTCTATAGAAATAGAGAAGAATTTATGGCAGATGTGAATCTTATTTTAAATAACTGCATTTTATACAATGGTAAGTCGCTCATGGGTTATCGAAATATTAACCAGAACTACAAAGCTGTGTAATATATATGTTTCCTGTTAGTTTCAAACGTTTCAATTTTATTCAGGGGACGAACATCCGTTTTCTTCAACATGTCGCAATATGGTTAAGAAATGTGAGGAGTTGTTAAAAGAGGTAAAAACTATGCAAAGTTGTTTTATGAAAATGTATATAGATCGATTCGAAAAATGGTTGTCATGCTTTTTTCTTCCGAAAATACTAATTCCAAACCAAGATAATCACTGCCGCCTTATATAATAATACTTGAAGACTTTGGCCGTTTGGGTTACACAAAGTATAAATATAATACCATGTATTCTCTTTGAGAAATTAAATGTTAAAAAAAATTACATTTAGCAAACAAGCATGACTAGCTTCGTTTTGGTGCTTTTTGCACATTTCAAAGGCTATAGCCTATAATTTCGCTTGCGACGTTGCGTGGATTATCTTCAATCTTATTAAACACTTTGTCTTAAATAGCAGTCTCTGTTGAAAAATTGTTTATTAGCCTGGTAAAACAATGCAAAATTGTGGCGGTTAGTTTTCGAATTGGTCAATACGTTGAGTGTTTCAATGAGAGGTCTGACAGAAGACGAGGGATTTGATATCGAGTCTTTTGTGTGTGTGGCACAGAACAAAAAAGTTTATTTGCTTGGGAAGACAGGCCTAGTGACAAACGGTAACCATTCTGTCGTGCCACTTTGCAACTTCTTTTATTCTCCCAAACTGAATGTTGGTATCGCAATGCTACTTTGCGTCCGTTGTTAGATCCCTAAAATTAGGCCAACATAACTCACATAAGCTAGGAACGACCTTTTTGGACATCTAGTGAATAGGTAGCATAGTTTAGACAAAAAGAATAGAGCTATCCAAGTTTAGACTACTTAAAAGAAAAAACTGTAAGTATTATATCCAATCATATATGTTATACTTTTTGCATGTTCTGTATTCCAATTAATGATCAAATCGAATCTTCTATGTCATAGAGTGCAGATCAATTTGCGAAACTGGAGGAAAACATTGCAACGAATCCATACTATGATGAGATCGACAGTGAAAGTAGATCATCTTACGTAGCGAGTCAACCTCCATCCGAGAGTGGAGAGATATTTAATGAAAACAGTTTAGATGAATTTCCAAGCAGTGTTCTTATGGAGGAAACTATGGATAGTGTTTATACGAATGAAGATAACAGTAACCAAAGTTGTGATCAGGTATTCAGTGCGGCGAAATCAGAACGAGGTAAGATGTGTATAAAATATAGCCTATGTAACCATCTGTACCCTGCATGTAAGGATAGGCGCCTCCAAGTCCTTGGCGTGTGATGTTTAGTTCTTGCAAGAAAACTCGATAACTCAATGACAGTCGAATGCCCAAAACTGAATAAAAGCCTAACAGTATAAAAATTTCCTTTCGACCGATTTACAGTACAGAACTTTTGCCTATGCAGCCTGCTTACAACTGGGGTTGTACTGTGCCAATCAAGATCACAACTCACTTACACTGATCTGTATACACTAAGTGCTCACTTACGACAATGTAGGCGACTTGTGTGCTTGATTTACAGAGTACAACTCAAGTTGCATGCAGGTTGCATGCGACAATTTTAGGCAAAAGTTGTGTAGTGTAAATCGGCCTTATGGTGTACTGGATTACTTGCCAATATCCGTATGTCCACCCAATGCGGCGGCTCTCTGATTGTTCTCTGTTCTCTGATTGTTATCAGCCAGGTCAGGTATGGCACCATGTTTCAATAGTAACGTCACTGTGTCTGATGAACCACATCTTTCTTGCTGCTGCTCTCAATGGTGTACAACTATTGGAGTCACGAGTGTTTATTTCAGCACCACAGTTTATTAGATCATGAACTATCTTGACATGACCCTCAACTTGCAACACTCAATGCTGTCTTACCACTTCTGTCGATAAAATTTACATCTGCACCATTTCTCGAGGAGAGAATGTACTTTTTTACATGCGACAATTTTAGGCAAAAGTTGTGTAGTGTAAATCGGCCTTTTGGTAACAAACATTTTTATGTGTACAGTGGAACCTCTATTAAGCGGCCACAAAGCTGATTCCCGAGGTGGCCGCTTAATAGAGGTTCGACTGTATGAGGAATTCTTACATACGGCAGTTTACGCTTTTTATACCATGCTTTTCATAAGCAAGAACCAAAAGTCTTGTTTTCTTATTATGAAGACCATTATTAAGGGACCATTAACCAATCAGATGCGTTTGATATATCCGACTAACCAATCAGATGCATGCTAAGCCAGTGAGAGGTAGTGGTAGTGGAAGTCAAATCTGAACCTCGTACTCCTCCTTCTAGTTCATATGAAGTCAGCTGATGATGATATGGACGTTGATGTGGTGGGGTCTGGGGAAGAATCATTAAATCAAAGTAATGTCACTACTGATGAGTTAGATAAAGACATTGCAGCTGTTGTTCCTGCTGCTGGTGAAAACAGTTTAACATTAGAGAAATTACTTCAAGATCTTGAAACATCGCCTCAACATGACGAGAGTGATGAAAGTGGTGATGACGACTTTCCATTTGATGATGGCGACGATGATGACGTAGAAGACGAGGAGGAGCCTGGGGACGAGGAAAGACTAGACGAGACTATTGAGGATATCGAGGATAATGGAGAAGATACATCTAGGGACACAACAGAATAAATGTACCACGATTTATATTGTAAATATAGTACCTAAGTTAAATACAACTGAACATGACGTAACGATAATTTTTTGTTAGGAATTGTCTTGCGCACATTTATCTAACACCCCCGACAAACATTCTTCGGAATTCGAAAACTTCGGAATAATATATGCAAAACTACCTTCTGAGTTACTGTCGATGCAATGGAAGTGTTGATAAAATATTGTACCAATTCCTTTCCTCAAGTTGATCAATTCATTTGATAGAAAATCAACTTCCTGTTACTTTTAGATGAGCCAATTAGATTTCGTTTCAGAACCGATTGACCAATAGGAAACGCACAGGAAGTAAAAAGAAATTTGAATTCGTATGAATTGATCAACTTGAGAAAAAGGAATTCATGCAATATTTTATCAACAGATTCAACACTTCCATTGCATCGACAGTAAGATAACACCAAAACTACACTGCTCTTCCTTGGCTTTGGGTCTTTATTTATTTGAGACAGGTTTGAAGTGGGGGGAGGGTCTTATAATGGAGGCGACTATAGAAATAAACATAGGCGTACCGGGCGGGGGGGGCGGTAGCCCCCCCCCAGTTTTTTGGGCAGTCGGGCAATATTCGATCAACAGTCGGGCAATTTTAGTTTGCAATAAAAAAAAATGGGACAAATTCTGTCAATTTTGTCTAAAATTAAGTCAATTTTTTGGCAAATTTTGTTATTTTTCGAAAATTTGTGTTATGGTCCGAAAAAATTGGTTGTCCGGAAAATTTTTTTGACCCCTAAAATGGTACACTGACCGAAATTTTTTTGGCGACGGGGGCGGTGGGGGGGGGAGGTCGCCAAAATAATTTTTCCGGAAAAAATTTTTGGGTACTAGTCGGCCAGAATCCCGAAAAGTCGGGCAATTTTCTTTCCGCCCCCCTAATTTTTTCCTTCCGGTACGCCCATGGAAATAAATCTAGAATCCGTGCTGAAATCAGTGCAAGAAGGTTGCAGATTTATTTCGTGAAGGGGATAGGGGCTTAAAATGTTTTTTAAAAAGTAGGCGTTCAAATCGAATGGCTCATGTAAGCGTGCAAGGGCGCGGGGAGGGGTGGCAGCAGAGGCGTAGGAACCGGGGGCGGCAGGCCCCCCCCTCAAGTTTTGCCAAGTGCCCTTTTTCCGGGAGCAAAGTGCCCTTTTCTTGCGTGAAAAATGTTTTAAGGATTGCCTTTTTTTGCCCAAAGGGCAGGGCACTTTTCAAAACTTAAATTTATGTTATTTTCCGGAAATTTTTTTTCATTTCCGGGAAAAATATGATATGTGAGAAATTTTTTTGGATATTTTCGGAAAATGTTTTTCATAATATTCGGAAAGTGCCCCTCAAAGCCTGCCCCCCAACTTTTAGAAGCTTCCTACGCCCCTGGGTGGCAGCAACCCCCTCCAGAAAAATTGAAGTTGGGCAAATTATAAATGTCAGTTGGGCAAAAAGGTGGGAGAAATAAATTGAAAAGCGGCAAAAATCAACAAAATTTTTATGGATTTCGAATGCGAGCGCCGTAGGCGCGAGGAAAATTTTGAATTTCTAGATTCATTAGAACGCTATTTCACATATTTTAGGACGAGGTTTGAAGAAAAGTTACAATCACAAAAATGCATTTTTAAGTCGACTAATGTTGTTAGATCGAAAAAATATTTATGTAAAATATAGTATTGTACACGCAAATACTCAACAGCAAAATAGCATCATGTCTTCGTTTTTGTAGAAGTCGGTCATGAGTGTTGCTTTGAGCGCAAATTCAAGTTCAAATGTGCTTTAAAATAACCATAGGCATTTTTTACTGGAGTTAGGATTCTAGGTAGGGAAGACTTCAACTTTTATTGGCAAACAGAAGGCTTTCCACAAGGGCTGTCCTTATGCACATTGCAGAACCCCCCAAGCCCCCATCTTGGCTACGCCGCTGATTTACTTCTGCCTTCCAAAGTTTCAGCTTTTACGACAAGGCTAACAACGAACAATTTTAACTGCACCGCGGGGGCTTGAGGTAATCGGATCGCATTACGTTGGTTGAACTGTTGCAACACGGAAGTTGATTATTTGCTCTCTTGAGTGTGTCAGTGAACTCTAATTTGTGTATGTCTAATTCGTTTTTCTTATGTTTATGCATGCAACTTCCATTTCCAGAATGTCCACCTATTACTTTTTTCGACACAAAATGATAATATCTTTCAGATTTTAGCCGGACCGACTTTTTCGTCCCATTCAGATTTTGGGACCGACTTTTTAGATATATACCCCCTAATGTTGCGCCCCTGTCAGCGGAGGAGGCTAGGTAAATTATGCATATTGATATTTGATAATTCGATTATAGCCCGCGTGCAGGCCCAAGGGAAGAATTATTCCCTTGGGCCTTGCACGCCAGAGCATAGATTATAGATCATACCAGATGTCTCACTGTGTATCTATCTCTATGATTTTCGTGTCCGCGATTTTCGCAAGGCTATCACGCCAGATGACGCGTACGACACTTACTGCCAAAATGGCGCTTACTGCCAAAAAGCGTGATTGCTCACGTTTCATGGCGTGGATTACACTTACTGCCAAAATGGCGGCCAATTCGTGCTCATAAAAAATCGCGGACACAATTTTGGCTGAGTGAGACATCTGGTATAATCTATAATCTATGGCCAGAGTATGCCTGTTCGTGGGTTAGGTTGTGCCACAACCTAACCCGCGAACAGGCATACTTTGGGAACGAGATTGATTCGATTAGTGAAATTGTTCGTATGGAAATTCGAGGATCAAATACAACTCAATCTAATTGGTCAAACCATTATCCGGACGTCTGCGAAGATAGTAAATCTATAATATTTTACACTGATTGGCTATTTTTTGATCCCGCGCTAAAGTATAAAATCCAGTAGCAAATTTCGTTAATCATAGTTCAATTCCCAAAGCTGTTAAATACTGGAATCTTTTGTTATCAAAACAATTTCTGTATCAAGATGTCTGGACGTGGTAAAGGAAAAGTGAAGGCTAAGGCAAAATCGCGATCGAGCAGAGCAGGACTGCAGTTCCCTGTAGGTCGTATTCACCGTCTGCTGAGGAAAGGCAACTATGCTCAGCGAGTTGGTGCTGGTGCCCCAGTTTACATGGCAGCTGTCCTTGAATATCTGTCTGCCGAAATCCTTGAGTTAGCTGGTAACGCTGCCCGTGACAACAAGAAATCGAGAATTATTCCTCGTCATTTGCAATTGGCCGTACGCAATGACGAAGAACTAAACAAACTACTCTCCGGCGTGACGATTGCTCAAGGCGGTGTCTTACCCAACATCCAAGCTGTTCTCTTGCCCAAAAAGTCTGGCAGTGCTGGTGGTGGAGCTCCTCCTAAGAAAGGGTCACAGAGCCAAGAATATTAGATAAAGACTTGCTTTTTAGCAAACAAAAACCGGCTCTTTTAAGAGCCAACAAATTTATAAAAGAATACAAACGAATTCGTACTTTTGATCTCAATGGCAAATCCCCATTCCAGTTCCAAAACTGGCAGGAAACACCCTCCTGTTGTAGACTAGTCTGGTTGGTTGTGATTTCCTAACTACTGGCCCATAAAGACTAGGTAGGATATTTGTATGTTTCTCAAAATAAACACCCAAAATGTCTATTTTCAGTACTGGAAGTGAGTACTTAAATTGCTAGTATTTGTGACTTTGATACCGGTCAGTCAGCAGGAAAACAAAATAATATTTAGAGTTATTTTAATGTTTTATATGAGCCTCTTAAACCAAGAAATGAAATTAAACAAGGTGTTTAAAAAAGGGTGCAAGTATTGAATGATACCACGTCAGTAATTGATCTGTGGTATTGCTGTTATTGAATACTGAGTACTTGGTATTGCCCCATACTAAACAGCATCAAAAGAATGTAAGTCTGAAGGATGAGTGAGTCTCATAAAAAAAAGGAAAAAAAAAAAAGAACTTATCCAAATATCATGAGAAACCATCTTATTACTAGTGACGGGCAATACCACCAGTATTGATTCGATACTGATACTGGTTACTTTTTTGTAAAGTATCAAGGTATCAATTACCCAAACGATTACTACGATGACGATTGTATTTCAGAATTTTCCACCATTATAAGTTATTTCCCGCCTTTTTTTATAATTTATTTCGTTGACGAGGTCAGGAATGTTAATCAGGGAAGTGGATAGAATGTCAAATAAAGTAAAGGAAGTTTGATTAAATTGGTAAATGCAGCAAAATACAAAACGTACATAAATGTTATTAGAAATAGCTAGGAAAACAATGACACAACTACAGAATTGTAATGAATGTCCAATTTTAAAAGTAATCGAAACACTTCAATACCGTGCAATATCGACTACCGATTTGGGCCTGGTATCGGGTGGTATTGATACCAAGTAATCTGTAATCGTGTGGTCCGGAAATTTTTTTGGCCCCACCTGGGTATTTGCTGGCCCCCCCTGACCAAAAATCCTGGCTATGCCTCTGGTGTCCTTAGCTTAAGCTAAGCCGTTATGCACTAATGTTTTCCTCAACAGATACCCATGTGTGATGTGTCTGGCATGACTGCACTAGCACATTATTACGCTTTCCTTCGAACTTTTAGTTCTCGCCCACAATGAAGAATTTTGTTACAAATAAATTATGCAAACCAACTATAAATACTGACAAACACTTTTAGGATCTTGGTTTTAGAAGAAGCTTCACGATTTTCCGAGCTTATAGCGATAAAGTAAACTATGTTTTTGAGGGGGCCAAATTTCCGAAGGGGGGGCATATTGCCCCCAGGGGGGCCAAATTTCCTAGGAAATTTGGCCCGGGGGGGCCAAATCTCCTGGGACACCGGTGTGGAGTAGACAAAATGCACCAATTCCCAAGGTCATAATGAAACAGTCATTTGAACCTCCCTGACCCTTTCACCTGGGAACAATCGCTTCTCAAAGTTTTTTTCATTCCCCAGCAGCTAGTGTGGTCTTTATAACACTTGAAAGAGCTGTGCTAGCTAGATAGATGGACAGGAAATGCACATGCTTTCAGTTTATAGTCATTTTAATCTTTCCAATGCAATCAAGAAAACATTTGGGGGGGGGGGTGAATAGGGGTATACAAATCCACCCAAATTTGAAGCAAAATCTGAGCCAAATATTAGATCCACAATCCGAGCCAAAATATTAGATAAATCCGCAATCCGCTGTATTAATGAGATCCGCAAATCCGTGTAAAATATTTGCCAGATCCGAACAATTTTTTTTCTGAAATCCAGGTCTAAGGCCAGAGGTCCGTCCACCCGTCTTTTGGACGGGCATTTTTGAAAGTGGACAGGCAAAAATATTTTGAAACAAATTAACTCAAACAAGTAATTATTTTGTCTTTGTTTCACTTTCATTGCTATATCGTACAGACCTTAAAATTTGCTAAGATATTTAATCGGTGCACACACATCTAGGGCAAAACCGCAAAATGTGGTTTCTATGGTTTTGCGAAATATTTCGTATGATAGAACTAAAATTTGGTGATTATTGCAGAATTTGCAGCGAGATTGCAGTAAGCGTCGAAAGAATAAAATTGGAATTGCCCCAATAAAAAAAAGTTATTAAGCTTGTTTCACAGCAGCTAGCAAAAATTGAGTGCATTTCCAGGCTTTCAGGGGACTTGATTTCAAAATTTTCCTGGGGGGGATGCTCGTGCCTCTGGCACTTGTTCAGTCGACAGGTAAAGTACCAATCCTGGCTAAGCCCCTGGTGAAATCCGACGATCCGAAAACCTATTCATCCCCCCCCCCCATTTGGGTGAAAGCTCAGCTAATCCCCACATTTATATTAATTTTTGTTAATTAAGTGTTCTGCCATTTTTTTGCTCATTCAACATGTTCACTATGATCAGTATGATGCTTGTACAATTCTGTGCACAGGCTATACAAATTGATAATTAGCAATCTGGGTATAACTATGAGGCATGTATTTAGACAAAAAAATGACTATTGGTCAGTTCAGGGTTCGTACTAGGCTCAGATTCCAGTGTTGCCGAGAACCCAATGGCTGGAATCTGAGCCTAGGGTCATACACGGTTAAAAAGTCTCATTCAAAAATGGACATTTTGTTGATTTTGCATGATCATATCTAACCTGAGTATCAGGCTCTATTTTACAATGTTGCTCTATTTTATAGGCCTGATCGCAGGTTAGATCATATCTGACAAAGCTGTTTGATATTCACTAGACGTTTGAACAATTCAACCGTGGCATTGTACTGATTTCTCACACCTTCTGTTCAGTTTTTAGTGTTTGAACTTGCTGATACATGGTTTTGAATGTCCTTGAAAAACCCTTGAATTGACTCTCTGATATGTACTAACCCTGATTGGTTTGATTGGATAATAATTCAACACAATACTTTGCCTCTTTTGGCATATAGGCATCCAACATTCTATTTTACTATAAATACAATTTATATTACACAATATGCCATTCACTAGTTAACTTGTATGACAGAATGTCATTGTACAGAGTTTTAATCCAGTTCTGTTGTTATAGACCAGTTGGCATGGCAGTTTACAGTAGCATGGAATTACATCCAGGAAGAGGAGGGGGGTTCTTGTATATCGGGCAGTACTCCAGCACTTTCATCCATATCAACCTTTGTCAAAAAATAAACAAAATATAGTCCATGTAGATTATATATACACATATATGCTGCAAATGTTATGCCCCAGTCATGTAATGTCAAGCAGCTGCTGGATTGTATTTAATTAAACCATTAATCCCCAACAATTTACAATTTAACATATAAATTGTCTGGTACTCTGGTAGCCACAATATCATAAAAAAGTATGGTGCATTATTAAGATATGCCAGAACTTGATACCTCCAGATTAGGATTTAATATGGCTCCACCAGCTTCAGGACTTGTTCCATCATATTCATCAGTTTCATCATCAAGCACTCCAGCTGACTCTTCATCTTCACCATCTATATCCTCTTCATCACCATCTGCTACCTAAAACAACAAAACAAATGGAAAAATATTGATATGTATGCGAAGTTTGAAGCTTGTTCCTAGCATTTTATAAGCAGAGGTTTGCATAATCATGGATGTGTTTATATATTATTGCTTCATTGGGGATCTCAGTACCACTACACACTATTAAGCGCTCCATGGGTGTAACCTGCAAGTGACTGCAGGATCTATTTCTGAAAACCTGGGTCAGAAAGTGTTGTGCACACTAACATCTTTAGTACAAAACTCTTTTCCAGTATCGTTTTGCAATATTTACCAACCAGATTTAATAGGTGATTTAATAATTGACCTTCTCAGGCCCAATTGCCCTTGGGTCCGGTCCCTCATCGCAACTTGCAAGCTACACAGTCCCAAATCTGCGGGGCTAACTGCAAATTATGTTTTTGTTACCATTTGCAAATTATGTTGCAAGAAATGTATACAGGCATGAAGTGCACAATTTTTTAATGTCCTCATATAATATGGCTTAAGATCCCACCATACTGTAGTTATGATCCCACTGATCAGCTATTTGCCTGTATTTTGGGGTTTGAAATAAATTTGCTCATTCAAATGGTTCAAGAGATCAAATATATCCTCTGACTATAAGTATGTCCAGAGCTTATATTTGTTCATAAACATTAATTTAACAATCTGTGGGGATTAATACCGAGGAGGGCTGAATTATACCAAGGAGGGCTAGTACTAGGGGACTATACCAAGGAGTGCTTAATAATATGTGGATAAAATTTTGTTTTATTGGCCTACAGCATCCAAATGTTTTATAAAGTATATAAACAAAACAATTGTTTTCCAAATGACACACAAATCCACTTGTGTGCTATGCATTTTTTCATTAAAAATTTCACCTGTCATGTGTGTCAGGTAAGTGATAATATTTGCTGGTCAAATTGAAAAATTTACTAGTCAATGACGAATGACCAACAGTCCAACACTTATTTAGAGACCTGTCTGAGCATTAGTAACTATATGGTGGGCTGATACAGGGTAGGGGGAGAGACTTATATGTTGGACATTTACAGTACCCAGCTGAGATGTGTCCTACTTTTTAAATTTTAAGCCTGTCTATAAACAAAAGACAATTTTAACCCATTGAGTTGCAGTACACCCCAATGCACCCTACTTAATTATTTTACTGTTAGTAGTGTCTAACACCGGACAATTTTACTCAGCAAGGAGAGAGCACTGGCGCTGAAATGGTTAAAAATCTCATCAAGGGAAATTCTTGGAGAACATCTTACCTCTGATGTTTCTTTAGTTTCTCCAATTGAGAGGAGGTCATAGCCTTTATCTGCAATTTCTTTCATCTAGGGTTAAAAACTGTCATTGATATGTTTATAATTATAATGGTAAATAACAATACAGTTCCCTAGCCCCATGCCTCTCCCCCTAGACTTACTCCATGTCACTCATTCTTTGGCATCAACTAAAGTGTATATTGTTGTTGCATGTGAGAAAGTTGAGATAGCTTATGAGAGTTTAGTGAATAACTCGGAATAAGATCAAGTCTATAGGATTTGTAACTGCATGGTGTGATTATCCTAACCAAACCCAACCAGCACCTGCCAAAAGGCCCCTAGTACTTTCTCGATATGCCAGACTGAAGAGTATGGCAAGTTTTTATGAGATCTTTGATGTGCAAGACAATTATTTAGGTGTGCAAGTGCACAATTGTGTTATTGTGTGATGTTTTCACAAATTTCACTGGTAAAATGAATATTTTTAAAAAATCTTAGGTATGACATAATATAAGGTATGACACGCTTAACGTTTTCAAGGTTGGGTGAGTGGGTTTACATCAAAACATCAAATTAACATTTTGCGTGGCAACTTCAATGTGTGAAAAGTAATAATTTCTTGAGTGTGCACTTGCCTTACTGTGCAGTGTGGGATATTTGCACAACTGATATCTATTATATATAAATTAACATATATATCGTAAACCTCCAAATATAAGTCCTGGGCTTATATTCATTCGCAAGCATTTTTTGATGGGATTATACATTGGAGGGCTTATACATTGGAGGGCTTATATTTGGGGTCCGGGCTTATATACAGACGACATTTTGTGTTAGTAACAATATTTATTGTACCTGTCAACTACATCGTGAACGAAAAGAAATATAAACATACAGTATATATTACACATGATAAAACAAGTTGGTTAACATATTAATAAATTTATAATACTGTAATGTAATTATCGTCACTCGTCTGCATGACCTGTTGTCCAATTCCAATAATAAGCCCATGTGGACTTATACACGGAGGGGCTTAAATATTTGGGTCAGAATGGCCTGAGCATTTAGTGAAAATGGTGGCTTCTACACGGGGGAGCTTATATTCGGGTGGGCGTATATTCAGAGGTTTTCGGTACACGATTAGGTTGAGGGTACGCCCAGGGTTGGATATAAGAACATTTTTTTAAAAATAAAATGTTCTTATTTCTCATATTAATATAAGAACATTTTTTGCAATATAAGAACATTTTCAAAAACTTTGATGATGTCATATTATGACATCATCCAAAATCCTAAAATGACGATTCAATTTTAGAATTTAGATGTTGCTGTAACATCTTGGCTTTCAAAATTATAAAAATAGTTATCACTGCTGTATTTATATGACTATTATCTGTATATCTTATTTTCAGGATGAATGTCAAATAGTTAAAATTTACAATATAAGAAAATATAAGAACATTTTTGCCTCACAAAAAAATATTCTTATATAATATAAGAACATATAAGAACAACTAATATAAGAACATTTGCCAACCCTGGGTACGCCCCTTTGTGCTCATTCAAAACAATCCTCCAACACAGAAAGCGACAAAATTATAGTGGAAGTCAGACTCGTTGTACCATAAATTTATATTCATCTTCTTCTTGTGTCAATAAAGCATCATCATCAAGTCTTTCATCCAGGGAAAACCACTCAGTGTCTGATAATCTTGGCAAAGGATTTATAAAACTCGTCATCTGAAATGCCATCTTGAAGCATCTTCATATTTCTTGAAGTTGCCGCGGATACCACTTTCCTTGTTCCGGTGAGGTGATACGTGTCAAAGGACAAACTCCGCGTCGGAGAAATTTTGGGCTATAAAGAGTGACTGAACTTGTTATTTTATTGTAAAACTGTAAAATGTATGATGATTCTTTGACATAAAAAGTAAAACATGAACGAAAATCCTTCCAGCCAAATTCGACTTTGCCGCTTGCGGTATGACTAATTAGTGGAACTGCGGACCACGGAAATGCGGACCACGGAACTGCCGTACCAGTGCGGAACCAGACAAGATTGCAGTGCGGACTCTATCTACCTTTTCAGTTGTCTAATATTGTTCCTACGACGATTTCGGCGCAGTGTTTCGGCGTTTGTACTGTTTATTTACACAAGTTTGATCCATTTCGCCGGTATGTCTTTTTTATCAACCAAAAATCGCAATTAAACATGTCATTTCTTGGTGTTCTCTAGCCTGAACAGTGAGCTCTACAGGGTGTATAAAAAAAAAGGAGACCTTTAGAATCAACCATAATATTGTTAAAATTTGAATGCCTTTTCAATTGCACATATGATGAACCGGGTCAGTGGTGCATAAAATATTGATGAGTGCATATATTAGAGAAGGGAGACTTTAGAATTTAACCATTGTTATAATTTGAATCCTGCAGCACATTGCTAAGCCCAAGAGTGCGTAACTTGCGATCTATGTACATTATCATGGAAGATTGTTCCCAGGAGCAGACAATCTTGTGTTTAAACGTTATTTCAATTTCTAAAGGTCTCCTTTTTCTAATATATGCACCCCATCAATATTTCACGCACTACGGTTCAGCATATGTGCAATTGAAAAGGCATTCAAATTTTAACAATATGGTTGATTTCTAAAGTCCCCTTTGTTTTTGATACACCCTGTACGTATATATGCTGGAGCAAGAACTTCAGTCATTCGGCCTATTTTTTCATGATATTAATGTTGATTAGATTAATCCTTAAAGGTGATCTACAGTCCGATCTGCGCATGTGCACAAAGGAGCCCACTTTTTATGATACAAACAGTTTAACTATGCTTTGGGTTCTTGCAAAGCCTGATTGTTGTTTCTTGATCATTTATTATACTCTAGAAGCTTGAAAATATAAATAGTTGTCGAATAAAGCTCAATATTGTGGACGCAAAAATGTAAACAAAGGTTTTGTTTACATACGGACTGTAGATCACCTTTAAATTTGGCGCGGGATATCCGGATATGTAATTAATTGGTAAATTGTTTTCTTTTCTGATGTTACTCTGAGTGTGTGTCCACACCGGGCAAGCTGAAAGGTTTGCCTGACCACTGTGGGAATCGAACCGGCGACCTTTGGGATACTAATACGAGGTCAAGTCGGTCCCAAATACCATGCGAAATAAAAAGTACAAATAAACCTCTTCCTACCAAATATTAGCCTGCGTGAACCAAATATTAAAATATAAATTTAATGTCCCGACCCAAATTGATTGTCATACATTTGCACTATACCGGATAGCTTCCGTAGTGGCGTGAAAAAGCTCCTATCCGATACGGAATGTACAACTTTTAGAAGCTGAGCAAAACAATTACCCAGTAACATCTCTCTGTTGCAATAATTGGCACTGAAAACATCCCTAAAAGGTACCGCGGATAGGTGTTATTTCACGTCGCTACGGAAAGAGACGTGAAATAACACCTATCCCTACTTTCGTCTTGCACGTTTGTGGTCATTTTCCCGGATTCTTTATTTGTTAGCTTCAGCTGCAGGTTCTGATTTCTGAGTCATGATTCTTGTCCGCTGTATCGACGTCCTGATCGCTGTCGCTGGTTTCTTCATCCTTGTCATAGAAATAATAGATATCTGTTATTGGAATATTAATGGATATCTCCCTTTTCACACTTCTTCTAGTTTGCTCGAAATTGTGGAACTGATAAAACAGACATGCCGGCGAAATAGAGCAAAATCCTGTAAATAAACAGTAAAATTATAAAGTTCCGCAGGTTCCGTAAGTTCCGCAGTTCCGTGGTAGTTGCGCGCGCTGCGCAGCGCAGGAATAATTTTGTAAATTAAATATATGCGGTTTTATTTCTTTTGATGTTATTCCAAATCTATATACCATACATAGACAGATGTAAGAGATATTTGTAATCTATTGAATAATATTTAATTCATACGGCATGTCAGTGTTTTCTTTTTTATATTGTATTTGACCTTTTCATAAAAAATTATTGACATCCAGCCAACGCAAAACCATGTTGTTTTCACGCACATTTGTCGTGAGGTCAATGCTAAATTGCAGATAAATTAATAATAAGTGAGCTAATATCTATTGATTTTAGATGGCATGATGTGCTTGTCAGTCGTGAGGAAAAAGTATGTGAAAAATGCTTGTATCGCGTGTTATTTACCGCGGTTTGACCAATCAGCATGAAGACCGGACGTGCATGGGTGATATGGCTTCAACATTTAGTCAACACATTTAAGTCGAAACAAACGAATTATTTTACTACAAATCTTTTCTTTAACGTGGTTAGCTAATGCCTTAAACGTTTATCGTTTTATATTCTCAAGAATACTCTAAGTATTTTAAAGTCAGGGTATGTATTTGTTGAGAATGATAGCGCTCTCGTGTTGATGTGACTTCCCGTGCCCGCCTGCTTTACTTCAATCGATATTTAACGGCTGGAGTTCATACATGTTACATGTAATAAAGAAATGAAGAGGAAATTTTATGGTCGTCAGTGGCTCTTCGAAAAGATTCACGATACGATAGAAAAAGGTAAAAATTTGGACCCACCAAAGTATAGAGGTGTAGCCATACTTGGTCAAGCGGGTTCTGGGAAGACTTCAGTATGCTTGCAGTTGCTTCAACCCAATGAGAACGATAGCATTAAAAAAGAATTGTCTGAAAACATTATTGCGTATCATTTTTGTGAGGCTGACAATCAACAATCTTTAGATGTTAGTCAGTTTATACGAAACATAGTGTTACAGTTGTGTAAACATGAAAAACTTGCTAACTATAAACAACAATACAACTCAAGCGACATTCAAGATCTCGTGAAGAAAGAACACAAAAATGAAGATATTATAAATATATTTAAGAAAGTTATTGTTGATCCACTCAAGGCATGTGAGGTTAAAAATCAGAGATTGCTTTTGATAGTGGATTCAATTGATGAATCATTGTTTGAAGGTAGTAGCCCAGACACTGATGTTATTACCATTTGTAGTTTACTCGTTATCGCCCTGCAGCAGAACTTATTACCCCCATGGCTAAGATTAATAATCACCGCTCGACGGCAGTCTAGAGATGTAATGAAAATGTTTTCTGGTCTGAGAAAGATTACTTTGGATGATTTAAAGAAGTCATATGTAGTGAAAGATGTACAACAGTATATTTTAGATCGCCTTGATGCTGATCCTGACTTGAGGAAGCACTTGACACGCCACACTGCTGAACAATTTAATTTACTCCACGTCAAAAGTAATGGGTGTATTTTATACCTTGAACAGATACTAGACAATGTTATCAAGGGTGTTTTGACCATTGAGGACGTCAGTGACATTCCTGGGACATTAAATGGTCTATATTTATGGTTATGTCAGCGATTGTTTACGGAAGATGCTTATAACACTCATCTCAGACCAATATTGGAAACATTGTTAGCAACCAAACAAAACTTGTGTTTTAATGATTTGATTAGTATCATCAAATTAGTGAATGATGGTGTTATTAACGAGAAGGATGTTCAAGACAGTTTAGACACTTTGTCACCCATGTTGGTCCAGGAGGATGGTAGCTATCATTTTGTTCACCATTCATTTAGTGAATGGCTGATTGATGTTAAGCATTGTACCCGAAGGTTCCTGTGTAATGTTGCCAAAGGTCATGCAATGTTAGCTGTTTATTTCATGTGTGGAGGCAAAACATTAACTTTACAAGAGAATGAGAGGTTCCTGTCGCATTTATTACAGAGTCAATATCCTTCAAGTGACCCAACCAAAGTAGAGCAATGGTTGAAATGGAGTGGTGTACGTGCTCAAGATGCAGGCACACTTGGGGATATTACAAGTGAGAGTACACATAAACTTGGAGATGTCCAAGCTACATTGCCACATTGTGAAGATGAATCATGTGCCCCCAAGAGAAATGATGATGTTGAATCATGTGCTCAAATTAATAACAACCTAGACAAAGAAGATAAAGACTGCACACCACTCTTGAAAGCAGCACACAGCGGCAACTGTAAAGAAGTACATTCTCTCCTCCAGAAAGGTGCAGATGTAAATTTTATCGACAGAAGTGGTAAGACAGCATTGAGTGTTGCAAGTGGCGAGGGTCATGTCAAGATAGTTCATGATCTAATAAACTGTGGTGCTGAAATAAACACTCGTGACTCCAATGGTTGTACACCATTGAGAGCAGCAGCAAGATGTGGTTCATCAGACACAGTGACGTTACTATTGAAACATGGTGCCATACCTGACCTGGCTGATAACAATCAGAGAACAGCTATGAGAGCTGCTGCATGGGGTGGACATACAGATATTGGTAAGTAATACTGTCCAGTACACCATAATCAACCAGATTCTAGTGTCAACCAGATTCCAGTGGTGGATTTAAAGGGGGGGACAGGTGTCCAAATCACTTTTCCAAATTATGTGCAAACCTTTTTTGAACACTCGACAAACAGAGGCAGGGGGGCAAACAAGAATTTACCCGATATTTATTAAATTGCTTGACCAAAATTGCCTGATTTTTAAATACAAACTGGCCAATAAAATATAAGCCCTGGGCTTATATTCTTTCGTTAGTAATTTTTGATGGGCTTATATGAGGGGGGGGGCTTATATACGGGGAGGGGCGGGGGGTGGGGCTTATATACGGGGAGGGGCTTATGCATGGACGATCTTTTGTGTTAGTAATAAACAAGTCAGTCATAAACAGGAAAATTAACATGTATTAATAACGTGCTTTGATTAACATAGTAAGCTATAAAGACAATGACAGTGTTTTTAAATATTGTTCTCTGCTATATTAAAAGACAATGTCAATGTTGAATAACGTAGTGGGTTACTGGGTTTATGTTCGGGGACTTATATTCGGGGGGCTTATATTCAGGGGGGCTCTTATATTCAGAGGTTTACGGTATTGTGTTCAGATTTTCCACATTTAGTTTCCAAATACAATTGCTAAAAATCTGTTGCTATAAACCCTTGATGAGTATAAAAATCATCTTGTGTTAATAAATATAGTAAAATAATAAAATGGGTGCATTAGGATACAATGAAACTTAATGTGTTAATTTCACTAAGTACTGAGGTTGAGAACAGGTCACTGCTAGCTGTGAATTTTAGGGGCGAAACTAGGCCCTCTTAATTTGGGGGGTGTCTGCCAGAATTGCCCTGCCAGAATTGCCCTGCCAAAACCAATGATGCCCTGCAGCAAATTTTTATTTCTGAGACCATATTTTCCCCAAAAATGTTGGCTAGCGAGAGGGGGGGGGGGTTAAAATTTTTTCCGCACTTTAAAAAAGATGGTCAAAAAAATTTTTCCAGACATAAACCAGTTAAATTAATGTTCAATTTTTCCGTACAAATTCCTGTTAAAACATAGGTGAAACCCTTTTTTGGACCAATATCTGTAAAATTTAGGTCTATGAATTCCCTCTGGAAACCCTGTAAGTTACTTAATAACACTACATTCTATCATTTACAATCTTGATTGCCCTGGCAATCCAGATGATTGCCCTGCCAATCCAGATGATTTGTATTTTGGGGGGTGTCCATACCCCCCTCAAGTTTCGCCCCTGACAACAAGGTAAGGGCAAAGCAGGGCGTTGAAAGCCAACAAGCAGGGCATTGAAAGCCAATGCAAGTGCCAATGCTAATGCCAATTGATGCTAAATTTGAGGCCTGCCAAATTGTGTTTACATGTTGCTTACATGGTTGAATTTTTCATTTATCTACTATCTATGGTTGCTTAGAAGAAGATAGATCTTCTGTCCATGCAGTAGGAATTAGTAATTAATAAACCTGCTAGCAATGGTTAGATTTAGCTTGCAGTAATGAGCAATAAGCTGTTTGGCAATTTTAAATTGTTATAATTGTAATTTTATGCTGGCAAAGTTAATAAGTGTTAAATGCATATGAACATACTACATAAGCCTTGAGGTAAAGCCTCAACTTTTTTGTTTTATTCTGTTTGAAGCAGGAATTTTGATACCACCAATGAAAGACAAGAACAATTTAATTAAGTAAAGTTAGCATTAAATCTCCTCCATTACTTGGCTTGTTTTGTTCAAAATAGAATGGAACTCTTGTTTTCATTGGTAGCTTTCAAATGTTATTACGTATTTTGTTTGTAATCTATATGTAGGTGAAGGGGGAACTTTTTAATTCTTTATATCATATATCATTATATCAATTCTTCATGTCATATGTTTTCTAGAATTTTAGTCTTATATATTCCTGAAGTGACAAGTGATGACAAAGACTGTCAACAGAACCCAATGCTGTGGAAATTAAGTCACAGCAAAATAAAATTAGTGATGCATTGATATTCATTTGTAAATTATGGTTGTGCTTGTGTATTTCTGAGCAACATGAAATTGGATGTGCAGTTTGTTTTACAACAGAAATATCACTCACTCGATTAATACTTTTGATAAAACAAGGAGTAAATATTTCTGGAAGCCAGAAATGATAACACAAATATAGGAGGTGTATTTAACCCATTAACACTCAACACCTTCGTCTTGGCTACTTAATTAAATTGTCTGGCCTTAAATGCAGTAAAATAACAAAATAGGGTGCATTTTGTGGGTGCAGTTTAATGAGTTGATAACATTGGTTGATAAATGATAATGTCAATAATGTACAGTGTGCAGTACTGTATTTGGTATGGTGTATCATATATATTGATTGATATGGTCCTGAAATACGACCAAATTACCTCCAAACACTATGAATTTCAAGGAGTTGAATTAACTCTAAAAATGTTATTCTCTCACCGTTTGTTAATCTGTCAACAAAAAGGTGAGAGAATAACACTTTTGGAGTTTCAACTCCATGAAATTTACAGTGAAAGTAGTACAGTACTATATAGAGTACAGCTTATAAAAACTTATAGATGTATAACTTTCTCTTTATAGTTTAATAAAGTGAATAAACACAACAGTTTAATCTAGCATGACTGGGGTTAATATTATATACATTCATTTATAAGCTGGAACGATCTGTACCAGTGTAGGTATGAGTCTAGTGACAATAACACCAGAAAGTTGCAAATTGAGAGGGATGCAACTACCTGAAAAATACAAGGAAAACTCTGAAGTTTCGAGAGAAGCCCTTCGTCTGGCCTTAGCGAAACGTCAGGCTCGAAACGTTGAAGATTTCCTCGTATCTTTCATTGATTTATGGGGTACATAGCCGTACATAGCCTTACATAGCCATATACAGGGACGCCGGAACGATAATAGGGCAAAGGGGGGCGGACGCACCCCAAGGGCACCTTTACTGAAAAATTTTTTTTCACTGCAAAATTTTTTGGCGACCCCCCCCCCCGTCGCCAAAAAAATTTCGGTCAGTGTACCATTTTAGGGGTCAAAAATTTTTTCCGGACATACAAAAATTTTCCGTGAAGCCCAAAATTTTTCCGGATATCTTAAATTTTCGCCATTTCTTCAAAATATTTTTCTAAATTCCAAAAATTTCCCCAAATTTTTATAAATATAAACTATAAATTACCTGAATCTCGTGATTTTCCTACAAAAAGCATCGTTGGAAATGTGATTTATCACGTATTATTTTACAACTAAAAGGGCACTTCTGCCCCCCCTAGCAAAAGGCAAGGGGGGCAGCCGCCCCCCCTGCCCCCCAGTTCCGGCGTCCCTGGCCATATAAATCTAAATTGTTGGGGTCAAGCATTGGCCGCGGTGTAGAATATATAAAGCTTTGGTTACGCTTACATATAACCTTTTCTATATAGTTCTTCAGTTGTTGCAGAAAGGTGCTGATCCAAATCATATGGACAGGGAAGGTCGAACAGCTTTGATTGCAGCTGCTCATACTGGTTGTGTCAAAACTGTTGAAGTGTTGTTAGATCATGAAGCAAGTGTGAATCATGCTGATAGTGATGGAAGAACAGCATTGGCCGTGTGTATTCTCTCAGAATTCTTGAAGAATCATCTTGGTAAGAATTTCTTCACTTCCTGTCAGAAAATTGTCTTTATTTTGTTTCGTTATAATTCACTATATATATATATATATATATATATATATATATATATATATATATATATATATATATATATATATATATATATATATATATATATATATATTATATATATATATATATATATATATATATATATATATATATATATATATATGTTTGATTCCTTGAAATTCCTGTTTTTTTCCCAAGTCAGTCAGTTGCCAGGTCGGTCAGTTAGGTAGTCACCATTCGGAAAATTTGAAAGTTAACGATAGTAGAGAGTCAACGATAAACGTAAGTAAAGGTGCGAGGATACGTGGTTGCCTAACGGACACGAAGGAGAAAATACGTAAATATGTGTTCATATCAGAAATTACTTTTGAACGATTTTTTGGCGGAGGACTTGTGGGCGGGAAAATTAGGGCGAGAGAACGGCGCGTGGACAAGAAATACGCGAGTCTAGCGTCTCGATTTCAACCGTTGATGTAGCAGGTAGAGAGTGTACCCATTCGCGGCTGTAGCTACGTACATATGTACACCATACTGACCATAGGATATTCCAGGCTTTGCGGTATCCCGTTGGCTTTTGCGGCAGATTTCTCTAAACATGCAGGGGCCAGTTGTACGAAAACCACATGACATGACCAATTGTTTGAGTATAGAAACCATTTGTTTGTATATAGCTATTGGTGGGCATGAGTCTCATGCTGGTCGGCTTTTTTCCGTTGATTTTGTCCGTCTAACTTACGTCCTTTCCCTTGTTAGCTGCCATCATAATAAAAATGTGCATAGTTTCCCTACAATAAGTACAGTATATATGTATTACAAAAAATCAATTAATCTAATGAATGGAAAATTTCCTTATTTTTATGTTAGATGTGATAAAAGTTCTGTTGGAAAATGGTGCGGATGCAAATCATCCTGATTTTGATGGAATGACTCCTCTATGTTTGGCCAGTATGTTGGGTCATAAAGATGTTGTGCAACTGTTGTTAGAGAGACATGCCGATGTGGGACATTGGGATAGACATGGCAGAACTCCTTTAATGTTGGCTTCAGCGAATGGACATCATACAGTTGTGAAGTTATTACTGGAATGCCAAAGAGGTTTGTAGACGTTTTCCTGCTTAGTTTTTTGCAGCATGACGGACACTATATAGGGGGAGGGGGAGAAGGATAACCTCGAACGGTCTTTGCCAGTGTAGGTTGTGACGATAATAAGAAAGCTGCGCATTGATATAGGGATACAACTACCTGAAAAATACAGGCAGAAGGGTAACCACCGACCGCGATAACGCATTGCTTATCATGGTCTGGTTATCCATGAATACTGAAAAGTGGTTCTGCATGTAATAATTATGCTAACCCCATGCCATTTCAAGGTGAATGTTTTGTGCGTATATATGGGGATAAAATGCGTCATTTTAATGAGTTTTTTCGCCTCATTTTTACGTTTCTGTGTTTTTGATTTATGTTTTTTGTAATGGAATAAATGGATGCAACGTCGTATTAACTAGTTATACAGCTATTTCAATTAAAGAGTGTCACTGAGACAATAGTCAAATATGCAATATGGGCGCTGATAGTTTTAAGTAAGTTTTAGTATATCAGTAGCCTCATGGGGATACTTTCAGCGACAGCTCCCAATGCAAATGTAGTTTTAGAATATACAAAATCTGGTTGTTGATGAAACAATTTAAATTTTGAGTTGTCGCGTGTAGCATCACAATAAATCAATCAATTGTATCGGTTCCACGAGGCACGACGAAGGAAGTGACAAGGAATTGTTTATCTCGTAAAAACGTTCTAATCCACATTTTTGAGTAACGTGTATGGTTGGTATGTTAGATGAACAATTAGGCCAAATCGTCATTAGTGCTGTCTAGAAAACAAATAAAACAAAAGGCCAAGACAAAGAAAACAAAGGCCTAATGTGACGGTGTTTGGCCTAATTATTCAGCAAACCATTACCTACTAACCCTGGTAACGTGCCTGCTCTAGCCTATGCCTGCATGCTCGACCCTAGACAGTTCTTGCCGTGTCTTTTTCAATTTGAAACTTTACACTATCCTTGGATCCCTAGTTTTGTTACCGATTCGCTAAAACGTTCCGTTAGCATTCAGCAGTGTTTTTGAAACAATAGATCTTCAATTTCAACAATTACAATTAGAAAAGGTTGGAATGTTATTTTAATTCAATGTCTTCTGTTTTGTATTATAGGTAAACAGGCAGAGATATCAAAAGAGAATTTCTTCAAAAAGGATAACTCTGGCTGGACGCCTTTGCTAGTTGCCGCATTCAATGGTGAGTCTTTCGTTCATGGACATGATATATTGTTGGTCATTGTAGTATGATTAATGTAACTATTCTTGCAGGATTTGAGTCAGTTGTTCAGCTGCTTCTATTTTACGGTGCTCCATTAAGTGATGTTGATGAATCCAAGCGTACTCCATTGATGCTTGCTGCACATGAAGGTCACACTGTTCTACTTGAACAACTTATTTGTGCTGGATCTTCCGTAAATGCGAAATCTTCTGAAGGACGTACAGCCATTCATTATGCGACATTATTTGGTCATATTGACTGCGTGGAAAAGTTGTTGCAAAAAGAAGCTGATGTAAATGTGTATGACAGTCATGGTATTACACCATTGAACTATGCCGCGAAGGAAGGTATGTGAGATTTTCTATAAAGTAAAACTCGAGAATATACCGCATGTAATGCGCATGGTCAGAGTTGTAGACTCGAGTCATGTGACTTGAATTCCAGTCGCGATTCTTGTGACTTGACTTGTTAATCAGGTTATTGACTTATGACTTGACTTAGACTTGAACAAAATGACTTGTGATTTGACTTGGACTTGCAAGAAATGATTTGTTACCAACGCAAGTTAAACGTACAAGAATAGTATATATACAAGAAGAGTAATTTAGGATACCGTAAGTGCATGTGGTGCAGTGACAAAATAAGAAGCCAGACAAGAAAAATTTTAAAAATAAACAGATGTAATTAACATTTAGAATTGTTCTTCTTTCCCAGGCAATGCCAAATTATGTGAAGTGCTGTTGAAAGGTGGAGCGAAAGTGAACTGTCAAGATCCAAGTGGAAGAACTCCTCTACATACTGCAGCGTGGAGTGGATTTTATAGTGTCGCTGAAAAATTGATTGAGTATGGTGCAGATGTAAATCATGTTGGCCTGATGGGATATACACCACTAATGACAGCTGCCTGGCAAGGACATACTTCTGTTTTAAATTTACTTCTGAAGAGGAACGCCATGGTTGATGTAGTCTCGAGCAATGATAAAGCAACAGCTCTCAATATCGCTGCTCAAGAAGGACATGAAGATGTTGTCAGACTGTTACTGAATCATAGTGCTTCGACATTAGCAGATAAATATGGTAGAGATCCCATGAAGGTTGCTAAACAAGCAGGTACAGTATTACACACCGTGTAATTTGTTTAGTTGATAGTTTTACGTTTCCGCCGTGAATATTTCCTGCTGCGAATTAGGGTTAAACTTAATACAGTTCACTTAGATAAACCACTCCGATCTTTTTATGATGGAGCTGCCGTGGTTCGGGCTTGAACCATCTGAAATAGATTAAAAAATTAATATTGACCCTAATCCTTACCCAGACGAAACAGCAAGACATGGCGCTCTATCCCGCTTTCGTTCGTCTACCTTCGTTCAGAATGAATATTTTTGCAAAATTCATCGTGAATTTGTTCTGAACGAAGGCGGAAGAACAAATTCGGGGATAGAGCTTCGTGTCTCGCTGTTTTGTCAGGGTCAGGGTAAGGATTAGGGTCAGTATTCATAAACGGCCGGACATGAATCTATAACGGGAAGACTCGTTGAGCAACCACCAGTGACCCCAAAAACTCAGTAGGCGTTGAGCCATTTTGAATACTGACTATGCTCAATTGCTCAAACTGATCCCCAAGCCCCACTCCTTGGAGTACAATTAATACAATTATAATTGCACTCCTCTGACCTCTCAACCAATCAGAAATTTTGTCATGCTAATAATAAAAAGTGTAATATGAATTTGTTTTCTAAAGATAGTAAGAAAAAATGTTCTCTTTCGATAATTTGCAGGAAATCGAGCAGTGGTGAACATTTTAGATTCCTTCAATTCCTTATCAATGAGTGATGGGAACTTTACCAACACTTTGAAGAGACAGTTTCCTAAGCTAACGAAAGCCACTTCGAGCGTGGAAAATCCCTCACCTGTACTAGCAGAACAACAGAAGAAATGCATAACAAGAACGACGTCCAATACCAGCTCACGTGGTAAGAATGGCAGCGAAGAACTGGCTGATTCAAATACAAGTATTAGTTCAACTGATCCCTCCACGCCTTATGATGAAGAATATTCACATTCTTATTGTGGTCCGTTTGGCGAAATGTCGACGGGAATGTCCTCAATGTCGAGTTTAAAACAAAGTAAAACAACAGTATTAACAAGCTCTACTATGGCAATGGATGATGAAGTTTTCTTTGGAAGATCTATGTCCAAGGATTCTGTTCATAAAATACCTTTTGACTTTAATATCGCATATCATGGCTGTGATCCTATCAACTTAAGAAAAGCTTTAGAAATGCCTTCAACGGAAACAACGTTATGAACTGTCCAATATAATTATAATAACGAATAGAATATATATATTAAGAATTAATGTTGAATGTGTTAGGAGTACTGCCCAAGCATTTTATCTAAGCACATAACTAAGGATATTCCGTGAATTGATAACATTTACTGTAATTCTTCAAGCTTTGACTAAATTTTATCCTATGACTGTAATTTTTTTTATCAATTAACGGAGTTTCCATTGTTTTGTGTTTAAGAATTCGTTGGGTTTATCGCTTGTTTTACGGGAAAGAATTCAGTGTACAATTTTGACTCGCGACTGAGTTGTGTTGTTAGATAGGGACAATTTTAATACAAATGGAAGATATATAGTGTAACATAATGTAATGAAATAGTTTGTGGAATAGTTTGTTATGTGTTGAGAGCGTGTTGTTTATTGTCAGGAGACTTGCATGCAGCAGGAATATGCATGGCAACCTTGCCAACCAGGCTTTTTACCCCCGCTGAATTTTCGTGGGAGGGAGGGGAGGTGGGAGCAGAGGTAAGGATCCTGGCTAACAAAGTTAGAAAATTATGTAGATGACAGGATACCAGCCTCAATAATTTCTGAAAGCATTTGAATAGCTGAGTTAGGTTCAGCCACGATCTTTCTCAACAGCCGAAATACAACATTGTTGAAAATAGGCAGAGTGATTATAATTAGAGGATATTATTTATTATTTATATGTGGTTTACAGGTAAAAAAACTACTATAATATGGCCGTTGAGAAGGATCGTGATCTTTACGATCGTTACGAACTTACGATCATATGAAAACCTGGCGTAAGGCAAAAACGTTTACTAAGACTTCAGGCTACAAAAGGTTCATGGTCATTTGTTGCCAATCTTATTTATTGCCCCCCCCCCAAAAAAAAAAAATCGCGAAGTGTCCGCCACTGCTGGTGATTTTTAATATGAAATTTACTTTTCCAACCAGTGGATGTCTATGAAGATTTGTATAGACTGTATAAGCAATCCGAAAACGTTTGAGTTTGCAAGTATTCCCATGTATGAAGGATTTTCAAAGCAAGACTGGATTTTGATAGTTAAGTGCTGTAGGTGGAAAATATTTTAGGGGAGGTGCAGCGGTCTGGCCCACATATTCCCTTGGATGTTAGGGCATAGGACCAACCCCCATGAAGTCAACTACGTGACGTATTCATGAATTAAACAACTAATCCAACTCCAACCTTCGTTACAAAGTTTCTTTCGAAATATTGCTTTATAAGAGTAACTGACACAAAGATGAATATCACTTTTTCAATTTTATAGAAAAACTTAAAAATTTAGTAACAAACATTAGGGACCGGTCATAAAGTATTTACTAGGGGGTGTGGAGGATATTTTTGGAGGGTACGAAAAAAACCCCAGAACCTCTGAGGGGGGGGGGGGATTATGAAAAAAACAACAGAACCTCTAGGGGGTACCAAAATCTTAGTACTATAGGTATGAAAAAAAATTACATTTTATAATTATTGTTGAATATCGAATGTATTTGTGCCCAGATTTAAGTTTGGAAAGAATTGTTTTACTATAATTATTATAAAATCAACACAAAGTATATATGTTTCAGTCTGACTCAATGTCAGATGATAAGTATAGCATTCATTATCCGTGGAACTTTTGGAGTACAAACCTAATACATCTGAATTGTCAATGCTAGCAAGCTTGCACCATTAGAACCCGTTGAGGAAGTGTCACATTGAATGGAAGCAAATTTTTTCTGTTTGAAACAAACCGTAGTAGTAGTCAGAATCAGAAAAGACTGGTGAAGAATTGGAGACTGTTGAAAATGTTGAGGATATGGTTACCACTACAACTAACAAGAAGTGGGAGAGTTTTCACAAACTGGAGAGTTTCAAAATATAGATAAACGCAAGACAAATGTTAAAACAGAATTAATGATAGAAAGGGAGGGGGTATGAAAATTTTCACTTAAATTGAAGGGGGTTACGAAAATTTTTCCATAGGTTTTTGGGAGGGTATGGAAATATGTACTTGAAATTTCATTTATCCTTCACCCCCCTCTAGTAATTACTTTATGACCGGTCCCTTAAGCAGTTAGTTTGAGTCAAATTTGGACTTTGATCTATAATTTGACTTTTCATGGAAAGCAAACGTCCAACATGTTTAGAGGCAGAAAATAGAGTTATTCGGTATTCACTGAGTGGTAAATTTCATCATATATTCAAAATCTCTGTAGCTGACTCTGCCATCATTATCTCTGTCAACCTCCTCAAACATTCTTTGTAAGTCAAAATGTTTTACAAATGGTGCAGTTTGTTTAAATATACTCTTAGCATCTTCAAACGTTATAAATCCTCGGCATCTTTTATCACATGCAATAAATAATTGTCTAATTTCATCATTTGGATCTTGGCTTGACAACTTTGACTTCATAATGTCAGTAAAAAATTCTCTTGAGATTCCTGTGGAAATATTAGATTCTTTTGCAAGTATTTCATTCACTTCATATTTGGAAGGTTTATAGCCAAATAGTTCCACAATAGCTAGTTTTAGTTCATCTCTTGTTAAATATCCTTTTCTTCCGTGGTCAACGTGTGAAAACACTTCTGAAATATGTTGTTCTTCATCTCTCGCTCCTCTGCACACCGCCATTTTCCCGCTTCTCAGCTGTTCTTCCTAGTGAAATACTTCATGTTGGCTTAGCGTACATAATCTTGGTTCAGGTCTAAAAAGTCAAAAATAGACTATTGACTATTGTAAATTTTTATGGTACCTTTATATGGCGGGTGATGTGTGTCAAAATTCAATAACACATTTAGCAATGATAACGTAACATTTTGCTACAATAATAACACATTTGGCAACGATAAAGTAACCTTTTGCTACAATTTTGTGGCGGTTACAAGACATTTATTAACAATAACAAAACATTCAATGACAAAGTATTATTTTGCAACAACATACTAGTAAACGTATCGTTTTAATATTTGCCAACAATCGTACATTTGGCAAGTACAATCCCGTGATGCAATGGACCACTTTGGCGGTTTTGTGTTAATTGGAAACACGTGCTCGAGAAATCGGAGACTCGGACAAACATGGCGGAGCGTAATACAAATGCTATTCAAAATACACAAATGTTTCGGCCATTTAATAGATAAATTTGCTCGCTTTCGTCACGAAACAAAAGTCAAAATGGAAAATATGTCACGAGAAGAGAAATTCAAAGCCATGAAGCTGCCGGAGCTCAAAGCATACTAACAAAATCGAGGAATTACTGTTAACAGTTTACCTCAAACCCGGACTCGTAGCTATTGCTTGTGCCTTCGAAGAAATGAATTTTTCATTGCTTTTTCAAGTCAGTGAAGCCCAAGACCAGTTAAATCTAAGCTGTCGTTTGAAAGTTCACGATATTCAGCTGCCTGATCCTTTTAAAATGAAAACAAAATGTTTTAACCCTTTGGCCTTTGGTTTGTTTGATATATTTAATCATCTCATATATCACTCGTCAGAATATGACAAGCAAAGTCTACGGAAGCTTATAAATATCTTTTACAAATCGTACGCATTTTAATGTGCGTTTTATATGCTAGACGGAGATTAGGATTATTACTGATATTTTCCGTACTAGTTATTGCTGATCGGGGTCTGGATGTTCTTCAGTAGGACCATTTTGTCGGCCAACAAAATGAAGGCTACATATATAACTATCCTTCGTATACATACAAATTTATCGCATCTGTGGCATGCACGTATCCAGCGCTCTCGTTTTAATTTGCGCTATGGTATCTAACCGATTAGGATACCATGAATCGCTTTTACAATTAAGTACCACAAGCGCACTTTTTAGTCGTTCCGCCATGTTTGATATATTTTTTTTATATTTTCCTGGGGCTAGATACCATAGCGCAAAACGAGAGCGCTTGATACGTGCATGCCACAGAGGCGATAAATTTGTATGTACGAAGGATAGTTATATATGTAGCCTTCATTTTGTTGGCCGACAAAATGGTCCTACTGAATAACATCCAGATCCTGTATCAGGCTATCAGCAATAACTAGTACGGAAAATATAAGTAATAATCCTAATCTCCGTCTAGCTAGCATATCAAACGCACATTAAAATGCGTACGGTATGTAAAAGATATTTATAAGCTGCTATATGAGATGATTAAATATATCAAACAACTCCCAAAGGGGCGAGAAATCGAGAATGCGTAAAATCGTTTAAAACATTCATTTTAAAAGGATCAGGCAGCTAAATATCGTGAACTCTCAAACGATTCCCAATGTTTCCGGTCCGTAATTTTCATTATTCAAAATGGGACGTTGTATGACATCTACGAGAAGACTGGCCTGATGTAGCAATTCGCTGTAAACTCAGACCAGTGAACTCTAATAATAACTGGAAGGCTAACTCCTATGATGAAAGTCTATGATTCGTTGAAGCCGGCGCGCGGGAAAATCAGCTTTCAAAAGGACTAAGGAGAGTTTCGAGGAGTGAAAAAAATTCTGTCAACAGTTTGTTTTCGAGCAAAAATTTGCAAGAAAAACACTTTTCCCATGGGAATACAACAATGATTGGGATTTAAACCAAGTTTCCGATTAGTTCCGACTGTTTTACATCTCTCTGCAGCAAAAAGTAAGGAATTTTGCTTTTGTATTTTGAAAAAATGACGAAAGTTTGGACGTGCCGAAGGAAATCTCGCCGTTCAACTAAAAAATATATACTATAAAACATTTTGACAGTCCCAAAACTTATGTTGTACTAAACCCCAGGTATGGTTATTGATCCTGAGCTTTTAGTCCTTGTTTTAGCCGCTCTTAAACATAAATAAATTGGCGTTTTTCAAGTGATGTTATTTTCGTCATCGGCATCTTGTTGGCCACTATGAGCACTTTGAATATGGCAATATTTTTGTCAATTTTCAAATGCTTTTTTTTCGACCTTAAAACGTTAAATCTTCTTGAAACTTCGCATACAGATGTATTTTGCATGGGTATAAAAAATTCCTGAGGTATGACGTCTTAGTTTTATCTTAAACTTCCAAAAACTAAGAAAAAGCAGCCTAAAACGCGCGGTTTTTCAGACCGTTCATGCTTATGGTCGTGTTTTTCGCATTGTTTTTGCTAATTCGTGATTTGTTTGCATTGCGAATATTAAATTAATTTATCATACTACTGATATAAATTAAATTTGGTAGTATAACTAATATTTTGGGGCAAGATTTTTCTGATCAAAAAATGTGCATATTTTGAAAAAAAAAATTAAAAAGGACTGGGTCTACCTACAAAAAAAGCTTCAAGCACGGCTTCAATTTCCCCCCCTGACTTAGCCTTCCAGTTATTATTAGAGTTCACTGACTCAGACACTCAGTTTCGGGATTTCGTGCTGTCAGATTTGCTAGGCATCGATAAAGGTCATCAGAAAAATCGCGAATACGATCAATAACATCATCAAGCTCTGTTGAAAGGCATTCCGTTACATCAGTCAATAACATTTCCAATCGCGTTGAAGAGCAGTTCGTACTCCGTTTTCTTCGATATCTTGATCGCCATTTTGTGTGAAAATAATTACGCGCCATTTATGCAGCGTTTTCGCGCCATTTGGAGCTAGTGCCCAATTGCATCACGGGATTGTACTTGCCAAATGTACGATTGTTGGCAAATATTAAACGAAGTGACTATATGACCGGCAGCCGGTCACGGTTTATCAAATACTAAATGGCCGGCAGTCTAGTGACTATTGTTAAAGTTGAATTTTTATAAGATAAACCTATCCCCAACCCCAAACCCTTTTCTAACCCTAACCCTTAAGTCCTAACCCTAACCTTTTGAGAGTTAGAAAAGTCGGGAAAAAAAGTTTAAAAATTTTTAAGAAAAAACAATGCTAAGTCAAACAAAACACATCCCGACCCGACTGCGTTTAACTTTTCGCACGCAGCGCCCTTGCCGTATGAGCTAACGGCAAGTTCGGTAAAAGTTAACGCAAACAAAAGTTTTTATATTCAACTATAGTCACTAGACTGCCGGCCATTTAGTATTTGATAAACCGTGACCGGCTGCCGGTCATATAGTCACTTTGAATATTAAAACGATACGTTTTATATGTTGTTGCAAAATAATACTTTGTCATTGAATGTTTTGTTATTGTTAATAAATGTCTTGTAACCGCCACAAAATTGTAGCAAAAGGTTACTTTATCGTTGCCAAATGTGTTATTATTGTAGCAAAATGTTACGTTATCATTGCCAAATGTGTTATTGAATTTTGACACACATCACCCGCCATACCTTTACACCCGTTTTCAAAATTACGCGACCTCCCTGAAAAATACTCTTACTTCGAATATCATTTTTATGTCACAAAAACTGCTAAAAATAGCAAACGTAAACAAACTGTCAAAAGACATTTTAAACCGTATTTAATACCAAAACTGAACAAAAATGAGTTAGATAACCTAGATATACAAACTAAAGCACAATACAAACCATATCACAACAGAAATATGTGCCGTGAATAACTTTTAAAGTTTGAAAAATAACAATTTATCCTGGAATTT